GTCAAAATAAGACCGCAGACTAAATGTTTGTGTGTGCATTTCTTCAGCTTGTCTGCAACATTTCTGACCCGTCTTGACTAACAATCTGTCTGTTAATAAACCGATAAATAATCAGATGACTGATCGACATCCGCTGATTTAGTTAATATTGTTGATATAGCTTCCTTTTTTTAATCACTCCTCATGAGAGGATGTATGAGATCAGGAGATTTTAACTTTTTGGGTCAGGGTTTCAGGCTGCTTGATTAGTTTGGACTAGATAAGGTCCTGACACACAGTCTGATGCAAAAATAAATGTGTCACTTTTAGAAAAATACTTATTTCCATTCTGGCTAGTAGGATGAAAAGATGTCAATTTCCCCAACTAAGGAGGTCATTTCTTTCGTGCAGTTTCTGCTTGTCTGTTTCTCAGCAGGTTTATGGAAAAACTACCGACCCAATGTTGATGTGAATTGCAGAAGAGAACCCATTTCAATTTTGAAGAAGATCCGTATTACAAAACGGATTCACATTATTTTTGACTTATGGAAACGGTCTTGCCAGCGGTCTGTGCTCTGAGTTCTTCTAGTTCTACTTTGGTTCGGGGTTCCACGAGCTCAGAGATGGAATAGCTTGAACCCAAAGAGTCTAAAAAAAGAGGAAAGATTGCAACACCATGTAAATACACTTTGTAATTTTACTCCAATTTTTATAAAAAGGATATTATGTTCTTTAATTTGTCACATGATGACTAACGTCACTCAGGTGAACAGAGTAGTCTGCCCTTAAATCTAGGCACTTTTATTCTGGAGTCATTTTGTCTTTAATAGTAAATATAAAATAATCCTGAAGTCAGTTAAAAAGCAATATTATGATTTTTCTGTCTAATTACATTTGCATGTGCACCACTCTGGTCTCACCTTTCATAAACATGGCTATGCAGTGATTATGCGTCTGTGTTTTCTGCAGGCAGGTTTGTCAATGTCACGCCCTTCACCTGCAGGTATCTTTTGGATTTGGAAAATGTCCTTTCCAAAAGGGTCCACAGGTTAATGGGACTTGAGATGAAAGTGGGAATAAAACGTGTTACCTTTCATTTCAAAATGAATCTTTTGTACTTTATGCATGCATGTAATTATGTAGACAGTTTGACATCTGTAGAGAGCTGACATGTCATTATGTCTTTAATCTTAATATTTGAAGAAACTTTTGGTTTCTGGTTGTATAGATTAATACCTGATAATATAAGTAGACTTTAGTGAAACTTCTTTTTCTTTTTTCATCGTGTTTGAGACACTTGAGAGGTTGATTATAAGCCGATGTGCACAAAATCAAACCCTGTCCTCACTTGTTTTCAAGATTACAGGGGAAAAAACACAGAAAGAAACAATGTGGTATGTTTTGGCTCAGAGGTGGAAGCCTGCGGCTCGTTTTAGCTCCAGCTGGCTCAGAACCAACAGTTACCCGTCCTCACTGAACCAGTTCACAGAGACGTCGACGTATCAAGGGAAATGGAGCAGCTTTTAGGCACGTGCTGGCAACCTGCAGGATGTGTTGGAGCATGTCGGTCCATTTCCAGTCTTGTAAACAGTATCTCGTCACTATTGCATTTGTTCTGTGTTCCTGATTGTTTCTCTTGTAACCAGGATGATTCATCTTTTTATACACTTCTGTCTCCTCTCAAATCTTTCATCTCCTTGCTGCATTATTCTCTTGTTATCTTCATTTGCTGACTCATTGAATAAAACTAAAAAACACAATTTAGAAAGTAATGGAAGGCTGATCAAGAAGGCTTTGGATGCCATTTAAAGCGGCATCTGTAATCGATCAGAATCTAAAAAAGGTCTTTCCAAATAGCGAGTTGGTGCTTTTAAAAGCCTCTGTCCTGTAACACGAGGCCGTGCGTCCCACTTCTTGGCAGTTGGCTCTCATAAGCGTTTTTACATAACACACTTTATCCCATTTTGTCTACTGTTGCCATGGTGAGGCTAATTTATACAGGCATCAAGGATTAGGCTCCTGTTCCTAACGTGCACTGCGGGCCGGCCTTTCTTTTTAAAACATAAATACACACTTCTGCACACTCGGGCGCACACGCTTGCGTCATATTCGGGTACTGGTGTGAGAGGGCAGGACAATGTGCATTAATGCATTAGTCCCATCAGTGCAGCAGTACACCTACTGCAAAAAGAAGCGCTCTCTCACACCTCGTTGAGGGCATTTAGGCTGCTGGTGTGTGAACACCAGATGAAGAAGAAAGAAAAAAAAGCCTAGTGAATGGACGGTATTCAACCCGGGTTAAAGGCTGGCACCAGACCAGAACACGCACGAGAGTTTGCATTGTTGTTCCCATTCTGAAAGGTGCTTAGGACGAGCTGAGCGGTGACACGAAGAGTTGCAAAGGAACGTTTTTTCATGATTCAGCGACTGAACACAACGCTCTTTGTGTTTGTGTGGGTTTTTATGTACGTGGGGGACCATTTCTATAAATGTTGGTTTTGAAGGAGCTTGCTGAGGCTGGGGAGGGTTTTGGGAAAATCCTGGACGTGACTGAACGTTTGGCATACAACTCGTCCCAAAATGTGTCCTACGAAACCCTCCCAGAGAGGGAAACAGCTTTGTTTTGTTCAACTTGAGTGAATGACAATTCCGTTTCCGGGATCTAACATGACGTCTTTAAATGTCTTTAAAAACAGCAAATACTCTCACATAGAAGCTCGAAACAATGTTTGACCGTTTTGTTTGGAAAAATAATTTCAAATTTTTTTCATTTTAAAACTCACGTGTTTGCTCTGTTACTGATGAGGAGAAGACTGTTAACTTTTCATAAAGTCACATTTATCCAGTTGTGGGTGGGATCCCCCTGATAAAAGAACGTAGGACAAACACGGTCTTCATTTCCTGCAGTCATTAGATTTTAGTGAGCTGTTGGAATTGTGCGAGTGCTGTTATTCCACATCCATTCCCTGCTGACCGTGAGTTGTGCTCTTATTTTCTCAAGGCTTCATAATTGGCAGTACTACTTTGAGATTATCAGGTCACTGAAAAAAACAACGCTCATACCATCTGGTGTCCTTATGCACAACTTTCACGTGGCCATGTTCTCTGGTCTAAATCTACGGGAAATATTTGAAAAACAGCTGTGGTATAATGTCCAGCCAGTTCTGTGATTACCCAAAGCATTAGTTAACAACATGTACCGTGTAGCATTTCCCTCCTACTGCTCTTGTTTTAGGAGCGTGAGTCAACGTTAGAGAGACAAACGCGGCGAGGTGGAATATTGCTGTGGAGCATCCAGAGAACAAACTGCTGTTCTCCATATTTGTTTTTTCCCCGCTACCACCTATGCTTTGGGCGAGCATTAATATAGATATGACTGATTGTGTTTCAGTACAGTACTATTATCATGCATTCATCTGGGAAACGTCGATCAACTTGTAAAAGACCAAATTTATATGAAGTCATTTTTTTTTTTTGCAGCTTTAATAGTATTGACATTTATTTGAATCATATTGTGTAATTTTCACAGACAAACCAGTACGTAGAAGATATTTTTGGCCTACATGGGCCGTGCTGTTCTGAGCAAATACATCGATCCATCCATTGGTCCTGACGCTCAACTCACTGTGTCACTGCCGTCAGGGTCCCCGTTAAAGTGAGCAAGCTTCTATTAATAGCCTCAAGGTATCGGACTCACCGTTCTTTTGTCCGCCACCCCCCCACCTCTCATCCCCCCACTGCAAAACAAGGCGCTAGTGTTACCGAGGTGTCGGGTCGGTATGTGGCTCACAGACCAAAGGATGCTCAATCGCTTATAACTTTGAGGTGTGTGTGTGTGAGAGAGAGAAGGTCTTTCCTCTGGAGAAAGAGGCCGATGGGTCAGTGAATTAAAAATATACATAAAACCACAAGGCCCCACAAACTCAAACATAACCGACGAAAGATGAAGTCATTGGAGCTGTTTAACTGGAAGCGCTGCGGCGCAGTTTATCTTGTTTGTTTGAGAGGAGAGAAGCTCACAGGAGAGCTGAACACTGAGCTCTGCTTCACAAGCTGATTCCTCTGCTTATCAGCACAGAGATGCATTTGATTATACAAATGTCTCTTTCCTCCTGGCAGTTGTGTGTTCACAGTACTTTTCCTTTTAGCTCAGTTGTGCAGTGTCACTGATTAACATGAATCACACGTCCTCGCTACAATCATCACACTATCGACTCAACGCATGAAACTACATTCAAGTTAAGGTCGGCAGAACTGCAGCAGAGTGGTGCCTCCCTGCTTCGTTTGCTATGAAACAGTTATTCACTGAACTCCTTTTAAGATTAAAAGCCAACCTGCTGCCATCAGCACCATAATCTGGACACAGTCTCAGCATGTAGCTAAAACTGAGATTTGTTAATCTCTCTGGGCACTTCCTCTTTGCTACATCGTTATCTGACAGCTATTTGTGGACGTTTCTATTTTCAGTGCAAACATGAACCGTGATGCACTCCACCTCCTCTTTAAAAAAAGGATGAAATCTGACAAGCTGCTGCTAAATGTAGACACGGTGATAAAAGATGTTTGACCCGCAGGAGAAGCTGATTAGATTACTCAGCCGTAGGACAGTCTGGACTGTGTTTTTTTTTTTTTCCCCCTGGAAACAAGTGAATTGGATTCAGGCAAAGTGGCTTTTTAAAGCAGATCTGTGGCGCAATTCCTCAGTCGCTTCTGCCTGTGTCAGACTAAAAGGTCAACCTCTAAGTTGAGATGATTGAAATCTTTGCTTTGTGACACCTGCTTGAGGAAGGAAAACAGTAACTGAAGAAACTTGTTTGCTGCTGAGCGACTTTGTGACTGACGGGTCCAAGTAGACGTGTTGGTGCAGGCGCTGCATGCTGTTCGTCCACATCGCGCACGCAGAGCTTCACCAACTCGCTGGCGCTTTGCACAACGCTCCCTCCGCTCTGAATAACCTTCACGCTGAAGCGCCGTGGATGTTTCATTGAGGATTTGTGTGTGTGTGTGTGTCTTTTCTCCAGGAGTGTCGTCCCGGGTCCCGGAGATCATGGCGGCCGGCACCCACTCCCCCGGAGGGCCCAACGGCATAATCCGGAGTCAGTCATTCGCCGGGTTTAGCACGCTGCAGGAGCGGCGCTCTCGGTGAGTCTCTGTCACAAACTGTCGGTCTGCTGATGTCACTCATCTGTGAAAACACAAATTGAAGGAGGGAGGGAGGATTTTACATCGAATGGTGAAATGAATATATATTATAAGAGTATAGTACCACAGAAACTATTCATGTTTAGAGTCAAAGATCGTTGTGTTAATCGTCAAAGCAGAAGCAGAAGACACCAAAAATGTGTTTTGAACCAACATTCTCCATCTTTTGTTTGGATTATTCATGCCCACTTCTTTCAAAACCGTACCTTCTTGTTACTGAAGCATGACAGGTGGGACTATTTACTGTTTTGTAAGCATTCTGTTAAATATGGAAATCTGCATCAGCCCAACCTGTGGGGTTAAGGACAAATTCCTTTTTTATTTAGCTAAATCTATTAAGCATTAGGTAAGCATTATTTTTACCTAACATGGCATGACAATAAACCCACAGGGATTCGTTCACTTACATAATCTATTATAGATACAAATCTGTGTAACATCTATGAGTGTGTTGGAGGGATGTCGATGAGAAAGACAACCCGTGTAAAGGGATTATGTTGGAGCAAAGATACAGGGTTTTAAGAAGATGCCAGTAACTCACTTCACGGGAACTTTTTTGTTTTTTTTGTGCAATATTTTTACTTTGTAATGAAAATATGTATCTGTTGATTCTTGGCCAAATTAAAACGACTCCTTAATCTGGTACCGACCTTTGTAAAGTTCAGACCGCCGCAGCCAGTCTTGTGATCCTGTAAGGGGACTGAAGTCTAAAAGCACTCTGTTTATAACCACACGCATTCATCTGTTTGCTGATGATTGTTTCATTCATGGCCAGAAGCCGGTTGTGAGATGTTGCTCGAGATCATGAGAAATTTGATCTTAGTGCCTCCTGAGTGCTCTCATGAGTCGTCACATGACAAAACCCGCTCACAACTCACTGACACTTTTTCTGCTGTTGATGCTTGGTCCTCTTCATTAGACCTCGGTCCCGCTGGGAGAACCATCTAAAGTCGCTGTTCCCCATCTTTTCTCCCGGCTCAGACACTGACTGGGGTAATTGGTTGGAATGACTCGGGTGTGTAGGAGACTGACAAGTTACCCGGTTCTGATAATGAGCGAGGCAGAACGCTGCAGAGATTCCGCTTCTGAGGCCACTGGATGTATGTCTTGTTATTCAGCAGAGGTTTTGCATGCGTGTGGACGTATGCGTGTTTTGTGTGCATTTACGCATGCATGCTTACTGCAGACGTTGCCGTATTTGGCACAGTTGTCTGTCAGTGTGGAATTGTGTTTGCATCTATACGTGTGTGTGTGTGTGTGTCACTGCCAAGAGACACATCTACAGTAGAGCTTGCGTGACCCCAAGGCTACGCGGTGCTCTCGTTCCGCCGTGCCCTACATTTGTGGCAGCTTAGCTCAACTCGCTGTGTTCCCTGGTACGAGGCAAGACGTGGCACGTTCCAACATGTCGAGTGCTGGAATGTCATCAGTTTCATTAAGTCCAGGGTAATTGTCACTTTTCAGCCAAATCTGTAATGGTTGTTCAAAGCCAGAGATGAACATGAGCAAAAGATGAGTGTGACCTAGAATGAGTTGATGTGAAAGGCTTCAGAGGTTTGCTACTGTGGCAGAAATTTTTTTTTTCCCCTTTATTTCAGCATAAATTACAGGCTTGTGACTCTGAAATCATTGCTGGAGCTTTCAATCAACGGTCTAATTCAGCTAATTCATCCATCCCTGTTGGAGATAAAGATACATTAATTCTGCTGGTTTATTGCTGAGTCTCTCAGTAGCATTTAAAGGAGCCTGCGTTGCAGTCGATGAGCGGATGAACTCTTGTTTCACTCTATCCACATGTGTCCACTACCGCCCTCGGCCCGGTCACGCTGCCTGTGGAAGAGAGTGAACAGTACTGAATGTCAGTGATTTGCTGGGAGTGTGACTGTGTGTTTTGTGCGTAAACTCCAGCAGAAGATGAATCGCAGGTCAAACACACACACACAGAGAGGTCGGGTTGGGAGTCACATGTTTGCATGCGTTTCCCACATCCCTGTGATGATCACGTCTGACGGGTTTTTGTTATACGTCTCTGTGTGAAGACTTTACAAGTCCTCGCTATGAGATCTAATTCGGAACCGTTTTTACATCATTGCACACAAATTAAAGAAGCGTAACCTCTTTTTCGCTCGCGTGTTTTTGTGTTGTGTGTGCAGCTGTAACTCGTTCATGGGGAACTCGGCGGTGCAGAAGAAGCCTCAGTCGAAGCCGAAGAAGACCCACCCGGCAGGACACAAGGGGGGCAGCAGCTCCAGGGAGCCGCAGCCCAAAAGACTCGAGGAAGTTTACAACGCACTCAAACAAGGCCTGGAGTGAGTGCGCTGTGTAATCACGCAACGCTCAGTCGAGCAATTAAAATGTCTCCTTTTTCAGTCCATTAACTAATCAAATGATGTTGAAATCATTTCTTTTTACGCTTGAGGGACGTCTTGAGTGTTTCTTTAATATCCCTCGCAGACATTGATAGAGTTCCTTTTTAAATCTGTACTAAACCTGAAGCTTTATCCTTTGTTGTCTCGTAGTGAGTATCTTGAAGTTCATCAGACAGAGCTGGAAAAACTAATGTGTCTGATGAAGGACATGAAGAGAAACTCTCGCCTGGTGAGGAACTGCCGTACAGTATAGAACACATCGGCAGCACTTCAGTCCCACATTACCTACATCTTAAAGGACATTAAGGAAATTAGCCTTTTCTGTACTGTGTACATTTAGCTGAGGCGAGAATGAACTTAGCTTAGCTTAGAATAAAGACTGGTGATGGAGATGAAGGCTAGAATGGCTCTGTCACTCAAAGTAAGTAGCATCTTGATAGTTTAACAAATACAACATTTAACTGCTAAATGAAGCGTTCGATGTGCTGATTTATTTATTTGTAACAGAAACTCCTCCTGTTTGCAGAGATGCCATTATGGTCAATAAGCCAATCACTGTAATTAAATATTCCCTTATGCTTATCAAATAAGTTAAAAAAACAACTGCAGTACGTGCATTTCGTACTTAATTTAACTTAAATTAATACGTAATTTGTTTCAGCGTGTATACCCACTTTTGTTATCTTTAAAATGATCATCGATATACGACAACAAGGCTCAACTTAAACATCACATGTGAATGTATTTTTATTTGCTACAATGTAAACTGTCTCACACATAAACAGACACACTGGACAAAGAGTCAAGACTTCCAGAAATACCTTTTTTACTACAGTTGGCTTTACAATTTTTAAGCCGTTTCAGCTCTGCCTCTTAACTTTAACTGTGATTTTGTGTGTCTGTGTGTTTTTTTCTCACTAGGGAGTGCTCTACGATCTTGACAAGGTGGGTTGATGGGGGGAGGGTCTGCTGTAACAAACTGCTCCATGCTTGCCGTGTGCTGAGGGGGGAAATCTTTTGATGTAAAAATAAAAAGGGACGAATGCAGGGGAAAGAACCGCTAGAAGCCGAATAAATGAGGGAAGAAGTTCAGAGCGGAGAAGTGAGTAGCTGAAGGGATTTGAGGAATAATGCAGGAAAGATGATTAAAGAGGGAAAAGTGTGGGATTGGACAGGAGGAACGGCATGAGATGGATTAACTAACTGAGACTGAAAGATATCTTCAGTCTCATCATGTCATGTAGTGTGGACACCAATGTGTGCGGCTTTAAACCAGATGTTTGGGGCGCCAGTAAATTGTTGTGCTGTGACTTCCTTTCTGCAGCAAATCAAAACCATCGAAAGATACATGAGACGCCTGGAGTTTCACATGAGCAAGGTAAGAACTGATTGATATCAGCCAATTCTTAAAATGATACATTACAAATGATTTTGCGTTCTGTTCGAGCTTCCCCCCCGTTTCCCGTCTTTATGCTAAGCTACGCTAAGACAAGCAAGTGCGGGCAGTTGCTTCATCTGATGTCAGTCTTCTTCATCTAGCTTTTATTCATTTTGATAAAGCTGATGATAATAGAATCACCTCCTGCCGGTTTATGTTGGGTCTTTACTGGAGGAAGGATTTTGTGTGTGGGACATTTTCAGCTGTTTGGGTGGTTGCTCTCCAGATAGGGAAACTTTTTGTCCTGCATCCTCATAAGTCGTGTCCCTAGTTGCCTATTTGGGACACTAATCCCCGGCAAGGTTGCAAACGACATGTTTTGTAGTCCTGTAATAGTGTCCCTCGCTGTGCGTCAAATCAAACGGAACAGCAGGCGATCCGAATACACAAAACAGTGCAGCTCCGAAGGTAATAACGGAGAACAAAGTCTTTGTGGTCCCGAGGGACCAGCTATTGCCATTTCAGGATCACATGTGTCCTGACCGACTTGAAATACTTACCCAGAGATGTCCAAAAGCCAGACAAGACAGAGCAACGTTCTTTGGTCAGATTTGTTGTAATGTTTCTGACTGGGTGAAGGCGGTGAATCTGGGTCGGAGCGGTCGGCAGGCCGCAGCGGGGAGCGATTGTCAGGGAGCTTTTTAACAAGAAGGATGAGAGGAGACAGAGACAGAATGTGATGAGTCATTTGGAAATGGGTGATGTAGTTGTAGAAGCTCGTTGTAGGAAATGTATCTGCCTGAATGCTCCACTCGATAACAAGGAGAAAACACAAACGGACGCAGCGCTTTTCATCTCTTGAGACGTTGTCACAGGATGCAGTTGAAACGAGCGCCTGCTCAAAGCGCTTCTACTTTGCATCCAGCATTACCCTGAAGCTCCTGTGTTCCTTCTGGCTCTGTGCAAAAATAGATTTGAATGCACTTTTAAATATTTGAGGTGATTTTTCTTGTCAGACAAATAAAAAGCCTCTAGAGCGTCAGTATAAAGTAAGCTAAATCTAGCACGGCCTGTGCACTTTCATTCCAAATATGTAGCGGCGCTCCTTTTCCAAACGCTTGTTTTTTCATCGACTCACTGACTGACTGTGCAGATAATCAGCTGGAAATAAAATTGTGTTAACCTAACAACTTTTCGTAATTTCTTATTCGCTTATATTCACTTCCCTGGCGTTACTCTACAACAGACGGTATGACTCCCTGTTTAAGTTAGATGTCCCACAGTGTAGCAAATGTTCTTTCTTTTCCAGCAGTGTGATGCTCTTAAAAAAAATGCAACTTTAAAGTTTTATTTGTTGAATGAAAATATTCATTTTAAAGGGATTTTTCTGGCTTGCCATCAACATATTGGGAGCTGTTGAGAGGCAATCAAAGTAATCCCAATCTCTAATCTTGCAACCTTGAGTGAAGAAGAGCAAAATGCATTCTTGATTAATTTACTAAAAAAAGGTCATGTTGGCTTGTATCCCTTGATCACCCCTGGCTGCCCTGTAAGTGGCTATTGGCTTTATACACACACGTTCTGGATATATCAGCGTGTATGTTGGCCCATGTCGAGCACGTATGATTAAAACTGTACACAGAAAAGAGCAGGTTGCGTACTCTACCTCATCTCAGAACAAGGCCGCAGCTTTGAGCGACTAAGTGTGAATGGTTCCTCAGTGTCTGCTCAGGTGTCCCTCTGTGTGCATGACAGCAATTATCCGTCAGCAAGGTGTGTGTGTGTGTGTGTGTGTGTGTGTGTGTGTGTGTGTGTGTGTGTGTGTGTGTGTGTGTGTGTGTGTGTGTGTGTGTGTGTGTGTGTGTGTGTGTGTGTGTGTGTGTGTGTGTGTGTGTGTGTGTCCCACCAACGTGGTCTATTGTTCCTGCACGTGCTGCCTGCAGATGTCTGAGCAGTAATTGGCACACATGGAAAAGCAGGTGGCCAAATACAACCCCGTGTGTGTGGCTAGTTTTAGCAGGGCATCATTAAGGGGATGAGTGAGATTGAAGGTGAGAAGTGCAGCTGCCAGGCTCCTCCTCTTCCCCCAGGAGAGTCTTTGTGTCTTAATTGTGTCAAATTCATTCCAGAATGGGTGTAAATACTTTGCATGTGAGTGTATTTTTTATGCTAATTGAAACAGCATGCGCGCGCACACACACACACACACACACACACACTCCGACAGACCGACACACACACACACACACACACAGACACGCACACTTCGACAGACAGTTCTCCAGAGAGATGGGTCTGTGTGTTTGATGCTGTTTGATGCGGGCCGCCTGTTTTAATCTCCTTAAAATATGTGTGTGTGTGTGTGTGTGTGTGTGTGTGTGTGTGTGTGTGTGTGTGTGTGTGTGTGTGTCACTATACAGGATAATGGCCATATCTTAAGAGGATTCCTGCTTTATCCTAAATATTCAGTGCTCATATTTAAAATCCCACAGTTTAAAGTCAGATATACAGTCAATACAGAGACAATCCCTCATAAATCCAAATAAAGCTTCACCAAATTTCACTGGGTCTCTGAGCCATTCATGTTTCACTTTCTAAAATGTTCTATTTTTCCTTATAATGTAATTTTAGATCCAAAGGCCATAACCTGAACTAGAAATGCATTGTGCGTTATATGAAATATAACATGTTTTATCTGTCTTCCTGCATTGAGGTTTCTGCCTTGGCTTTGTTTGTGTTTATCCTTTCTGGGGTGAAATGAGCCTGAGGTGTTGCAATATGCTGATGGCCGTCCTCTGGAGCGGCGCTTGGCTGACCTTCACGAGGACGTTTCTGTGAAGGCAGCAAGGGGCTATTGTCACGGGCGACAAAAATGAGCTTAATTAGCTCATAATGATGTGATTACTGATTACCAGCGAACAATGGTGGCAATTCATCAGCCCTAATTTTTGAAGGCGCAATGTTGTCACCGATCATTCATTTCTTTGTAGATGTCCACTCATTCAAGAGTACAATAATGTAGTGTTTCTTGACTTAATCAGTGCAAAAGTTCTAAACATATGAATCGTGTCACCAACAACAAAACATATCCCCCCCCCCCCCTGTTTTGTTTCAAACAAACACAACTTAAAGCTGTCAATCGATTCCTCTGAATCAGATGAGAGCTGAGAATAACTGTTGTGGTTGGAGGTTATTTTATAGCTGGCTCAGCTCAGCTGCTGCAGCCCCGCCGCATTCACCACATACCACAGACAGACAGACGGGGCCGGGTCCCAGTCAGGGGTGGGGGTGCTGAGGGGGGGCCGGTTGCTTTGAGGTGGAGATGGTGGGTTGGGGATGGGTGTTGTCTGCAGGCATTTGTGCCCAGATAGTGACGCTATTAGACTACGTCCCCCATCCTAAGGAACACACTTACGGGTTTATCATACAAAGTGTATGTGCCAAACAACCACAACAACAACAACGTGCGCCGTGTATGTAAACATGGCCACAGTCTGCTCACACAGACATGCTGGCAGTCCATGGCTTAGACACGAAGATGCTCAAAGAAAACCCTCAGAGGAGCTGTTGAGATGGCTGCAGCCATGAATGGACCATTTTCTACCACTCCTCCCTAATGAATGCCATGGAGAGTGCAGGACATCAATATTTCAGCACTCGAGTCAGGCAGCTGATCTATTTCCCTTTGAGGCTCACCAGGGGTGTTTTGTTTTGCCCGGCTGATCATATTTTAGTTTGGGACAGCAGGAAATCAGACCGACATGATGACGACTATCTGGATTGGAAGTTGTGGTTTCATGGAGAAATAACTTTGACTCGGCAAATTAAAAAAATATATATTAAATGGATTCCCATAAGATTGACCTCATGATTACCACAGGATGAATATTGCAGATTTTGATGATATCCAGACTTTTCCATTAGCACAACCCTAAGATTACAAGATTAAACATTCATTTAAAAACATACTTTATCAAGATGCAACGCGATCTTATTTTCAGGATTTAATTGCAGTTAAAAGTCCCGATGGGTTTGATCGGGCTTATGCGGCAAGCTGAAGTCAGGCAGACTTCTCCAGATGAGCTCTAAACGCCGCCTGTTGTTCCCCCGCATTGGGAGTCTCCCACCGGGGTCCTGCAACACATTTACACTGGTACATACCAGCTGTCTCGGCTCAGTAGAGGACTCTTCTACTCCGTTTCTGTCTGGTCTCACCTTGATTACGGTCCTGTTTGAATGTGTCCGTTTTCTTTTCCTATCAACGTTTCATTGTTTCTCCCTTTTTTGTATTCTCTAACTCCTTTTCCAGAATATGAACATTGTGAAAGAATCTTCTCGCTGACATGTTACGGACTACTTCTAAAGTCCAAAGCTGTGTTAGACATAGTTGAATGAATCCCAGTGAGATGTAAACACATCCAGAATAATTTAGATGACAGTTGTTTTGGGGAGTTTGCCTCCTGCCCAGAGATGTTTTGATGTATAACTTGGGGAGGGTTTCAACTTTAAAGACTCACCCTCTTTCATTACTGCATTTCTCCCACGTGTGTGAGAACGGATGAATGTGAAAGTTTGCATGTGTGCGAATGCCTTATTGTCCCTGTGGAACATTTATTAAAGATGGAGGGACTCTCGTCTGCTTCCAGGTGGATGAGCTGTATGAGGCCTTCTGCATCCAGAGCCGTTTGAGGGACGGTGCCAGCCGGATGAAGCAGGCCTTCTCCTCCTCACCCTCCACCAAGGGCACCAAGGAGAGCATCGCGGAGGTCAACCGCCGCTATAAGGAGTACACCGAGGTACCGGCACAGAGAATGTTCTTCAGTGTCTGCGGAAGCAACAAGCTGCACATTCTCATGAGGAATTTTGTAACGCTTATTGATTTATTTATTTTTCCCGATAAAGTAGCTTGGAGCACTTACGCCCTTTTTAAAAATCGATCAAGAAAGTTGCTAAGTCAGCGCCACTAAAAGCACGTCCCTTTTCAACCCCCTCGTCCCTCCGTCCCCCCACCAAAAGCCACTTGCTGACGATCAATGAACGCGCAGGGAGGCAGAAAGCCGTCCAATTACGCTCTGCTGAATTAAAATTTGGCTCATTATAGTAACTCTGAAACGTATAATGTATAAAAATGTAACACTATATAATAAACATTTGCTGCCGGCTGATGGCACCCTTGATATATTTTAGATGACTGCTTACACTGTCATGTATAAATACTGACATGTACAGTCACATTCTTACAAAAATACTTTTAAACCCTAATAACACACACACACACACACACACACACACACACACACACACACACACACACACTTGTCCAGAGGGCTTTCACCAGCCGTCCTGACTCCTCCTCAGTCTAGTGTCTTCGGCTCTCTCTCTCTCAACTTGATTACTATTGTTGGTCTTGTGTCACAAAGGGCTGTTGATGTGATTAGTATCTCTTCTCCAGAACATGAGCGCGTTCGAGAGTGAACTGGAGAATCTGCTCGGGGAGTTTCATATCAAAATGAAAGGTGAGAAAAGTGAACAAGCTCACATCCCATACGTTGATTTCTGAAATAAGGTGATGAACCTAAAAGTAATTATATTCACTACACCACCTACATACTGTTTTGAGCATCATCATTGACTCTGTAGGAAAAGTATTTCTGAATATGGTATTTATGATATTTGATATTGAAATTCATTAAGGTTTGTGTACTGCAATGTTTAATGAGTAAATGGCTACATTGTCTCTCAAAGTTGTTTTTGAATCAATATCCTCCCTCTGACAGGTTTGGCGGGCTTTGCTAGGCTTTGTCCTGGAGACCAGTATGAGGTAAGACCTTTAGATGAAATGATGTCTTGTTTTATTGAAAATACTGTTCTGCTGTGAGCCTGTCAAAAGGTTTGCTTACTTATTTCTCCCTGTACGGCCTTCCCTTCCCTCAGATCTTCATGCGGTACGGTCGCCAGCGCTGGAAGTTAAAGGGAAGAATTGAAGTGAACTCCAGACAGAGTTGGGATGGAGACGAGATGATCTTCATGCCTCTCATCACCGACCTCATCAACATCAAGGTACTGAAAGGAATCCAGATAAGCTTTTTTACTTTACAGTAAATCAACAATTATTTTCTTTTCCCTTTTCAGCACGTGTGTACAAAGTTGGTTTTACCCAGATTGGGTGATTATTCTGACAGTTCAGACATATTTAATAACAGCGGATGTAAGAAAATAAGCAACTCATGTCTTGATGTTGGAAGAACCTGGGTAATCTTTTATAATGGATGTTGTCTTTGGCCTGAATTAGGTGACGGAGCTGAAGGGCCTGGCCTCTCACATGCTGGTTGGCAGCGTGATCTGTGAGACCAAGGAGCTGTTTACCGCCATGCCTCAGGTTGTGGCTGTGGACGTCAACGACCTGGGGACCATCAAGCTCAACCTGGAGGTCACGTGGTAGTAAGTTCCCTCTTACACGTTATTCATCGCGGTTGGCAGAATCAGCGTGTTATTTATTTATTGTTATAATCCTATAAGGGGAAATGAGGCCAAATCCAAGATTAGAAAATGTGTGTACAGAAGTTCAGTGCATAATAAAAGTACACAGTAGATGGTGAAATGGATAAAATCTGAGATTACTTGATGATTTATTTGATTTTTGGGGATTAATCACATTTAATTTCATGCTCATTCCACAAAATTTTAATTTAATTTTCATCGCAGTGAGCATTTTTATTTTCAGTTTATAAAGGGGATAGGAGCTGCATTCTTTCAGTCGGGTATTTCTACAGATCCTCTCAACACAATTTTTTTTTTTTTTTTTTTTACAAGTGTGGACCTCATCAGTATGGTACCGTCACACATCTGCAGTAACTAATATTAGTGTGTTGCATTAAATTCAGTCTACATTAGTTGTTGTTTTCTGCCACCTGGTGGTGAAACATGATTGTTACAAGTTGTGGAACTCAACGAAGCAAAATAATCCGCTGTCACAAAACCAAATGAATGAGATCATAAGGACAGTACATGTAAATGGGCATAGACGAATCCTAATAAGTCATGTTTCGTCCCCCGTTTAAGCCCCTTCGATGTCGAGGACCTGACTTTGTCGTCCGGTAACTTGAGCAAAGCCACAGCACTCCAGAGACGAGTGTCCGTCTACAGCCAGGGCACGCCGGAGACGCCCACTTTCCAGGACACTTCCTTCTTTGTGAGTCCAACAGACAAACCTCCTTTTAGATCAATAAGTGTGGTGGGAAACAGTCACGTTTGTTTAGCCGAGAACAAATTAGAAAAACCTGAACTCTTGTAGGATAATAAGACAGCCAATTGTGTGCAAGAGATGCCCTTTGTCTTTTACACTCCCATAGTGCCAGCACACTAACCTGTCTACGCCCTGTGCAAGCCTTATCACAGTCCCATGGTACACATTTTTTCTGTTGATGCATCGTGCTTATGTGAGCAGCGCCAATGCTACGCCTAAACTAACCCTCCCCATTTCCCTGCTACCCTCCTCTCCTTTGCATCACCACCTTACCCACACTCTGTCCCGCTACATGTTTACCCATCCCTCTTGCATCTCCCTCCCCTGCCCTCACTCAAATATCCAACACCTTGTCCCATTTGCTTGCGTGCATTTGTGTGAAGAAGTGGCGGCAATATCCCGTGCAGCGCCAGCGCCTCTCCTTCCTGCACATGCTCCGAGACACCCTGCTAGAGAAGTTAAGGCTCAGTCGCTCGTTTGGTGACCTGGCCTCGCTCCGGCCAAGGCCCAAATCCAGTCTGGAGGTCTATGTGAGTGTGTTGCGTCCCCTCGATCCTAACCTGACTGTGTGTGCCCCCCCCACCCCCTACCTCGGGACAGAATGGGGATGTAGTGTGTTCCTCTGCTGGTGTGGACCACTTGCACTTGTCCTTTTCTGTGAGTTGCAGAATGCAATATGTGGCTCTTTGCATGTGTATGCACAGGCTTTTTTGGTGGTTGTCTTCTTGGAGTTAACTTACTTTGATTCTATCTTGGTTGACCGGATCTGGTCATAAGAATTTATAAATAGTAGCGGTGAATGTTTCACTGCTACAACCGTATGTGGGCCATCTCTTTTTCCAAGAGCTTTCTCTTTCAATGATTTTAAGCTTACTCTTATCTCTTGGTATCTATAATTAAAATTAGTTTATATGCCAATATTCTGACTAATCCTGAAAGTACTGCAGGACAGATGTGCTAAGAGACTGAGATCCTCTTTGATCTTCCATTGTTTTGTTACACATATTTACTGCTCCATCCTTTCTTTCAGTCCACTCTACCAGATGATGTCTTTGACAACGGGGGCTGCGGCGTGGCAGAGTGTAAACGTCTCTCCTTCACCTTTTCGGACACCTCTGGTTCCATGCCCAGCCCCGCACCGAGCTCCCACTCCGCAGGCCCGTCCAACCCAGAGATCACAGTCACCCCTCCAGAAATGGACCAGTCACCTACACAAATCCTCCCAACAAGGGAGGACTCCATCGCTGAGGAGCATTTAGAGGAAGAAGAAGAGGAGGACGAGGACGAAGACGAGGATGAAGAGGAAGAGGAGGAGGACGAAGAAGATGGGGAGACGGGTAGCAGAGGGAGCAGGGGCACCAGTGGCAGCCTCGCCAGCGATGAAGCTGAGGTGGCAGAGGACTCTGAGTGGGAGCGCACAGAGTCCCAGCGAAATTCCCTCTTCGGTTCAGCCGCCCCGTCCCTCTGCTCTGACGTCCACCTGTCCGCAGTGGCTCCAGAGGATGTTTTCTTGGACCACGCTGACGAACTGAAACCCGTCGAGCTGGACGCGGAGGAGGCGGGCAGCCTGACCAGGCAACTCGTGAAGAGGCTGACTTCTTTGGACGTCGCGCCGCCGAGCGGGAGCTCCACGGATGGGGGAGGGAGTCTGAGCTGGACGGGAGAGGGGAGCAGGGCTTTCCTGGAGAGCAGCATGGAGGAGGCCATCCACAGCTTGTTGATGAGGCTGGAGTCTCTGAATCACCGCTGCCGAGAGCTGCAGGACCTGGAGCAGGAAGTGATGCGACTAGAAGACCTGCTCAAGGTACCCAAACCTTTTCTTTGTCAATCTAATTCATACCTGCACAAGATGTTGTATGGGAAAAAACCGACACAAATTACTTTCAGTGAATATTACTATTCAGTTATTTTTACTTTGATCTTAGTCCACATTTATTACTAATTACATGACACAACCATTACGTCTAAAAATAAAGTGGCATGCAACAAAAACAAAGATTTGATTTGGGTAATCTAAATGGGTCATCTTGTAACACACTGCAAATGACCTTCCACTACACGTGGAGATTTTATTTGGAAGAGCCTTCTTCTGTAGAGAATCCGTATAATTACAAAATACCTACTCACTGATGGCAATTAAAAAGGTCAGTATATGAGTGCTTTAGTTACCATGATGGACGTTGACGTTAAGAATCTGCTGACCCACCATCCCCCTCCCTTTACAGTGTCGTCTGCCGGGTCACAGGAGCAGGTCCTCCAGCCTCAGTCTGACAGTAGAGAGCGCCCTGGAGAGTTTCGACTTCCTCAACACCTCTGACTTTGATGACGAGGATACTGGAGACGATAACGCCGTTCTCAGTACCCCCCCACAAAGGTCTCCGCTGTTTGATACAGATGGAGAAAGGATCGGGTGAGTGCGAGACGTCCTCATGAAAGTATTGTACAGGAAATCTGTCCTGTTAATTTATCATGTACGGTGGATCCCTGTTGGTTACTCGGGATATGTCCCCCTCAGTAGCCAGCACCCAGAAGCCAGAGGACACCTGAGCGAAGCCCTGACGGAGGACACCGGCGTGGGCAACAGCGTGGCAGGAAGCCCCCTGCCGCTCACCACTGGGAACGAGAACCTGGACGTGGCCATCGTCATCCACCTGCAGTACTGTAATCACCTCATACAGGTGGGGCTCCCAATGTTGGAGCGTGAACGGTAAATGAATAGTCATAGTTAACAACCGTTTATTGCAGCAGGCCCTTTGGTTCTTTTCTTTTTAATGACAGTTGCTGACCGGTGGGGTCGGTCAATGGCAGCGTCGCAGTCTTCTCCTCAAACTCTCCGGTCAGACTCAGCTGTTGGAAGAGCTGGCAGAGCTCAGTGTGGATAAACTGGGAACAATTACGACTTCTGCAGATGGTAGGTCCCGACAAGGGAAACCCAGTTTGCTTTATGCATGTGGTAGTTTATGTTGACCGTGCAACAACCCAACAACAACAAAGTCTTGCAACATTTTTGTCCTTTTCTTTCAAAGTTCTCCCGGGCCTCGCGGAGCGCCCACAGCTCATGACTCTGTGGTCGGAGTGCAGCGGGTCTGCAGGACTTTTCCACACCACACTGGACCGAGTGTTCACGCACATGAACCACCGCTACGCAGCCGTGCTGCAGGAGAGGCACCCGCGCAGCGCTGACACAGGTTGGATCTTTATTGACGTTTAACAATAAACTAAAGTTGGTGTTTTAATGCAACTATATTTCCAGTTCAATCAAAACAACGTTTTCTGACTCGAGCTCTCTCCCTGCTCTCTCCAGTGATTGGTGTCGTTGTGAGCGAGATGGTGGACAGGAGCTATCTGGTGGCGGCGCACGTCCTGGGACGGCTCACCGCCACTGAGCTGTCCCAGGACGTCCTGACCGTGTTTCAGTTCCACAGCTACGTCTTAGAGCATGAAGTACTGGACATGGAGACACACCTCCTACACCTGGCCAGAGAAGGTGAGGAAGAGCACTGATCAAAACCACAATTGGCACTCTACATGCTATGCGTTGTTTAAACCTCTTGCTTGCGTCCATGTCCCCCTCAGAGATGTTTGCAGAGGCTCTGTGCAGTCAGGATTATTCTCGGTGCCTAGCAGAGCTGGAAGAGGTTCCCGTCTCCTCCTTGTGGCCTAGAAACGGCACCCTGAGGGCCCTGGCCTCCCTGCTCACCGCCGAGCACCCTCAGGTCAACAAGGCCGCAGCCGACTACCTCTCTTCTGCGTCACACAGCCGCTTCAGGATCAGAGTGAGTAGTGTGTTCGACGGACAGGGGGGGGCGATGGGAGGCAAAACAGCGTTTTTAAACAGCGTTGACGGATGCCACGAGCCACGTTGTGAATGTTTGTGTGGGTTTCCACAGGCGGTGGAGTGCTACACACACGCGCTGTCAGAGGCCGGAGTCCAGAGCCAGAGGGCGGCTTGTTCGGCGCTCAGCTGTCTGCAGGTCGGTGGCCAATGACGTCATCTACAGCTGTGATATTGTGACGATTTGGAGCTGGTTTAGGTCTCAATTTGGGTCAATTGAAAGAGAAAGCTAAAATAAGGCTTCAGTTTGAGTTGAGCGGTGTCGTCCAGAAGCACGGCCTACGTTTTACATAGAGGTCTTCTATTAAGATTGTGTTCAAGGCAGGGTGAGAATTTAACGTCACATTTATTTTATTTTATTTTGAGTGGTATACTATGGCAGTTAACTAAAAAGAGGAAATAATTCCAGAGCAGCCTGTTGTTTTTTTGTTGTCTTTGTACTTTGTCAAGTGATCGCTTCACAGAGCCTTTCTGTCTGTCTTTAGGCAGTAGAGAGCATCAAGGCGGTGGTTGCACTGTGTGATTCAGCCGATGAAGAGCTTCGCCATGTTGCCATAGAAACCCTGCTTACATTTGGTAAGGATCATATCTACAGAAGAACTGATTGTCTAGTATTATCAATGTCATATCATAATCATCTTTCATTTTCATGTGGTTTGTATCTGCTGGGGAATAAATTTAACTACAAAATATGAATGTCGGGAGATTTATAGAGCTGCTTGATTATTTAGCCAATACAGTTTTTATGTGTAATTTAACATACCAGTTTTTTCATTTTCGAAATATTGTGCTAGTCTTTTACAGCAGTATATTGTGACACTTCTAGGCAGTATACCATAGTAAGTCATAATAAACAAAGGTAATAGTGTAATATGTATTAAAAAAACACCATCAATTATAAAAATATAAATGTGATGGGATCCGCGCAGTACGATACAAAGACAAGTTTATTTTCCTCAGACTTGTGCTCAATTTAAAGAGGTGAGTGTTTACAGATGACCCTTTTGTCCGTGGCAGGTGAGGAGGGGCGGCTGGCCTACGAGCAGCTGGACACGGTGCCCGGGGAAATCCTCCGCCTCGGCGCGCGGCGGGGAACTGCTGTCACCACTGCCTTCTGAGCCACCGCCACCAGAAACCTCTCAGCCCCGCCCCCTCACACGGCGACACCCAACACTGCACACCTTCACACGGCCGTCAATGACTGATCACTTTATTGATCCGCTTTTCTGCACCGACTCATGGAGCTCCGCATTAGATCACCGTTCTCTTACCGCACTGCCTCCTCGTAGGAACTAACACCAAACCAACCGCAGAAGACACAAGCTACACTCTTCCCCCGAGACACCTTCACACTCCTTGATTCACCGTCACTCACTCAGAAACTTCTACGCTTCAAACCTTCCTCTCCCTGCTTCCTGAGCCAGGCAGACCGGACATACTGAGAGCACAAATCTGACTGCACACAAAAGCCACTGGAAGGTCAGGACAAGCCGCTGCAACCCAACCCAATTCACTCATTGATTAATCGTCACCTTGATTGTTACGGAGACCGTTGTGTCATGCAATATACTAACTATGATCTTTGTATAATCACTGTCTACAATTACAAATGTTTTCTGGCGCTTTTGAAGGATTTGCACTGTTTGCGAGGCATGTAATGTGGCATATTTTACACCGCCTGTGTAATATGTGTGCTTGTATTCAAGATATATTTTTAAGTTTTCTAATACGTTCCATTTTGAGTTTCAGGGATTCTTGTACAATTGGAAGTGTTATGAGACAGGGAGGACCAATAATACGTTGAGAATGTCATTCAAGGAGGTTTTAAAGCCGAACTTTAACAGCAGTTTGACCTCAGCTGTCCGTTATTCGGAGGAAAAGAAAAACCTGAAAGGCAGATCTTAAGCGGGTCAGCACACTGCCCACGTATCCCTCGCCGTTTAACAGTCTTCTCATACATGCAGTTCAACAAGTGCAATTTTTCTGCACAAATGTGATCCTTATGCACCGAGACATTAGAAGACAAGTGGTAAAGTCATTTGAGCCTTGATACGGTCGAGCAGGCAGGTTTCCACAAATACACTCTCGTTGATTTTTTTTTTTTTTAATTATTTTTTAAGTCCAGGGCAATAGATTTGGTTTAAGATTGTGATCCAATTCACTTTACAGAGAGAATACTTTAGGCTGAGTGAAAGCGTCATTTTCGCTTACTGCTCATTAATACAGTATGTGAGCTAGTGGCAGGATTGCAAATTTTTGCTTCTTTTTTTTATGAGAAGCTGCCGAATGAGGTTTTATTTCGCTCCATCAACTGTGGTGTGGGAAAACTGACCCGATATCAGCGGATATTCTTTTTCTCATTGTAAATGTACTACTGAGTCTTGTGCCAGAGCACAATGACAAAACTCATGTTTGTTGACACATGTTATTTATTGTTTACTTGGAATTCTGGTATTATTTGGAGTTATACTGTAATAGTGCAGATGACCTGTAAATGAGATGTATATTTGTTCTATTTCGGATGAATTCTATTATTGGAAATATTATTTATCGTTTAAAAAGACGTCCATAACATCATACTGCAAATTCTTATGTTTAATTTTAATTGTTTATTTTGAAGGAGATTAGATTATTTTGGAAGATTACAATATCATTACTGTTAAATCTTACATATATTTCCTAAAAGGTATTAGACATAATGGGACATTATTTATTAGAAATGTTACTTTATTACTTCAACCAAAGGCTTTTTTTAATTTGACTAATTCATAACGGAGTGTATTTTCAAAACGTTTGCATTTCGGCCAGAATAATGACTTTTATTGCAAAGCACAAAATAGGACAAACCCATAATCTATGAATTGTTATTCGGTTATAACTGCACAATCCAAAAGCCATATCGATTAAAAGCAAGTAATATTTTTATGACATTTTTGTTTTGTAATATCTGTAAATGTATGAAGTTCTTACTAAAAGCTAGCTCTTTTTTTCTAAGCAACCTTTTGCAAAACATGCTCTGTATTTCATCCACAATGTGAATAGCATTATAGTATTTTGGTAAAGTATATAATTCATCCACTCATTGTTTGAAATTTTTGAGTGAGCGTATATTCTTTACAAGTCTTAAGTTGATTCATTGGCTGTTCAATTCCAAGTAGTCAATGTGCGCAACTCATTTATAGTTGCAGTACCTTGCAACAAAATTGATCAATTTTGTACACTGCCTGGCCATAAGAAAAGTTGCCACCTGGATTTAACTGAGCAAATAAGTACATGCCCCCTATTTGATAATTACTGTATGGGCTCAGCGAACTACCTGACCAGCTTATTCCATCGGGCTCAAATTGTGAAAGACGGGAGCATGAGACAATTTCCACACATGGATTGGCCACCAGACCTTAAGCCTATTGAGAATCTATGGGATGCGCTGGAGAAGGTTTACGCAGTGGTCAGACTATCAATACAAGATCTTTGAAATGAATATTGCCACAGCAAACGCATGCTGTAATCAAAGCTAAAGGCGGTCCAACCAAATATTAGTGTGACTGGCCAGGCAGCAAGTCCAATCAAGATGCAATAAAATGTATTTTTGGGCTTTCAAAAACTGACTTTAATGCATACTAAAGTACATTATATTCCAATTTCAGATATCTAAAGCAATAGTAAGTTTATTTCCATGAAACCAAGACTTGAGACCAACCTGCAGTTGTGAACTATGGGCCATTAAGTGAATTGTAAATGTGTACTAGTACAGTCTTAAATATTGCCCTTGTAATAGGTTTCCTGCACCTGTAAGAACTTTGGTTCGCTTACTTCTTGACAGACAAGTCTGTTTATTATAAACCAGTAAGGAGCAAAGCCAGATGCAATGTTTTTTTAAAAGCATTTATTTTAAATTAGGCTTTATGTACAAAATTGAGCGACATTGCACAATATTAAGTAAACAAAATCACTATAGGGCCGTGTGGTCAGACACATCTTGCATGTAGTATTTCTTTCCTCAGTCTCATAGTAGGAAAAGTGCAGCTTCAGTCACATGGTCCTCATCACCCCCAATAAGATTCAAACCATCAAGATGAATGAGGGGCTTCGGGTGAGACATGCTGCCAGTCAATTCCTCATAAAACAAACTAGTCACATTTGCCTCCTTAATGGCTTAGGACTAAGCAGCCAGTCATTTGACAGATTACACCTGAGCTTTTCCTCCTAAAAAAACTTCTGCTTTGCAAAATGACTGAGTTTGTTCTGAACACATCACCTAAAAAAAAAAAAATAAAAAAAAACCTGTTAAAAGCTTTAAAAAAAAAAAAAAAGTACATAAATTACTGTCGAGCTAATGCGGTCACATGGATGACCACTTGCTGCCAGGGAAACAATAAATCCTGACCTGTATGGAAAAAAAGGCCAAAGTCCCATTACAACCCAAAATTGTGTCAGTTAATCCCGTTCTGAGGGTCCAGCCTGTTCGTCGTCCAAATCACACTGACTGTAATCAGAGTCGTCTTCCTCGCTCTGTCCTGCCTCATTAAGGTCATCGTGCTCTTCCTCCCCATCCTCTTCCACGTCAAGCGCAATCTCCCTCAATTCCTCCAGATTCTCTGGGCTCGCCCCAGTCAGCCTCTGAAATGTAAAATATATAAAGTTATTATGGCCACAAAACGTCTCCAGCATATTGGACAATAAATTGTGCCTACCTCGATCATATCAGCCATGTATTGTACATGCTGCGCCAGCTCCTGTAGCTCGCCATTCTCACACTTTAGCCGTGTTATCTGGTCATCTTTAGCTTCAATGTCTTTGTGCAACTGGTTAAAGAATAAAAATAACGCATTTTGCTTGAAAAGGAAAAAAGCCGAAACATGACAGAATGCATTTTACAAACAATACGGACAAATAAACTCTTCAATGAGGGCGTTTAGGTGCAGGGTTACTTGAAAACTACGTGCCAGCTCGACTGAAGCCAGCCACCGTTGGGACCACAAGGGCGTGGGAACAATTCAGGGGCCTGCTAAACATTAGCCATTTCTTAGCGATTAACTCACCTTCTCGTTCTCCTGTAAAACATTGTACAATGCTTTCTGACGCTCGTCTGCGATCACTTTCCAGTAGGCGGCAGGAGGAGTTTCTACAACAGATGGAAATATTGCTCAAAATAGAGAACATTTTGGGGGGGGGGGTTCCATATATTCATATGTAATGCAATGATAATCATGCCTACCTACGACCATCAGCTGATATGCATCATTGGACATGTCATTTGACAGACATGGAGTTTCATCAGTTTGTGTAGCCTTGACTTCTACCTTCACCCTCTTTGGGCCTCTAGTGTATTCTGCATTACATTGTTTCCTTTTGGGAACAACCTTTCCTGCCTAAAGAGAAGGGAGAAAAAAAAAGGTTCAAGCTAGAAGCCTTTAAAATGTTGAAACCAACTTAAAGCCGCAACAGACATAGTTTAGTGGAACAATTTTAGTCAAACATGAAAATACCAACGGCAACAAGTCACTACATACCTGAGCTGACCGTCCCAACGCTTTGTTGCCTGCCGATTGTTGGAGGACCTGCAGGGTTGGCCTCGGGCATCCCATTGCATTTTGAGATGTGAAAAGTCTCTGAAGAGGAAAACACAAAAACCGTTAGCAGTCTACTCTGCAAGCTAAATGCCACACATGCTTAACGCAACACTTTACAATAACAATTCCCAGATGCATTTTGGGAAACTCCCACAGGAAATTAACATGACCATAGGACAGACTAAATGAGAGGAGTGTGTTGCAACGCTGCTGCCGCCGCCCAGAACAGGGTGCAGAATCAGCTGTGGGAAAGTTAGAGCAGGTGCACTGGGAACCGCAAGGTTGGTGGTTCAAGTCCCGGCTGCCCCATGTCTCAAGTCGAAGTGTCCCTGAGCAAGACACCTAACCCCTAATTGCTCCCCAGGGATAGTAGCTCCATCGTTTCGGTCTCTGGCCAGCAAATACTGGCTGTCCGGTGTGAGGCAGCTGGAGGCACCTCACAAAAAGGACACGATAACGTTCCATCGCGATAACCCCCCCCGTGAACAACACGGTCATGTTAGAATGACACACGTACAACAGAAACACATCCGGTCTACTTCGCTCACCTTCACGTTCTCATTAGACCTCTGGTGGCTGGGCTTCAGCTTCCCACTGGAACTCATTTTCTTTCAAAGGGCCTGGTGGGGAAGCGTAGAGGAAGTTTACACTAAAACCCGCTTACGAGAGGAACAGGATCAAAATAAGAATGACACGGCGAGCTGTATATCCCAACGTTAAAAATCAACATTTGTGGGATAAAATGCTGATTGTAATGTTAATTTAACAGCGTTATTTGTTAAGACCATCGAGTCTAAAGCCGTTCACAAGAGTATCGTTAACTAAAGTTACCCTACACGTGTCGGCTCGTCGTCAGGAAAACGTAGTAAAGGTTATTTAAAAAGTGGACCTACGACTATTTAAAAGAGTGCAACTAAAGGCTATCACAGCGGCGGCTAACGCTAACAGTAGTTACGCAGACTGTATGCGGGGACGGTTCAACACATTAATCAATGATGAGTAATCAATGGCTTCTAATCATGACTTGATTAGCTTACCGTCGGTGAGACAAACTCGTGGTTTTGGCGCCTAGCAGCAGACTGGTTGTTTGTCCAGGAGCCCGCGTCACAGGCTTAAATACACCCACTCGGTCACGTGATAACGACGCGGGGCACATGGGAGATTTTCGTGTTTTTTTTCTCCTCTCGCCGTCACGTGTCAAAACACGTCACATCTTCGTAGTTGACTCTGCAGCCATTTTGGGGAGGCTGTCGTCGAGCTTGAGTGTGCCGTTACAAGCTGCCCAAAAAAAACACACAAAGAAAACCGAGCGGACAAACGTTGGACGACACGCCGTTAAATATGGGCCCGCCGGGAGACAGACCACGCCACATGTCGACTGAAAGAACGGAGGATTTCAGCTGGATTGTCGATTTATCTTGACATGGCATGCGGCAGGGCGAGTCGGCGGTTGTGACGACTGAAGGAAGAAAAAAAAGAGCGAAAGAAAACAAGCGCTGCAAACAACTCGAAACTTCAGACGTAGAAAGGGGCAGATGTGGTTTGACTGACGCGCGTCGCGGCCTTCACGGGTAGTCGCTGGTTCCTCATTAATTCCCTTTGCTGATTTTGCTGTCGATTTTAAGTTGTCGACCAAGACGCGACTGAAGCTAACCGCGCCTAGCCGAGATGCCTCGCACGAGCAAAACCAGCTAAGTCGGTCGCCCGTGACGGTCTCCCGACTCTCTCCGCACTGGCAGTCGCGTTGAACCTGGCGAGAAAATGTAAACGCGTAGAAAGATGACCGTACGCTAGCCAGCCAGCCGCAGGTGGGCCTCAATTAAGCCAATCCGTCAGAAGATAAGATGTAGCTTTATCGTCGGTTCACTACTAGTTAGTGTCGGAAGTGACTGCCTAGGTTAGCTTGCTAGCTCGCCCTAGCTAGTGTGCTAAAAATACGCCCACGTCATGACTACCGGCGGTGGCAGCGCCGCGGGCCGCGGGCCGAATGGGTGGCAGTGAAAAAGTCAAGGAAATGTCAAGGTACTTTGGCAGTAGTCTTCGATGTTACCCGGCGCCACTATCTCCCGGCATCTGTATTTAACAGCCATGTTCGTCCGTCTCCCCGATCCGTCTTTAACACGCCGTGTCTACGGATAAACAAACACACAAAACGACAGCAATGGAGGAGGGACTCTGAAATGACCCAAATAATACGATATTTGTCGACTTGCTAGTCTCTGTAGTCCTCACTTTCACTAGGAAAACTCTATGGTCGGTATGGGTTTTTACAGTAGGAGACGTTTCTGTTGATTTCAGTACAATTCTCAGTATAAAAGACACATTTGAGTTGCTCTTTTCTTTCAGACTGTTAATCCCTTATCGATGGAAGGTTGAAAAATGCTCATGTAGCTTAAAAAGCATGTCTTAAAACATGGATTTCTGAACAAGTAATAAGGATATGTAGTCTTAGATTGTCGACTAATTCCCTCCTAAGCACTGCCCTTTTACAATAAACAAAAATGATTTAGAATTGTTTTATGATTTGTCAAACTTCTCAGTTGGTAGTGGGTATCTGAGATCTAGCCTAGAGTTGTTTGATGCGTTGTTTCTGCAAAGGGTAGCCGCCTCCATCCTTTATCCAACGTATACATACTAAAGTACAGAGTTTTGCCAAAATATTCTGCACAAGAGAAGATCGTACCATCAAAATCTGACCATGGGGGACCCAACTTCACGAAGAAATCACACAAGAAATCGACTTCGCGCTCAACTTCGGAAGAAAAGGGAATCTTTGGCTGATCAGTTTGACTTCAAGATTTACATAGCCTTTGTTTTCAAAGAAAAGGTTTGTCAGTAACTGGATATGATCTTCATTCTAGCCGCTCATAATTTTCTCCATCTTTTTGATCATTGCACAATTATACATCCCGTTCGGACTTGATCCCTTTGGATTCCCGTGACAAAATTTATTATCTTCTAACTTGAGTTTGTTCTTGTGTACATTCATTGCAGAAGAAGAAGTCTGCACTTTTTGAGGTAGCTGAAGTGGTGCCAGTGATGACCAACAACTATGAAGAAAACATCCTACGAGGTGTGCGAGATTCCAGCTACTCTCTCGAGAGTTCATTAGAACTCCTGCAAAAAGATGTCGTGCAACTGCACGCCCCCCGATACCAGTCAATGCGAAGGGTAAGTCGGTGGGTGCATTGTCATAAGATGGGGATTGCTGGAAACAGACACTTCTGTTGTGTTTTACATTCTCTTCTCTTTATCACAGGATGTGATCGGCTGCACACAGGAGATGGACTTCATCCTTTGGCCACGCAACGATATTGAGAAGATTGTCTGTCTGCTGTTCTCCAGATGGAAGGGGGCCGATGATGAACCGTTTAGGCCTGTTCAGGTCAGACCATGGCACCGTGGCAGATCATTCGGGCTGTAACTGTTTGATGACTGCGGCTATTTTTGCGTGTAATTGTTAATTACAGTTAACCATGAAAATACGCTTTGTTATAATAACCTGATTTTCACATTTGAGACATTTTTATTTATTCAAATTAAATAATTAGCTGAATTAATTTGGCTCTTGAATCACCCTGCTATAAGTCTGTGAGACCAAATGTACTTATTGGCTCACAAGACTTTCCTCTGATTTACAGGCCAGGTTCGAATTTCATCATGGAGACTACGAGAAGCAGTGTTTGCATGCTTTGGGTCGTAAAGACAAGGCTGGAATGGTCATGAATAACCCAACTCAGTCTGTATTTCTCTTTATGGATAGACAGCACTTACAGGTGAGTCAGTCGACACATTCTAATGCTACTGATTTTCTACTGACTTTAACCCGAGACAGCGTCCTAACATTTGACTGCAACTGTTCTCTATCCACCTCTTCCAGACTCCTAAAACCAAGGCCACAGTGTTCAAGTTGTGCAGCCTCTGCCTATACTTGCCTCAGGACCAGCTGACCTGCTGGGGTGTGGGAGACATCGAGGATCACCTCCGCCCGTACATGCCTGATTAAGGCTTCCTGCATTAAACAGCCACACAGGAAAAAGCCCTTTCCCTCCTTCCTGCCTAAGCCTTCAGAAGCAAATTGATGTACTCATCTCCATTCATTTCCTGTTAAAAGATTTGAACTTGTGCTTGGATCTCTCCCGTTTTTGTTACCTACCCATTACCTACCCTCCCTGACCGAGGCTGATTCAGTTCCCATCCCTGTCTTTTTTTTCCCCTCATGCTCCCAATGTTCTTTTCTCTTTCTGCTTTTTTTGGATTGGTTCCCCCCCTTTTTTCTTTTACTCCCTCTCCACCCCTGCTTACTCACTCATACATTTTTGTTCATTTGAGCCTGCACGAACATTGATTTTGAGTGGTTGGTTGTTCTCTTGGAGCTGCACTATCAACAGCACCGGTCATTGAAGGAACTCTTTATGTTGCATCAAAACAGGAACAAACAATACACAGGTCTTCACGGTGGTTTTAAGATGGACGTGTTTAATAACCTTGTGGTCATAAAGGATTGTTCAAGCGTGTTTGTAATGTCGATGGGGTTTCTAGAACAACTTGACAAGATCTTTTGACCAAGGACAGGTGTGAAAAGGTGTTTAAACACCTGTATAAGCAGAGAAAACAAGATGAACAATATTTGTCTAATCATATGGTGTAGGTATTGCTTCTTTACAACCGCCTTAGTTCTTTTTTTTTGCTGGACTTTAAAAAAAAAAATGTTTTGGTGTCATCTGCTTTCCTCCAAGAAATGCTAGGCAGGTCTTTGCTAAAATCTGGAGTGGCTTGAAAGGCTTTGTACACCAAGTTGAGAAGCGTTGGTTAGATGTTGGAGGTCATTGTCACCGTTCAAGCACCATTCATTTAAGCTACTGAAATCTGTTATGTTTTTGTTTGAGATGTCGGGTGGTGAAAAACTGAACTGGTGACACTTAATGTTTAACTTGCTTAACAAAGTTGCTAAAGCGAATCGATTTGTTTTATTTGACTTATTAAATTGATAATTTGCTGACATGCTCAAATTAAAATTGGCTTCGCTTGTCAAAGAATGCTAACTATAGTAAATATAATTTTGCTCCTTGTTGATTTAGTGTGTTCACTTAAAAGGATAATAGGCGTGTAACTTCTGGGTTTTTCTGTTGATTCTCAAATCAATACTGCTGAGCATATCCCAATACAATGCAAATTCTGAAAGCATAACTCTTGTCTTTTTATTACATTTGCACGAAATGGTACCATTGATACAGTAGTCACAGAATTTACTTCCGTAAAGCCATTCATTTCCTTGTAACTTCTTTACATAAATACAACAGCGGTAGAAGGATTCATTTAGTGTACCTGGACTTCACCACGGTCTGTGTTTGAGAACTATTTCCCCTACTTTCTTGTTTCAACAGCTCACGTGATGTGTGATTTACAGACAGGCAAAGAGAGGAGACTGCTTAGCCGCTGCCAAGGTGTTTAGTGTGTCTGCCTTGTGCTATGAGCTTCCCCGTGGCCTTGTTGGTGAGGTCTACAGTGGCAAACGCCAGCGTCCGTCCCTGCTTCAGAACCTGGGCGGTGATGAGTACGTCCTCTCCCATCTTGGCAGCATTCACATATCTGCAAAACAAATCGACATTTGTACTTTATGAAGCTGATCTTGAACGATCTACATTTTCTTCACCTGAGAGCTCACATGTCAATTCATATGTTACAGGTTCATCTACAGCTAATTCCTTTACGGTTTACGGTGATGAGCTTTTCAATGTTGACCGTGTTGCTGGGCTCACGTTATGTTCATGTCCACGCTGACCCCCGGCGCTCCCCTCTCCGTGTACATGATGGCCATGGTGGATATGACATCGACCAGAGTGGCTGTCAACCCGCCGTGCAGCGTCCCTCCCCGGTTGGTGTGCTCCTCCTCCACCCGCATTTCACACACCACCTTGCCTGGAGTGGCAGACAAGACGTCCACCTGGGAGGGGGGGGGGGGCATACGTGGCTACCTGTCAACAGTGCACCTGTGTGACGTCCCGGCCGGGCAACCGAGCGGTGCCGCGATGCTCACGGTCACAGAAATAAATGTTAAATGCGTCGAAAAGTGTTTCAGAATGTGAAAGCCTTACCTTTCTCAGGACTTTGTCGAAGCCTTGGTGATCTACCATCGCTTTCATGATTTGTTTTAACGAGTTTAAAGACAGTGAAACCATATTTAAGGATAACTGCGGTCAATGTCAGAGAAACTTCCGTTTACCTCGGACTTCACACCGGAAGCAGTTCCGCTCCATAAATCGTCCGGGGGAAGTTTAAAGCTAATCGGCTAACGTTAGCTAAATTGTATTGAGATCCATTGGTTGTCCTCCTCATTGTAAACGATATATTGAAACATTGATTGGTAACTGCACATGTCATTTACATTCTCCCACGTTCAAGCATACGAAGTAACGTTTTTATTTTGCTCCGCTTTGTTCGAGCTTCAATTGGGAAAAGTTACCCGAAAGACTTTCACTGGTGCACCTGAGATAACTTGCGAAGAAAAACATGGACCAGTGTTTTCACTAGTCTTCCTCTGCTGTGTAATTCTGCAAGTAAAAACCAGTGGCTCTAAAACATGGCTTCTAACGGTGCATCAGACTCGGACAAGCCATCGGTTTCTAACGTGGAACGAAGCAGAAGTCGTCTCTGCGATGAGTTTGCGTCATTGACCGGATCCGATAGCGGCGTGGCGCAGTGCTACCTGGCTGAACACGAGTGGGAGATGGAGGTACAGTAGACCGCTCTGCCCGGACACACCTTGCAGGTCACTACGGCAGCAAGTTACACAATGATGATGGTGGGGCCGGTTTTGGCAATTCAACACTGCTGCAGTTTATTTCACTGATTGAATTTAAAGTCTTTAAATCTGTTATCTTGAAAAACGCAGTTGACCCCGATGCACCTGTCCGGTAACCTTTCAGAGAGCTTTGAATTCATTCTTTGAGGCTGATTTGGAAAAAGTATTTGAAGATGATATTCCAAACAGTGAGACCAGCCCCCCCAAAAAGAAGCAGAAAGTAGAGGAAAAACCTTCAGCAGACTGGTAGGTCTACTATCTTCCCTCCTTTTGACACTCTCCACGTTACTTGTGTTTGATACCTCCAAATTAATCAACCGTTTGTGAAACATTTGCAGTATAGATTTGACCGGAGACAGTCCAGCCTCGACACGCAAACCCTCAGATGAAGACGACAATAAACTGTCACTGATCTCCTGGAACGTGGATGGACTCGATACAGACAACCTTGGAGAACGCGCCAGAGGCCTGTGCTCCTTCTTAGTCCTGTAAGCTTGTTCATCTTCCCCGTCAGCATCAGCTGGTATTTTAGTTTGTCCGTTTGTGTCCGCTGCAGAGCAGTGCCCCTTAAAGTAAAAGGAAAAAATGTGTTTTTAAAGTTCAATCTTGTCTTCATGTAGATACACTCCAGACGTGGTGTTTCTACAGGAGCTCATTCCACCTTACGTCCAGTACTTGAAGAAACGGGCTGTCAGCTACCTGATCATCGAAGGTGCGTTGTGCTCAACAGGCCTTTGTCGCCAAATACTTTATGACATGTCACAGGAGGAAAAGTACAACATCATATAAGTACATTATGGACGGATTCTGTTGAGCCAGTCCTGGTATTGTGCTTGATGAAGCCTTTTGATTTCCCTGAAATGACAAGTCAAAACGTTTGCTTTAAAAAAAATACTAATAATAAAGCTTTCCCTACACTCCTGTTTCACTAAACTCTATTATTTTTGATCAAACGGGTGTCTGGTAGTGTTCAGTATCTGGAACTGAATAACAGTAATAAACTGATGCTTAGACCAAAGGTTTAAATGATCGGCTGAACGTTTTCTGTCCAGGGGGCGAGGATGGTTACTTCACCGGGATGATGCTGAAAAAGACACGGGTCAGATTCCTGGAGAGCGAGATAGTATCTTATCCTACAACTCAAATGATGAGGAATCTGCTTGTAGCTCAGGTTTGTCCAGGTTCATTCCAAATACTCCACGTGCAGCTCAACCCAAGTTGACTGAAATCTTTTTCTCTTTGAAATCAGGTGACATTCAAAGACCAGAAGCTTTGTCTGATGACGTCCCACCTCGAGAGCTGTAAAGGCCAAGCAGAGGAACGGATGAAACAGCTGCGAGTGGTGACTCACAGGATGAGAGAAGCGCCTGATGACGTCACCGTCCTGTTTGGCGGCGACACGAACCTACGGGACGCTGAGGTCAGTCGTTGGTCTTGGCATCGCAACATTTCTGGTTTATTTCCCTTTTATACAGGTGTTCACACGTTGTAGCTCTCTTTTTAAAATGATAAAATGCTCCATCTCAGGTGGCCAAGGTGGGTCTGCCCTCCGGTGTCTGCGACGTGTGGGAGCGACTGGGAAAGCAGGAGCACTGCCGCTACACGTGGGACACCAAAGCCAACAACAACAAGAAGGTGCCTTACATCAGTCGCTGCCGCTTCGACCGGGTCTACCTCCGGCCCGCGGCCAAGGACGGCGTCCCCCGCCTGGCCCCTGACCACATGGCCCTGGTGGGGCTGGAGAAGCTGGACTGTGGACGCTACACCAGTGATCACTGGGGAATTTACTGTAGCTTCTCCTCCGCATAGAAATGCACAAAACTGACTGAAACACGCCGGTTCTCAGATGAGCTCGTGTAGTTTACTTTTGTGTGTTTCAGTCACTGAACGTGAATAAATAATCAAAGATAAATTATCTGGTTACCTGTACATTTTACATTTTGATTTGTTTAATGTTGTCATTTGATGTGTCCCTTACTAGTGTATTTTTATTGTTTTAATTGGTTAATAAATGTAGAAAGAATCAATAAACGTGTCAACTCTGTGTATATGTGGTGTTGGTATCTGAACACTAGAGCGCAGCACAGGGTTCAATTGCACTTCTTTAAAATATGTTATCTAATGCCAGTGTGGATTCATCTTTTACATTAAATGAAAGAAATATCAGTCCGCCACTGAAAAGTGACTCCATAACTGGAGCTTTACTCGGACATAGACCATTTGTTCATTCATCCACTGAATGAACTTGACTGTTTTGAAGCTGACTTCCATTGAAAGACGGATGCAAGCGCATACTTACCTCACTAACACACCTGTTGTGAAAAAGGCACATTAGGATATGATTCACTTGCACAAATAATCTACACAACTCTACACTATGATCTCAGTTCCACCACTAACCCGATGTAACCTCGTCTCTGCCCTCGCGTTGCTTGGGACGTGTCCCTCTCAGGCGCCTCACACAGACTGAGCTGACCTCAGGAGAGGACACAGATGAGACTGTTTCGCTGGAAGCAGCCGTCATCAGAACAGGCCTCCCGTCCCTTTGTCCCCGTTTGTCCCCTGCTCCATGTTTCCTAATTAGCAAGGACATATGAGCCATGTCTGTCCAGCTTTAACACGCTTACCTCAAGCCTAAAACTAAAACATACAACACAAGGTGATGTCCCTATAAGGTTTTACGTTTCTAAAATACAAGAAATACCAAAAACGTAACAGGGACACAATGCTTTCACATTTTCTCTAATATGTGAAATAAAAATCAATCATAGGTTTCAATTTAAAGTGGTAGACTTTTTCTTTGGTTTGTCTCTCCAGAATGTTGCAATGAAAATAACTCATAATGCAAAATAGATAACGGGTCAGCTCGGATAGTCAAGGGCACGGTCTCCAATAAAAATACATTGATCTTTGCTCCCGGCCAGTACACGGCCGGAAGCAAAGATCAATGTATTTCTAGCTGCCCGATCAGCGGCAGAGTGCTGTCAGATATTTGAGTGCAACGCTTTTTTCCACCGTCTTTTGGAAGTGTGCTATTTTGTCCTTTTTTTCTCCACATCAGCATTGGTGAGAACCGCAGCAGGTCATAGATGGTACAGACGGAGGCTGTCCGGGCCGAGAAGGAGGTCATGTGATCTCTCCCCCTGCCCCCCCCCCCCCCCGAGCAGGATTCCTCTGCCAGAGGCCGATCGACCTTAAACACTCGCACCACAGGTTTTCCTCTGGACGGCTGCGTAGACAATGTTCCAAGATCATTTCACTCACCTGTTTGTTTTTTTCCAATGACAATTCCTCTCCGAGATCTTTGTTTTGTTTACCATCTTGGATGTATTTTTGGAGCTATCCTCCAAAAGCGTCGCCCCTCAGTGAGATCCGGGGCTCTCATTTGAGGCCCGTCAAAATGAATGTTCTTGGTTTTGTGCGGACGTGTCCCCGTGCTGGCGGAGAGGCTGTGGGAAGAGGTTGAGGCGGCGTTAGACGATGATGGATCAGACACAGCTCTGACCCGAGCCCGTTAAGAGAGCGGCCGCTTGTTTAGTAGTCAAATACATTTCTGTGGCTACATGGAGGGAAAAAAGCGTTGTTGTTTGCGCTCAATGGATTTGTGATGTGGGCAACATTTCCATTGTGTGTGTGTGTGTGTGTAGATGGGGAACAGGTGTGTTGTCAAGCAGGATCGATCTGGACCATGTCCATCTGACACTGTCCACCTCCCCCCTCCACTGACAACCTGTCACAGGCAGGGCAAGGGCACGCAACGCGGAAGAGGTGCTCTACATCACCGCCGCCACATCCATCACTACTTTTGTTCAAAACCTCTGTGACAAACTGCCCCTGAAGGCAGCGTTATTTCTGCCCTTACTGCTTCTGCTGCACATTTGAGGACCGGCAGTTATTTAGAGGTTTGCAAGATAAGAGGAACACTCCGGAGCGAGGACATTTTGTCTTCCATCGCTCTCAAAGGGTCGAGGATGAAGATGGATAATATGAAGGGACTTGCTGGGATTTGGGGCGAGGTCACGATGTGTCAGGAAAGGAGTTGATGAAACGTGTGGCAGCTCATGCAACGTTGGAAGGATTCGAAATGTTTATCAGCAACACATTTCTGTGGAGACGTCTCTTAAGAAGTAATACCGGTTAATTTAAACTGCTGAAATTCAACAAAGCAGTTAAGCAAGTAAAAGTGGATTAGATAAAACGTATAAAAGCAATAGTTTTCAGTGGAGGGAGATGTGAAGGATGATTTCTAAATCACTGATTTAATTGTTATCAATGTTATCTGTAGATTTTTATTTAATATAGTTTGTGTGAAACGTCTCAGCCAACTAGAAGAAAATAAGTATATATCCCAAGAGTAAACTCTAAATAAAATTAAAGACTATTAATTCATAAAGTTTGATAAGAGGCGTGTTTTAAAAAATGTATATATTCAAAAGATGAGGAATATGGGAAAAAATAAAAAAATAATAGTTAAAGTTTGACAGGTTTTATTTTCTCTCTCATAAATAACACTTAACAAGCGTAATACAGCGATAAATATCAATATTTATACACTGTAAAATTCTCTGTATCACAAAATACAGTATATGTGTAATGCACTTGATACAGATGGGAAGTATTGGATTTCATAGCACCAAACAAGACCCTTAACGTGACCCTAAGTTCATGATATCACATTTTAACAGTTGTGTGTGCAGTTACATCCCAGATTCAGGTCTTGTGTTGGTGTCTATGAAATATACTTCCCGTAGGAATCAGTTGTTGCATAACTATATCTATAAGTTAAATAGAGCCCACTGAGGAGGAAACAAAGCCTTTACTATAAAACCGCTCATCTTCACACAGTCAAGTTTTTCAAATCCCAGTTGACAGACTAAAACATTATGATGTGTGTCCATGGTGGTCGATCAAGTTTCACATACTTGATTTTTGTATTAAACATGGAATAATGTCCACCTCTGAGCACAACAGCTTCTTCAAATCACATTTTTTTTGGGAGGATACAGACACTTCCTAAAAATATCCCTGCTGTCGAGCGGAAGCCTCGAATAACAAAACGAATCTCCGTGTGTTGGAAAAATGAGAAAGAGTTGTGAGTGGATTTTATAAACCTCGCGGCCATAAAGTTCTCTCATCTCCGAAGTAAACTTTCAATTTCAGTGGAAAAACTGAAGAAGAAAAAAATAGTGTGACATGAGTGAGGTCGCTTGACTTCAATAAGCGACACACGGGTTTGGGGACTCTACGAATATGAACAAGCTGTTCTGATGACGTTTTTCTTCCACATAATAATAATAATAGTAATGATAATAATTGGCAGCTCAGTAATGTCTGTCAGAGGCAGCGGGAGGTAATCGGCAGGTTGAACACTGAAACACAAACCTGGGAATATTAATACTCAACCTTACAGCGGAACATGGGTCAACTCAAATGCAGTTTCAAGAGATAAGCACATCTTTTCCATTGGGAGCAAACCACTATTCCCAACAGATCTCACTGGTAGGACTTATATTATATACTTTTTTGCTTTAGACTTTCAAACATTATTGCTGAATTGATATGATGGGTTCAATTCACCCAACATTTAGCACGAAAAGAACTACAGCTTTAAAAGAGGACTGACAGCATGGAATGAGTGGGGCCAACATTATTAAATCGGTCTCTGAAGAAAGAGGAAAAAAACATTTGTACGAAAATGAATAAACAAAATGTTTTGCCTGCATTAGAAATATAGGGATATAGATCAATAATTCATATAGGAGCCCTTATAATTCCTCATCCAGACTTTGTCTGAGGAGCAGCATCACAATAATTCATGTAAAATTAAAAAATATCACATTCATCACTTAAGTGTCCACGTTGTGTTTGATTGTCGGCTTCTGAGACACATCACTTTCAACTTTTGACCAACCAAACCTCTTCCAAGCTCAGTCTGTACAAAACATCGGTTTGAAGTGGACTGTGGCAACGATTCTACTGCACGAGAGCAACAAAAGTTGTTGATGGATCAATTCTATAATTACCAGCATTGTTAAGTAAGAAAATATAGGATAAGTCACATGCAGCCTCAGCTCAGTGTCAATTATCACATTATGGCACATAAAAAATAGCCTCTGTATCTCATCTAGCTTATGTGTCTATAATGCAGGTTAAACTTTGAATAAACACAGACTAGGCTTAAGGTTATTTTGATGCATTTCTGATTAGTTTGGATGCCGCACTGAAACATTCATGCCGTTACGTCACCATTTTTTGATGTATTGCACAGAATTGTCAGAACTACGGTCTTAAGAAAAAGTGATAATTGTAATGAAGAACATAATAACGAATGGAAAACTCCCCTCAGAACAAATCCTAAACATTTACAGGAAAGCGCGACATCTCAGCTTGAGCTCAGTGTGGCGATCCCTCCGCAGCCAAAGAGGAGCCGGTCGCACCGCACTTCAACTTTCCTGGCAGAATCATTCCTGAGTTTCCTTCTGTGAGAAACGCTCTCATCCCCAGCTGCTCTTATCAAAACTGCCGAAGCGCCAAAATGATCTCCGGGCAGAGGAGGCCGACTCCGCTGACGTGGTCATAAGCCAGCAGAAATCAAACCGTAACGCTCAAAAGGGAGCGCTCCCCCTCTCTCCGTACTCGGAAAATAAGACACTTCAAAAACGGAGCCAAATCTTTCAAAACATATTAATAAGGCCCTTATTATGTGTAGTGTGAATAAGCAGTGGATGAATAAAACAAATTTCGTATGAAAGAAAGGTGCATAGGTTGGCATTCTTTTGACACTGAAATGGAAAAACAATTCCGCGGGTCTGTAGAAAGCTCCAGATTGCACATTCATAGTGTTAGCAGGCCGCGAATGCCGAGCTAGTTTTTGGTGACTCACTCAGCAACGTCGTCATCGTGTTTGATCAAATATGACCACTGCCATCAGCACCATCTCTTCAAAAGGTGGAGGGCCCACACTTGTAAGATCACCGTACCTACTGAAGACGTGGACCTTCGAGGTCTTCGCACAAACGTGGCCAGAGTACGTCGTGGGAAAATCAAAAACCACGGCCACAACACGTTCCAGTCTCCCAACGGGTCACCATGCCTTCTTCAGTGTCGAAATTCGGGAAACCGAGCGGCGCGAGCGGCGATCACACCACATTGATGCAGTTTCCGCTGCCCGCCGCCGTCCTCTTGCTGCAGTAGGTGAAGCTGCCGTGATTGGTGGAGGAGCCGTTCATGTGCGACGACTTCAGCTCCATCTGGCAGGCTGCGATGGCGGCGTTGAGCTCTACCTGCGCCCGGTGCACGACGTAGAACATCAGGCCGATGCTGATGACGATCTGCAGGGGACGGAGGAGGAAGTCACGGTCCACACAGGAGGGATCGCTTAGTTTTTTTCATTCTTATGGGGGTGAACTAAATTAAACCAAAAAATTGCCTGCATGCAGTGAAAAAAAAGCGAAGTAAGCCTCCACAAATGTTGATACGTCTTGTCTCCTTATACAAGTTCTAATTAATTAAATCAAGGTTTACCAAGACGTCTTCCAATCCGACACCAAAGCTCTCTTAGCCACGAATAAAACATCTTTAGGCGAAATACTACGTGTTGAAGGCCAGTTGTCAAGTCGGAGCAATAGCTTTTTGTTCTGCATGCACGACCAATACCTCGTCAGTTTTAAACTGACCCCATTGACTTCTGACCCCTGTAAACTCTTCAATTGCTGCCGTAAGAGACAACCCATGACGGATTAGTACTTGCTTAGTACTTAAGGTTTAAATGGAGCACAGGTGTTGGAAATGTTGTGAATGCTTGGAATGACCTTTGGGTCAGCTGAGAAGAGGTGTGGGCATATCTTGCAACCCTAAAGCCTCGAGACATACTAGCAGATGTATCAGATGTCAATGCTTGGATCTTGAACACTGAGGGAAAACAAAACCTGCTTCACCTGCTGAACACGTCATTACATTCATGGGTTGTGGGAACTGATGCGCTCTACTTCTAACTTTTAAACGGCCACATCCACGATGGCTTCAGGTCATTGCACATATCACCACCCTCAGCTCACCTGCAGGCTGAACACAAAGTAGCCGCTGATGCTCTGCTCAGCGATGACGTCCTCCATGGTGCGAAGCGTGGTGCCCAGGTAGGAGTTGAGCAGCTGAGTGGGCAACAAACCCACAGAGGAGGCCACCAGGTAGTTTGGCAAGGACACATCTGTGATCTTAAGATAAAGAAACATCTTACAAACTTAAAAGAATTAGCATGAAACAAGTAACTAGTATGTATTTGAGCAAAGATGGATTATTTAAAAAAATAGTCCTATCGTGGGAAAGGTTTTGTAAATGTATTTATATTGACACAACTAAAAAATACATCTGCAATTACAATCAGTATCTTTTCCTTTTCTGTGAACTATGACATCTCTCAGTACATCCATCTGAATAAAAACACGGTTCTGCGAAGCCGTCACCCTTGATGAAGTGATGACATAACATGTGAGGACGCGACCTTAGCACTGTGACTACACTGGCAGATAGCGGTGCGTTACAGACACACACACACACACACAGACACCGCCGGGGGCCGACACAAAGGGTCTCTTTGCATTGAATCCTAAAGCCTCTGCTTTGAATCACACTACCCTGGATTACAATTCACAGGACGCTGAGGTCGTCAACGCCTGGTTAATCAAGCCGATGACATGCGATTGTTTATCCTCGGTGCGCTTAGTTGAACATTTCCTCCCCCACACTATCATGCAAAAGGCCTTTCTCCTTGAGAGATAAGCACTGACGTGTCCGCACTCTGTGCCGACACGATCGGCAGCGCCTTTAGGTGATCGCCGCGACGTGACACGTGAGCCCATGAGAGCTTGAAGAAAAAGAAGACAAGGAGTGGAATCTCTTTTTTCTCAGCAGTTATTCTTCAGTGGTGACACAAATGTCTTCTGAAGTCCATCCCAACCCAGACATGCAGCATATGCAGCCGTGTTATATACAAACTGCATAAGCATGCAGCGAACTCCAGCTGAACCGCCTACTCGTTAATGCGAGCCGGTGTATCGAGATACTCATAAAAAAACAAACCCGTCTGATTTATTCAGAGCAGCTTGGAGTTTGTGCTCGTACACAAAGACAGGAAATAGACGGCCTGGACTGAATGGGACATTTTAGGACTGCTAGATCGTTATGTTTGTTCCACTTTTTATCTGGACTTGCACTGGGTTTAGTGAGGGGGGCGGAACTAATGGCTGCAAAAGCACGTTTTCCTGCAGTTGGGGTCCAAACATTAGGAATCACTTGAGAAATGTCCTGATCAGCCCGTTATGACGGCAGAGTCCATTGCTACAACGTTACAGAAGGACCTAAATGTCTCCACTTTGCCCACTTAGGATTCACATAACATCTGTCTGAGTTGTGCCCTGCTTTTGCTAACTACTGCAGTCTCTGTGGCGTTTTAGGTTACCCGCTATAATGTAGCACAGTCCACTTCAGCAGATAGAAGCAGAGGGGGGGGGGGGATCAGTGAAATGTAGCCGCATCCACAGTAAGTGCTCACCAAGGGCAGAGCGGACAACACCATGAGCCAGCTGAGGACTAGAAGGACCCACCCCTAGTTTCACCGCTCATTGTGGAGAATAAGATACACCATAAGTTTCAGCTGGCCATAACACAAGCTACCGGCTTTACGATTAATTATTTTTAAAGGTGCAGTCAAGAACCCGAGCTTCGCTGTGCAGGCTGGGACGAGATGACTTCGCCGGCACCGAATAAACTCCTGCGTAAGGCTCAGTCGGACCTTCCCTTCACAAAACCCTTTCACACTGAGGTCCTTGTCTGAGGAGTCAACAGTTTGATTTGGCTGTTTTCTGCAGTCCATCTGCATCAATCATTGACTGATTTGCATCACTTTCTAACTGGTCGCAACATTTGTTGGCAAACATTTGCTTGTTTACACATCCAGCAGTTACGGAGGAGCTGCAATACCCTTTTAGTGTTTCTGTCCAACACAAACTCTTATTTAGGGCACTGTAGCTTCTGGATGCTTCGAGAGTGGTGGTACACGGAATGAGGCCAAACCTTTGCACAGGATGCAGGTGCATTAGTAAATAAATAAATAAAATAAGTCTATAAATATCCATCAAAGGGAGCAATCACAAAAGTCACAACAGTGAGTCAACCACATGCTGCATTTTCAAAAGACTAACAGCAGTCAAAAATCTAACTAAGCAGAATATAAAACTGATTTGATCCAAAATTACCCACTTTTCTAGCAGGCAGCATTTCACATAAATTGTTTATTTGCCTTTCCCGGTAGAAAAAGAGAAGCAGATGTATAAAAGTAGTGATTGAAAACAGGCTTTCAATTCGTCCGCCTTTCAATTTGACCTGAAGAGATGGTGGAGTAGCAATCAGGCGAGTGACCGTGGTAGCAGCTGGTTAACAGTGTAAACTGTGTGTCACTTTGACTTTGACACCTCGTTCCCACCTCAGAGTGGAACAGGGAGTTCACTGTTGGAAGCTGCATCCATGATCCTTGCACAAGTGGGACACTGCAACCTTTGCACAGAGAGAGCTGTGTCCGGGCCGCGGTGCCCCGGGTGCGAGCGGATGACAAACAGGAGCCGTTTAAGTCAGTCAGGCAAAAGAAGACCATCTGCTAGGTTTGGATGTCTTGTTCAAAATCTGTTTTTACACAGGAACTGTCGTCCCCGGCCCGGGCCAAAATACATAAGTCATTCATTTTTAACTTCACAGACGGTCTCTTTTAGCTCAAAGTGAATCCTAAACTTAACCCCGAGCCGCTCACGCCGGCCTTTAAACAACAACGTGTTGAACAACAAAACCTAAACAAAGGAACAATGCACGTGCATTCAGACACATCCTCCATTCAAATTTACTCAGAATGAAATGATCTTCCCTTTTCAGGAGCACTTCCACTTTTTTTTAGCTCCCCACTCACTGTTGGACTGTACTGGGGAAAGCACGGGCATTTTATTATGAGGTTCTTCTCAAATACCGACAGCCTGCTCAAAGTGCAGCAAATATGTTTACTGCCTGTTCCAACAGTCAGCTGATTCCTGGGGTCAGCTTACCTCACTGCTGCCCAATGACTAGTGTCTCTTATCGGAAAGGGTTGTTTTACTCATGAATAATGAACTTGTGTTAACCGTGCTACAACAAATAACCAATTGAGAAAGAGAAAAAATGAAATGACATGAAGACAAATACTTAAATTAAAGTAAACCACCGTTTGTCGAATGCAATAATCTCCATGAGCTGAACAAAACTGGATTAAGTTTAACTTAATTAGAGTAAGGCAGTGTTTCCTCTACCATTGTAACAATTTTTTTTGGTTATTTTCTCATGCGTGGCAGTTCGACTCTGACACGTGTGCAAATATGTCCGTGTGGCGCTCGCACCAGCTGAGCAGAGAGCACCATCAGACTGAGCTACACCACAGAATTAAGGAGGCTGTGTAGGATATTATTGTTTCACGGTTACATCATTCTGAACACAATTTGAAACAGCTTTTCAAGATGATGAAATTAAACGTAAAAGTTATACCAACTATAGCTTTGAAATGAGAGAAAAGTGAAAACAGCCGTGACAGAGTCAAAAACATTGTGAAAGAGTTAAATAAAGTGAGTGTTTATTATTGGGTGGTTGGAAGTGTGTATTTGGCCGTCCATAGGCAAAGCCAAATATGTCCTAGTAAAATGCTTCATTCCAGAAAACGTACTAACTCTGTAATTTGCAATTACTGTGTTTCTGAATCCAACTTACATCTACTTAAATCTTTTTCCCTTTCCAGCCTCAGGCTGTGCATCAACTCCTTTAAGCTATAAATGCCTTTTAAGGGCTTCTCTACGTGTTCACTTCAGGATGTTTGTGCTGCTTTTGTTTTCTGTCTTCAACACTATTCAGATTCTCTTCTTTTCCTATAGGTTTCCATATACACAGTGCAATATTCGAAACAGCTAAAGTGGAGGGCAATGGAAATATCTGTGTATCCTAGTTCGGTAGGAGGAATTCCAATGGAACTGGCATAAATGAATATTGTGCGAAGACATCTCCAGTTGTATTTTTGTAGGACTGGTTGACGATGAATTTCACCAGCATGATATTGCAATTCAGAAAATATGTGGTTGCATATAGACCAAAAAAAAATGGACGCAGACCCTGAAAACTATTTTTCCAATAGGTGTTCATTTTGTCCAGGACGGATTTACCTTCGGATCAAAATTTGTTATTTTTGTTCGGACAATTGTTCATGACATCTTAGTTGATTTCTTATAACATAGTAACATATACCTTGAGGCTTTTACTATTTGGAGTAGATGGGTAATCAGCAGACACTAATGATTCATTCCATGCATGAAGGTCAAGGGCCTCAGCTAAAGCGTAGGAGTGCGGCTTAAAGCAATATTGTGAAACAGCTCAGCTTCATACTGTCGGTAACATTGTGTTTGTTGGCTTCAGGGACTTCAGATTTAACTTACAGACTAATGTCCATAATTTAGTTTACATTATTATATCATCACCAGATCGTTATGGAGTCCAGATAAACCATTGCTCCACATTTGAAAACCCAAACTAAGACTTGATGGCTCGAACAGATAAAATAATGCATGTCCCGAGGCAGCGATACAATTTATTTTATTGAAGCATTTTCTCCATCTACAAAGGGGATTTCCTTTGTCTGGGGACAGGACTCTTATTGTATTTCCTGCCATTAGACTTTGGTTTGCCTCGACAGGGTTAAGCAGCAGAACACTTATGCCAAGTTCAATGTCTAAAGTTCATCGCAACAACATACGATACTCATGATACTCCCGGCCTGTTTGTGGCTGGTTTCCAGCTACTTGTGATTTATCCTTGTGGTAGATTGGCCTTGCAAAACAGCAAAGCATTTACCTCTAAAGTCAAAAGGTTACAGGGTCAGTTCTCATGTTTGCAACGATTCGTTCAACCCATGAGAGTTTACAATAGACCCTATGTGACGTGTAGACTATGTGTCTAATATATGTGTCTCGCTTCTAAACTGAAAACAGGTCGTAGCGTTTTCATACTCACCGAGAAAACTGCATTTTGGAGCCCAAATGGTATAGGGGTGAGTCTCGCTAAGGCCACAACTTTGAGTCCACTTCCTCCCTCCACCACTCGAATGACGGCACTGAGCTGCTCACTGTTCCCAACCTTGTTCAACACCCACTCAGTCAAAAGACGTTTGCACACCAGGTGTGCCACAAAGGTCCCTATTAAGACTCCGACCATGACCAGTCCCATGCCCAGCACGAAGCCGTAGAGGTAGCCAGCTGCCACATTAAGAACAATATATCCCCATCCGCATGGGAATGACACGATGATCAACCCAACTATAAACAGCAAGGCTCCGACGAGGCTGTCCAAGCTCTCCACCCAAAGCAGGAGGTCCTTCAGGTACTGCCGAACCAGTGCCACCGAAGAGAAGCACACGGCCGTGAGGACGCATGCCAGCAGGGCGCTCTTGAAGCAAAAGGTGGTGATGCAGCACGGGTGTCTGAACTCGCCACTGCTGAAGGACGTTCCTCCCGCGTCGCCGACGACCTCGGGGTCTCCATCCGACTTCCCGATGACGGCCCCTGACTCGTCGAAGGTGCTGCATATCAGGATGTCGATCTTGTCACAGTCATCCATGGCGGCCTTCTGCACCCAGCGGTTGAGCTGAATCTGCGCCTTACCCACTGCATGCTTGACAAGTTTGGTGAAAAGCTGCACAGTCGTGGAGCCTGACATGTTGGCCCTCAATTGAGCTCCGGGGGGCCCAACAGAAAAGCTCAGGTGAGCAATCTGACGTGACGACAGCTGTGAAGCTTGACGTTTCTTAAATCCAGCGAAAGTCGGTTTCTAGCAAAATCAATGTGTGGAGCTTCAACGGAGACATGTGTACATGGACTTGGAGGGGAGGGGGCGGGGCTTTAGCAGCGGCATCGCATCGTTACGCAACTCTGACAACAACCGCGTAGTGAGACACACAGATGAAACCCGTCACTCTCCTTGGCCATTGCATTGAAATGTCCAGTATAGCGGGGTTTATCTCGGGTACACCAACTGGACAAGGTTCCAGTCCAGCAACTCAAAAGTGCCAGTGTGGTCTCCGTGTGAAAGGCTCGCCATGTTCAAGAGCCGCGAGCCCTCAGCCGAGGACAGCGTCGCGTCAACGGGCGGGCGGATGGAGCAGCCGAGGGAGGGAGGGAGGAGAGCAGTGGACGCAGCGACACCGACCACCAGAGTCTTCTTTGGACGTATTGACCGCAGTCGACGTGGTGTAAGAGCGCCAACTTCACGACTCCTCCCGCATTGCCCTCGCCGGCTAACGGTGTCAGACTAGCAGGGATCGACGCGGCGCCTGTCGTTAGCTAGATGACGTTAGCGCGCGGCGTTAGTCAAAGTCCACCGTGACAAATAACAGACGTGACCGCCGTTGGCCTCTTGCTCTTCCGACGCGTGTCCCTTCCTGCCGGAGCGACTGGAAATACGGTTTTGCTCTCTGTCTCTCCGGTGGCTGTTGCTGTTTTTTTTTTTAACCGTCGCCTTCCTTCCACACTAGAAACTGCTGGTGTTGACGCTGTTGAAGCTATTCATACACCACTGTTTGTGTCCCAGAATGCCGAGCGATCGCGGCCCACGTGACCAATCATTTGACTTTCTAATCCAATCACGACGCTCTGACTGTCATCGCGAGATTTGTGCGGGTTTTTACGATAAATTGTGTTTGTTTTGGATCAAATAACAATTGCAATTGGTCTCTGCTGTCAGTCACTATTACCCCATACTCCGCGGTACAAACTGCGATATGGTACTGCAATTAATTAATTATTTAGGCAAGGCAAGTTTATTTGTATAGCGCTTTTCATACACAAGGCAGACTCAAAGTGCTTCACATTAGATTAGATCACTTTAATCAATAATGCAATCAATGGAAAAAATGTATTAATAAAGAAGCAGCAGTTTAACATTTACGAAGTGACAACACATACAATTATGCTTAATTCACCAATCAACACGTCAGCATGGATTTTAATACAGCTCGTAGAAGTTGATTTTTCAGATGTATTAGACATTTTGTTCCTAATCTGAAAATGTTACTTGTGAGATAAAGTTATTAATAATAAAGTAGAGAAATGCAGGCTACATATTTTCTTCAACTGTTAGGAAGGGTAAATGTTTCGAAACTATACTGATGATAAGCAGTTTTATAGAAGAAGTACACATTTCCAAAACCTAGGTAAAAGTAACACCACAATGCCCAATTACTTTATTACAAGTACAAGTTTAGCAGTTTTACTTATGTAAAAAGATTAACTAAATATAGTTGGTCTGTCCAAAGTACACATTATATAGAATTAGTGCATTATCATATAACTCACATTATTGTGATATTTATATTGTATCTACCAGTAACTATTAATATTTAGTTTTGTGTTCTATTTTGTGGTCTTTAATGTGTTTTTCATATTTCTGTTGTTTATTTGTACATCTATGTATGATTGAGAGCAACGTGTCACCGGAGACAAAGTCCATGTATGTTCACGCATACATGGACTTTGCCAATAAAGCCAATAAAGGCCAATAAAGATGATTCTATTGTGGTTATGAATTAACATGTAGGCAGCATGGTAGTTTTGTAGATGAGCAAATTGTACCTGTTAATGCAGGCAGCTCAGATGTTGATCAGCTGTACCCGCTGTGAAATAAAGTACAATACAATATTGCTCTAAAATATAGGAAAGCGGATATATAAAGTAGAACAAACTACAAAGTAAAGTACTATGAATTGTATGTCTCTTAAAATAATGTGATTAAGGCCTTCTCATGTACATTGTAACATTGGGAAAGGTTGTAGTGTAATTATTTATGGTAAATCATATCACAAAAAGCGGGAGTTTAGTTTTTATTATTTAACAGTGTACAATTTTATTTCCATATATTTCTGAAACAATACAGCATAGCATAGTAGCCTGAGGGAAATTTCCTTACTTGGCATGCTTGGCATCCCCATAAATTCCTAATGAGAGGAGTGAAGCAGACAATATGTGCATTCATGCATCTGTGCAGCTCACCGCCTGGCTCTTCCAGATGTGGACAAATTAAGTTATTTTAAGGTATTCCTGAAAGAAAATTCGGATGCCTACAATTTCTTTAAAAAAAAAGATAATTTAATTAATGTGAGCACGTGTATAAACAAAGCTGTCATTAAAGGTTCCACCTTCACGGATGCTTGTTGTTAGTTTGTTTACTTCTGAGCAGTTGTATTACAACACTCCACTAGATGGAACTGTTACACAATAGTACAACCTGATACAATTCAGCACCAGCTTTTACTGTTTCACAGGTAAACCTATGTTTGTTTCTTTAGTGTTCCTCACTAATAACTGTTCCAAATTGATGAAGGTTTTCGAAAATGTATTTGTAGTCCTTTTGACTAATACGACCATAAAAATGATCCAACGTTCACTAAATTCTAACCGGGTGAACTTTCAGGACGACACCTGGTAACAAATGCTATTTCCCAGTAATTTGTCAATGGAAGGAAAACCTTCACATTGTTCTAGTGTAAGAGAGAGTGTGCAAATGATGAACGCTTTGTTTGCTCTAAAGGAGAGAAAGGTTTGGACTTTTCGTGGGAGCAGCTGAGGTTGGCAAGTATGACGCTGACATGGCAGGAAGTCTGTTGGTTTGGCTTTCAAAATAAAACTTGTTGATTGATTCAAGTGTTGGTGTTAGTGGGGAAAAAATCAAAGAATAGCCTCAAACGTACCCCAAAAAATATTTAAATCATGATAAAAACCGCGCAAGGTAAGACAATATTTTCATTGTATTATGAGGAGCAATAATGAATTGTTGAATTGTGAAACTTTATCCGGAAGTTAAGGGCTTTATTCCGGCTAACTTGACCTTGTCAGACCTCTTGGTGGCGTTAAGTAGTCGCTCCCTCTGACCATTGGCTTTGATCACATCAGATAAAAGGTCCAAGCGGACACATTCCTTAGCATTTTACAACTGAAGCTACATTTTAAATGATGGATTGTTCAGAGGAAGTTCAGTCTGTGTCTGAGGAGCCCACAGCTCAAATGGAGCTGAAAAAAGGAATGTCGGTTTTCATAGATGTAAGTACTGCTAAATATTTTTTTAATCATTACTTTTATTTTACAAATGATCTAGATACTAGTCTATTGCCTCAAGCAGAAAAAAGGAAAACACCCACAATGCTTCCCAGCGTTTGATTTTAGATTTGCATTGAAAAAATGTTATTATAGTTTTTAACTGTTTGAGCGATATGATTAGGAATAGGTTAGAGCCGTTTGGATAACCAACGTTAGTAGATTCGCACATCTATACAGGGTACATAGCATCCCTTTTTATATAATTTATTAGTTTGATAAGGCTGACCTTTTAATTTGGTTTCATGATGTCAGAATTGGAGTGGCTTCTAATCGATTTGTATGTCAAATGTTAAAAACCAAATACCAAGTTAAGGAAATGTTAGAAGTCTTTTTGGATTGACAAAAGTAAGGGTAATAATTCTGACAGTGTTGCTGAATTAGACAAAACATCATTTTTATATACATAGCTTTTTGAATCTAAAATGCCTTTTAGAATATCGAAAGATTCACTTGTAGATCTCCCCCATAATAATATAAATAATTATTAATATATATAAACAAATGATTTGCATCCCTGTGTCTCGGCACTGCATTCTGCCTCGTTACCACCTAATTAAATTCCATGCCATTCCTCCACGCTTGTGATGTCTTAGCAATCAACCTGTTGGCTGCCTTCACTGTTTTCCAGAGACGGGGGGGATGCACGCACACTTCCTAGAATTATTAACAATGGAGTTTGCTGTATTACATCAAAGGTTTCACTGCAGGGAATGAAACCACTGCTTGTCGTCGTGTTGGTCGTGAGAGTGTATGCTTCTGTTCATAGACATGACTCATAAAAATACTTTACTGTTTGAATCCAAACAGTTATTTCAGCCCGGAGCAGGTTAGATGTGGTGCGTCATGTGTGTTTTTTTCCATGTTGGATTTGAATGATGCCGTGGTCCCAGATTCCCACTACCACGGGACCACCAGTCCTCTATTCTTAGTTTAATTATTTAATTTGACTCATTACATAAAGATTACCTAGAATGAAATGAGATTTTGATTACACCCAGCTGGAGTTTTCAGTGTGAACTGGCATCTGAAGAACCCAATTCAATCAGCTCACAGTTTCTAAATGATTACCATGATAATTTAAATAACTCATGAAATTCCCACATGAGTAAATGAGAACAGACAGAGCAGTTGTCCGGTATGTTGAATAATTATTTAAATTCAATGTTTGAAAATCAGAAAACCATGAAACATTCCTATTTCATTACATTAAAATGTGTGAATTATAACAAACAATGATTGATGGTTCTAATTTTATAAATGTTTCCTCTTGTTTGTGTTTTATTTGTTCACTTAAGCTGCTGCATGCAATTACCTTGCAGGAACATAGTTCTAGTTTATTTAATTGATGGATTTTATACTAAAGACGGAAAAGGTACGACAAATACCTAGAGCTGAAATGGTGGAGAAGGGCAACAGAGTCTGATTAGCTAAATCTGAGCAAATTATATAAGTCAGAATCTAACAGACTCCCAAGAGCTAGACAAAGGTGGGTGGATATATTATTTTTACCCCAATTATAGCCGAGCGTTTAAGGTCTACAAGCCAGGAATATCCAACCATAAAAGAACGGTATCTGGAAATGTAGGTCTTGCAAATGAATTGTTTTGCTGTCAGGTTCTGCCTTTAGTGGATATGTAAATAAACATACGTTCACGTTATTCTTCAGCATTATAAACCTGATAAGAAGAGGAAGTGGGCTGTTCTACTTTGAGGTGGTTCAAGCCTTTTTAAGCTGATCTCTCCATTGCCACTCTGCCTTTAATCTCATCTGGACTCTGGGACAGCACTATCAATAATTCAATGGCACACCGCTTTTGAGTATGTGATCGATGATCGTCATCCCCACACGCCGTTTGCCTTTGATCACATCCTACTTTTTTCCTTTGCTCTTTACAGATTTTACGGAGAGCTGACAAAAACGGTAAATATTGCACCAAATGCAAAAGACTCACGCACACAGTGTCTTGGGCATTACTTCAACCTTTTTTTCTTCTTGTGTGTGTGAAAACCTACTTTCTCAATGAAATTCTGATCATGACTCTCTGCTGATACTTCCAGCAGTTTCCATGGAAACAGGAAACTGACCATGTCTACTGAGGGTTAGTTTCAGAGCATTGATGAAGGAAAAACATTGAAAATTAAATTTCAACATTTAACCAGTTCAACATTTTCATCATGAAAGTTTACGTTAATAACTGTGGGAGGTAATACAAATTTTGAGAATAAACCAATAAAATACGTTGTTCATTTTGTTGTTAAAACAACTGTCATGATTCAGATTAGGGGACTGAACAATGGTTATTTTTTGGCTTTAAAAGATATGATCATTTTAATATTATTTTCACCTTTTAGACTGAGTCAGACTAGCTGTTTCATATTGTTTCCACTGCTGATGCTAAGCTAACTGGTGGCCGGCTGTAGCTTCATAGTGTAGAGAGGTGAAGATGGGGGCCAAAGATACTTTAGGCCCTTTGTGCTACATTGTTTATTATTTTATCACCAGACGTCTACTTCTAGGACTACTTTCTACTTAGTAGTCAAGTTTGACCTAATTTCTGTCTCAGGTCATTTTCTTAATCATCGGTTTTAATTGATTTGTAAAGACCTATAAATCATATTCAGATTAGAGATTTCTTTTGTTTTATTTTGAAATATCCCTTCGATATATATCTCCATAATCATAATGGCAAAAAAAATATTTAGAAAGGAGACAGATACCTCTATGGATTACTTTATCTTGATGCACACTGCCATGCTTTGGGCCATTAAGTACGCTTTAGGGTTTTTCAAATGCAATGCATGTATCCTACAGATTATCACGATGGGACCACGGTATGTTTGACTGCACGTGACATTTTATTTTTGTATCAAGTTAACACGTTTCATAGAATATAACGCTGCTGACACACTTTAATTGCTGGTACCAAATAGTCAAACCACATGACCTTGAGTGTTTGCAATTAAGGAACAAACTGAAACCTTGTTTTGTTCATATTTTGAAAGAAACTCTGCATGAAATCCAAAAATGATAATCTCTACACACAACAATCGGCTAATCAAAATTCCTTATTCACATGGAATGATATGCTTGATTATTCAGTAATTGTCAGTCCCTCGTGTGGAGGATTTCAGGTGATGAGGCCTTGTCGTGCAGCAAAATAAGACGTTATCCCACATGTTTGTTTTTAGTGTTTTGAAAGCGGCATCAATTGTACGTCTCTAAGATCAACTCTGAGCTCAGCGAGTGAGTCACTGCGCGCTTGGTTTGTGTACATCTACCTTTGATCTCTGTGGCTCACATAGTGACATGATCGACATACTGAACATCACCTGCGGAGCAGCAGCTCAGCAGTGAACATTTAAAGATCAGCCACCTCATGTCACACCGACAGACAGAACTGTGGGGTGAAAATATGTCACTTGTGGTTGACTACGTCTTGCAGCAGGATATTCAGTTTGCGGCTGCTCATTTTCTCTCATATCTTTAATTTAAGAACCAAAGCAAGTTCTATTGACTCCTCCTCTTAATACCATCTTTTGCTGATTCCGCCCCTGCAGTTTATTACACACTTCATTACATCCGAGTTATCTCAGGTCACCCTCAGTTCCATCAGCTCAGGAAGTTTAAATATTAATTATAAGTCTGTACTCCTTTTTCCTTATGGAATAATGATGAATTAAATCTGCGCTACTGACAACCTTTAAATCTTTTCACCTCCATGATGCATTTCACTGCATTTTGTATGTGCAACAGACACAAACCAGATTCCTCATTTGGCTGACAACTAGTTTTAGGATTAAGGAATCGTTTAAAAAACTGCCACCTCATTTCACCAACGTCGTCCTGACGGATCGGTACTGACACCGTGTTGACAAGCTGCATTTGTGCTCCGTCCCCAGATGATGGAAAGCTGTCCTTTGATGAATTCAAGGCCTACTTCTCGGATGGAGTTTTGACAGCGGAGGAATTACAGGAGCTCTTCCACACAATTGACACTCATAACACAGAGTGAGTAGTTTCCTTTATTTATCTTGGTATTATTGGAATGTACAGGAAGCAGAGAAAATGTTATTGGAACACTGTTGATGTCATTGCAGCCAGACATATCAGTTAAAATGATGGAATCATGGAAGATGTGACACGGTGACCTTTACACGGCCTTTAAACAGATGTAATATCTTTGTACCTCACAGGAACTGTCATTGCAAGCTCCACATGTGGACAAAGGCCACGAGCAGAGAAAACACACGATTATTCTGAACAAGTACTTATTCTTAAGAGAGAAAACCTTCATATTTTATCTTTCTGTCCTTAATGTTAAAAAACACATTTGTGTGGCAATGCTCCTTCTTAGAAAAGAGAGAAAAGGAAATTGCATTACATTTGTCAACTAATAATCATTTACCAATGGTCTACTCCAGGCTGCCTTTGTTCTCATATTAAGACGAAAAATCAAAGCAGCACCAAAAACAACCCTAATCTTTCAGGATTCAACTCAATGTTATTTTTTATCATCATCAGAGATTCATAGGAAATACATAATGTCCATGGAAGTCCCCGCAATTCATGCACAAACAACAACGAAGAAAGATAAGTTAAATGTAAGTGTAAAGAAACTACTGGTTGTGATTTCAACTTTACCAGCTTTACGTTGAGAGAGAAGTGGCGGGTTTGGTATTAATTCAAGTCAGTGAGCAGATTCCACATTCACTGCTGCCGATGAGTAATAGAACCATTGACGGTTGTCACTTGTGTCATTGGAGGCAAAGAGTTTTGTTTGACTTCATTATCAGTGTTTGATCATTGAATTATCTCGAGGCAGAGTGTCAATTGCGTCCTTCCTTCATCAGCATAATTGAACAGTGTCTTGCAACCAGATAATGAAACGTTTTGAGTCACAGCAGCAGACGATTTATGAAGACTGCGTTTCCTCTCCCTCAATATCTCACTGCCTGCTGCTGCAAGTGCAACTTAATCAGATCATCTCAAGAAAAGGTAAGAAAATGAAATAAGAGTTTGAAATCTTAAAACATGTTTAAAAGGAGAATGTGTCATATTTATTTTACCATATACTATTTTTACACAGAAGGTCAGTGCTGTATTTTCCTGACCAGCACACTACAACAAATCTATAGAAATACTTTATTAGTTTCATTATTTGTAAACTGTAATTTAAATGTATTGTTATACATGTTAGTTTACAATTAATTGAATATAATCACAATACTTTAATGTGGTCTTTAAAAAACAAACGTTTAATCACTGTCCACAAAAACAGAAATGAAACCCAAATTCTGATTCCACAGATTGTTGGACTCAGTTTGACACTCTGTTACAGGACAGAGGACAAAGGACAAAGACTTGGAGCAACATGTCGCTACGATCTTCTGGCAATGCACTAAACCAACGTATTGTTGTCAATGAAATGATCATTCCATCTTTTTCTCCCTCCGCAGCGTGGCCGCCAGCAGCACCAGGCAAATCTGGTCTCCATTAAGAGTTTTAAAGATCATGACGTCTTGAGAGCTTTGATTAGAAGACAAAATAATGGACTAATCTGTTGATGAGGCCACTGATGCTGGTCAGGTGAGGGATTTTACAAAGAGACCAAATGATGTTCGTTACGTTATGCTACCAGTTAAAAACCGATGAAATGGTTCATCAACCATCGGATCAACGTGACATAATTAATGTAGTATTTCTTTCTAGCATTACAAACATTGTTGTTCCAGACAAACGCTTGCTTAACTTAAACTTAAGCGTAAAGGTCTTGCTGCCGGAAGCTGTTAGTGGACGCACTGTAGGCAGCGTCACATCATCCGCTGTTTTGAAGCCTCGATAGTTCGACATATTTGCGGTTTCCAACTTGTTTTGTTAACAAAAAGCTAAGTGCAGGTCAAGAGAGAACTTAAGTGGTGTATAGAATAATTAGGTTGGATGGGAAGCAGGTGGGTGAGAAGGTGGAGGAGGTGAGGTGAAAGTGAGGAGAGGTTCAGAAGAAATATGAAAAACACACACAAATCTACTTGAAGGCAGAAATTTTTTTTTTCTTTTTAAAACTGTATTCTTGAAAATATTTTATTTCTGTCTGTTTATGTTATTTTTTTCCCAACTAGTGTCAGTGACCTTACCTGTGAGTCTAAAAAGATCTTTTTGGATAATTTGCGCAAATTACCTGTAAAGGCCCCCATATCAAGTCCTCCATGACGATGACATCACTTCCCCCGAGATGTCGGACCTCCATGATATCGACACCGGACATTTGTCGCTAATTTGGATCCACCTCCAAATAATTAAACAGAAGCGTTTGTTCTCAATTTACACTCCAATCAGACGTCAATATTTCAGTCAGATGTTCATTTAACTTTACTGGTGGAATTGACCGTGAACTGAAAATGTTATCATTCAATAAAAACTAAAGAAATATATGAATGTTTTTGATACTCATTTTTCATATATCACTACAAATGCGGACTAAACACAAACAAATGATGTGTATTATTATGCGTATGAGTCCACTTTAGACCCAAGCAGCTTTGAGGTTATTAAATTGCATTATCATTTATTTAATAATTAATTACACCCTAGACATCCGCACATCAACATAATATTTATGTAAATGGTAAATGTAATCATTTTATACACATTTCCCAGTAATTCACCATCACATTTCAGGTTTCTATGGACACCGTGGGATTTTGACACATTAAAAATTAACTTCACTAATTAACTCCTTTTTGGTATTCAATTGTATCTGTTTTTACTCTTTGTGTTGTACTGCATTTGCTACATTTTGTACATAAACGTATTATGGTTATCTTTGCTATTCTTTTTGTGAAATTTCCATCTATATGGTGCGCAACATGAGTGTGTACTGATGGGGACATCTGGGTTCAGTCAAAACGTTGTCATGACAACTCCTCCCACACTGACGCTTTCTCAAACCCCTCGGAGGCCCTTTCTAACGCACTCTGTTGCCCAATTGGAGAATTGGTCACCAGTGTACGGCTGATAATTACCACATGAACTCCTATGGAAAATACGTAGCTTTGGGACACGGGCAGCAATCTGCTGGATGAAAGTGTTTGTTCGATCCTTCCCTTCTCCCCCTCCTGCTTGCCTGCCCTCTCCCCTGTGTGGGATTTCTCTGTCTTTACACTCTGTCATCTCACTCCTGGAGCATTATCTCTGAGCTTCCAATGTTGAAGCTGGTGCGATCAGTATTCATGGTATTTAATTATGCCGTTTAGAAATACAGCTGATTGTGGGATGGAGAATGTTTAGACATTTGAGTGATGCGCATGACAAATAATTACAATTTCTTATTCTCATCATTCTCATAATGAGCAGTGTGATTCACCTGATGATGTGTGATTCACCTGCGTCAGCCACTAAGCTTTGTCAATAACAATGGAGCGATGCATTGTATTGTTGTAGACTTACAGTATATAAAATCAGGTCCACAAACAAGTCTTATTTGCACTTTCAGCTCTGATATAAGTTCATCATCGCTGCCACCATCACTCTGCTATCTGCACAATCCCAGAGAAAATTCAGTGGACTCTGTGTTTAATCAAAACAAACATTTTCCTTGTTCTGTGTTCATTTCACAGATGGCAAAGTTAAAAGGAAGTAATTTGAAAGCCTCTGAGTTAGTAAGATGAGAGGTCTGCGTGACGGACTAGTGAGGGTGCTCAGGCTGAAACATTTTTCAATGTCACATGAATATAATTGGATATTGCATGCAGACGGCTTAATTTGGACATGAAACATGCGTAGTTGCAGTTACAGATTAGGACTGTGCCGAAGTCTACTGTGAATGTTTCTTCTCATTGGTTAAATTATGAAGTGCTACAATTGAGCATGGTCCATGAGTAGATGAAGAACTTCAACGCCATCAAGTTTCAAGACCCATATATTGGTCCTTTCACTGAGGAACTCGCTTTAACCCTTTAACCCTGGTCTACTTTCCTGTCCACTGCGGCTCTTTCTGTGGCTCTAAGTGTTTTCTCGTAGTGAGCGAGTGAGTGAGCGACAGCTATGTAGAATACAATTAAAACTATTTCCCCAGTTCCTTCATAGCAACACAATATAAAATGTGTCTTGAATAAACTCATTCAGGGACTATAATGGCTATTTTTCCACTTTAAAATGCTGTATTTACCGTCACCTCTTTTGTTGGTTTTTCATACCTGTATATTTATCCCAAACACCCACATTCCTGGCGGTTTCTTGTGAGCGATTCACTGTCAATTGAACTGTTCAATTATTCATGACATGTGTTATTTGAGATCATAAACTGATTCACCAGTAAAGTTCTGGCAGAGATAAAGTATAAATCATCTCCTTTAACCTTTTTTTGCTTGTTAAGTAAAAATCTAATTTCTCAATTTTGTGTTTTTGCAGCAATGTGGACACTGACGAACTCTGTGGTAAGGATCCTCACCTACATCAGAACCACTTTTAATATCAGTAAAAAGCTGCTCTGTTCTGTAACCATGAACCATGTAAGATTTTGTCACACGCGCTGTGACCGAACCCCTGCAGGACGTGTGACTGAGCTGCCACACAGCAAAACACCTACAGCCCTGTCCAAGTAGTTCAACTCAAAATGTTTTCTCCTACATGTCGTCGTTGTGCTCTGAAGACTATTTCTCCCAGCACCTCGGGGAATATGACAATGTTCTCGGCGCCTTAGAAGACCTGAACATGTCCATACTGAAGGCGATGGACAAAACAAAGAAGGTGAGATGACAGAAATAGAATCATGATTGGAAATAAAAACCTGCATTGCTTATCAAAACATACTTGCTACTACTCTACCTTTAATGTTTAATAAATATTTGTTTTCTATTTCCATTCATCCCCATATGTAGATATATATTTTTAACTGTCCCTTAAAATACATCATATTTCTACATCTATTAAGAGAAAATAATCTACTCCCAGCCACATATTCCTTTTAATTTACATTCCTGTGACACACTCAAGCACAGACCCACACTTCCACACATAATAAAATGAGATGTTTGATTTACTCACAGCACATTTCAATTCTCCCCCAGCATCCTCCTCTGCTGCACAACTAGCTTCCTCAGATCTCCCATTAGTCAGATTCTTATTACAGAGCCAAAAAAAGACAAGCCAGGTCTCATTCATGCCACTAGTCAACCCCCACAACAAAGCATGGCATGATTATTTATATTCTTACAGACAACACAAGGAACTAAATAAGTCTTGGCGCTGTGATCAAACCAATACGGCTTCCGATCATGCCTCGGGAATAAATCTGCATGTCCTCTCGATCTCACTGTAAAGCTGCGGCAGAAGCAGAGCAGCTCGTGGATTATCACAAGGAAGAAGATTATTACAAGGGAGAGAAAAGCACAGAGACGGGGATGAAGGTAAACAATCGGAGATGGCAGAAGAAAAAAATAAAGGAGGACTGCAGGGACTTGGAAGAGGAAGAGAGGTTTTCTGCAGGGAGAGCATCTCTTTGATTCCGCCACGCTCTCTTTCTCTGCAGCGTCTCATCTGGTCCTTATGACACACGCTGTGGGCCCCTCTGATCTGCACCTCTCCTTCTGCTGAGACTGCGAGTCAAAGGGTGCAATTATTGGTGGTAGTTCCTTATTAGCACAGAGAGAGGTAACACGATATGACATCCATCCTCAAAGCCTAAGAGCTTTAGGAACATAGATACATGTCAATGGAAGATATAGATTTTTGGTTGGTTACATTTTTCGGACACCCAATGAACGGAAGAAAAAACGTGAAGGGAGATTTTAAGAAAATGGCATACAATAACACATGGTTCATAGAAAACAGATATACAAACATATACTATACAGCAACACATTCATATTTTTTGAATTACGTTTCCACTCAAAGAAGAAATGTGTTCTTAAAATAGGTTTCAAAAAGGTTGGACCTGCATGAGTGACGATGTGACTTCATCGGACTTCTGCAAAGGAAATGGCACACACAGACACTTCTGCAATCCCGTTGCAATCTTCCATAGACCTCAACCTTTGCTGACTTGTGATGAGGTGCTACAATTAAATTTCACCTGAAATCCTCTCCTATTCTTCGGTTGAATAGCTGAGAGAGGAAGTGAGACGGAGAGAAAGAAGAGAAACCGAGGCAGCTTGGATGGGTGTTTTAAGGACTGTTTTTAAAGCCCTGAGCTCTCACGAGGAGCACTGGAGAAACAATCAGTCTCACAAATTAGTTTTTTTCCCCCCATTAACATATTCTACACTCTTGTTCCCTCACCGAACGCGTATAAAATGGAAATTTGAGTTCAAGTTAAATCAATTTGCTTGTTCTCAAATTGGACAGAATTGAGGAGTTAATGACAAAGTCAACAACTCTGCAATCAAATTCACAAACACTATACTGTGAACAAACTGGCAATGTCCTGTCGGTGTTTACTCACTGCGGCCTTTCCTCTACGAAACCAAAAATCATTTGACCGTACGTGTGTCATATCGAAGGAAAAAGATTTAATGGAAAGCTGCATTTATCTGTTAGCTGGTTTCGCTCAGCAAGGAGAACAGATGCTGAATGTTTGAAGCTCAGACATCGCTGGTTTGAACTCTATGTGTATTTGAGTGGGTGGTCTCTGGCTGTGGACGTGTGTGAGGGGGCCGGCTGCATGGTTTGCGAAGTGTTTTGCATTGGAAAATGATAAGTGTATACGTGTGTGCGCTTTTGTCATCAATTATCCATGCACATGTACGGGGGAGCTGGAACAAGGATGGGCATTTGAAACGAAGCCACGCATGCATGTTTATCTGCACCGAGGAACTCGGGGTTTCATCTCTTCCAGACCCTTCACAGCTATTCAAAAGCTTCTCATACCAAACCCCCTTCAGCAGAGACAGGACGTTTCTGTGAACTTCACACTTTAGTGTTAGGGATGCCATAGTTTATTTTTATTCATAAAGATGAATAGACACAACATTCAGTTCAGCATCTGTCAGGAATTGATGTATCTCAGCAGTAATGTAATGTATGTACAGGAATGATTTCCTAAATGGAAATTGACACATCACCAAAAAAACCCTCTTAGAATGCAGGAAGGATTTTACATACACAGCGTTGAATTTATTAAGAAACTCAGTTTGCGTTCTCTCAGAAGGAATGGCTGTCACATTTCAATCAGCTTCTCTGTGACATCATTTGCTGATGATTTGCAATCAGGATTTTAAGAATACCGAGGTAAAGTCCTTTGCAGTGGGTGCCGTATGATTGCAAGGTGGAGGTTAAGTAGCCATAGCCCGGGCGATGAAGCTCAAATGGGAAGAACACAAAGAAATAAATCACAGGAGGTGATCCATGCTCAGACGGCAGACAGGAGACTGACCTTTACCAGTTTTGTCGTGACTCGCTCTCACTGAGTGAACCCGTGTGTGTGTGTGTGTGTGTGCTGATATTCAGAATGTCAAGGGATCGAACAATACAACCGCTATAAATTCAGAGTTTTTAAATCACCCACAGCAGAAACCAGATAGTTTTCCTGTTTTTCTTCATGTGAAAAACAAATCTATGGTTGTTTATTCTCTAGGTTTTAGGATTAGCGGTTCAATATTTTATTTCATTTGCTAATCAATGGTAAAAGCTTGCTTCTAATGATCTGCTCTATATGCAGCTGACACACTGTAACAGGAATGTATGGGGACAATTCCACCACCTGATAAAGAGGTCCAGCACTTAAAATGCCTTTAAAAACGTACTTTTCAAAACACAATAATCATAATAATATTTTCTCTCTGTCTCTCTCACACACACACACACACACACACACACACACACACACACACACACATAGATCCTTCTCTACACTGACCGAGAGAGTACAAACAGTCACCGTGCTCCAAACTAAAGCAGCTGGCGTCTAATAGCAAACACAGCATCAATCATTCTCCTTCGATCAGATCCAAGCACTCACAACTAAATACATTAATGGATGAACAAATAAAGTAAATTAGTGAATAAAGTAAAATTGATTAATGCAGAAATCCAAACTCCCTCCATGTTTTACCTGTAAATAAGTTTTTTTTCATTTTAATCATTCTTTTGTCTTTTTCTCATCCATTTAAAATTAATCAAATACAAGAGATGCTGAAGGTAAAATCCCCAGATATTTATGTTCTTTGTCCTCTTTTCTCTCGCACCGAGCTGATTTCTATCTCTCCTCAACGATTGCTCTGTTAAGCATTGTTTGACTAACAGAAGAAGTCTGCACATTGAGTGACTCCTGACTTACATGTGAAACTTGTTGCTGCTCTTTTTGCTCTATCATTCTTTCTTCTTTTCATGCCTCCCACATCACGCCTCCCTCCCCCACCCCTCCTCCCTCCTGATTGACAGGATTATCAGGAGTCCACCCACTTGGAGCAGTTTGTGACCCGCTTCTTGCTGAAGGAGACAACCAATCAGCTTCATTCACTTCAAAGCTCTCTCGAGTGCGCCATGGAAACCACAGCCGAGCAGACTCGCCAAGAGAAGTAAGAACAAATCTTTCACACACGTATAATTAGTCCCTAAAACGTGGACAAATTATATTGCACAATGGCACCTATAATAACAGTTATCACATCTCGCGTGACAGTTTTGTCCGAACCACGCACACTAATTTACATTCTACCTTTTAGATTAAAATGATGCTTTCATCCAAAGTGCTGGGCAACAACGCAGGTTCTTTCCCTGTATTTGTAAAGACCACCTGCTCTTCTCTGTAATCCAGCAGTTATCTACAAGCCTTTATTTATTTGATCACTCCGTAAACTTCCTACGAGGAAATATATACACGGAGCGAGAAAATTAAAAAGGGATTGTTCAGGATTGAGAGATGGTAAACAAACAAGTTTAATTAAACACAACCACATGCAAAGACAGATGGCTTCAATGTCCTGGGATCTGGAATCACAATAACACTATGAAAGGATTCTGGAGATTGTAGTGAATCACTGCAGGGGAAAGTAATAGAAGGGCCATTTCACAAAAGCCTGTTTCACACAGAATCCTCACTGCTGTACAGATGATGTGACGTTACGCCAGATTTCCTTTTTCAACTCAACCAAAAAACAGTTGCATAATGCTGCCTCAAGAGGCGTGTGTGTGTGTGTGTGTGCAGTCCTTTTTACAGATTGTCGATTTGTCGACTTCCGCTTAACAGTCAGAACAACTCCGTGCACCCATTCATGACTTATCTCAGAATGGCCCGGCTCAATGATACATTTCAATGAATTCCTGAAGATAACAACTGAAAATGGAAGCAGCTGACTAGTGGAGCATTTAGGAGCTCGACTTTTTCCTGCAGAACAACAAGGAAAGTGAATATCCGACTGTCAGTCATCGGGCGCTGGCGGACGCCAACATGACTCACACTCAATGCTGATTTGACTCTGTGTCTGCCTCAGAGTGGCAGATGTTATGTTTACAGCTTGGTGTGTTGCCTTGAAGTGTCCAACAAATCAACAAACCCAGGTTTAACTCAGGCTTCGTTACTGCTGTGTTCCTAACTGAACGCTGACCCCTAAAAATGTGCCGACCGTGACTCCTTTTTCCACACAAGACATCCGTTGTTTGTGGATCGAAACACTCAAGGAAAGTGAAATGGGGTGAAAACCACCGCCGACAGACCAACAATCAGAACATGACCGTGATTTGTTTATGATTGAATCATTTAATCATTGTGTGGTTAGTTGATTAAACCCGAGACACCTCTTCTGAAGGGGGTCGCTCTGCTCCGTTCATTAGTGACACGCCGGTGCAGAACACCAGGCTTCATGTGGGATTACGGATTCATGCTATTTAAAAGACAGGTGAAGACGCACCGTCTTTTTGCATTCCCTCACCTGTCCGCGTGCACGCTTCATGTCCCAGCGGTGATTTGCCGGCATCTCCTTCCAGTTTGAAGTGTTTATGCTTGACTTCAGATTGAAAGAATTGTTGTGTCCCCTTTCTCCCCGTGGTGGAGCTCGTTCTCAGAGGCGGAACATGACGAGCTCTGAGACTCCCACGTCTCTTCCCTTGTTTTCCTTGTCTTCTCCTCCTCTCCTGCTAATGTTTCTTGCCCTCCATCGCGCTCTCAAATCAAAGTGTGTGTCGGCCCCTCGCTCCCACAGCAGCTTCTCCTCCTCCAGCGTCCGTCTCTGAAATGCCACACTTCATTAATTCCCCTGTGCATCTGAGTGCTACCACTCTGTTCTCCCCAACCTCCGGAGGACCAGGCTGCTTCTCTGGTGGTTAGAATTGATTTCTGTGGTCAGTTTTCTTACGTGTGAAAAGGACACACTGCATGTACTGTAGGACGAGTGTGAGCTTTGTATTCCTAAATTGTGCTGTTCATTTCAAAAGTAATATTACTTTCTTCTTATTTTCAAGATAATGTTTTAACCCTGATCAATCTGCATAATCATTTCATTCATGCATTCATTTATTAATCACAGCATGGCTTTGATGTAGAATAGCTGACAAAAATGTCCTGAGTCAGTTATTCTGGCCACATAGTTTGCTATAACAGCTTTTGGTTGACATAAGGTCTGTAGAAGGCACATAAAAAGGCAAGGGAAGCTGATCCTTGCTTGATTGCTGATTTCAGATGTTTTTTTGCAATTGAAGTTGCTGCATTTCCGAGAATACATCGTGACTCACTGGAAGACCAAGGGGGACCTCTTACATGTTCCTCTTGCTCCAAACATCAAGCGCACACGCACACGTAATTAATCCGTGGGTTAATCACAAATTATGCATTTCTCACAGATGTAGGAGGCAGCATTTCAAATCTATCGTTAGTGGTGTTATATGAGGCAACCATCTATTCTCGACCAACCAAAAGAGATTGCTCTGAATATGATGTTAATTTATTAAATTAAAAACATACCAGTGGTGAAATCTGAAGAATGTTTCAGAGATTTTTCTTAACAAAAAGTAACGATCACAAAGCAAACTTTCTGCTCTTTCAAGGACACAAAATTCACGCACGCACACACGCACACACACACACACACACACACACACACACACACACACACACACACACACACACACACACACACGCACACACACATGTCTTCTCAAGATATGGGGCCGATCAACTTGACAGCTTTAAAGATAAATCCCAGGCGATGTCACCGTGTGGCTGCATGTACCTTGCCACTGACATTAGCATCAATGTCGGACCAACACAACCATCAAATAGAACGTGAGCCTGGACAACTTTAGGCCTGAGCCGGGACACACGTGTCAGTTTTTGGTCACTTTCTGGTGTCAGACACCACAGGCGAATACGGTAAAATAATGACCTAAAGTTAAGATTAATAGCGGAGTCTTAAAAAGGTAAAATGATAAAGGTAAATAGGATTGCAGGTTTTGTGACATGAGGGATAATGCTGACTTTTAGTGAATTTAGGAGGAATCTACCCATCAAAAAAGGCAAAGTGAAATGCATATTTTGGAATTTCCTTTCAACTAGTCTGACTAAATGGCATTACAAAATGAAAGGACTTTAAACTTTCTGTCTCACTGGGACGAATGAGTTCATACATTAAACTATTTGAAATGCACTTCCTACTTGGGTTAATTAGTATGTAGTTAGTTAAATTACAAGTCATTGTGACCAGTGTTTATTTTTCAACAACAATTGACTCATCTTTGAGTGTCAGTTGATGATCCAAGATCAATTTTGTGGGACTCAAAGTCAGATACCAAAACTTTCAATTGTAATCCAATCAATTTGAACAAAAGTCACCTAAATATTAATTTCTCCCTCTCCTGAATCCAGACAGGGCCCTCTGAAGCCAGAGGGTTTGTCCATCCAGTGGTCGGGTCGTCGCTCCAATCGCAGGCTCCAGAGGAACAGCAGCCTCTCTCCCAACAACCCTCTGCTCAGTCTCGCCAGCTCCGGTGGGTTTGTGTCTTCGGCTCTCTGCTGCTGCTGAGTCGACATTCCGAGCATCCCGTGGTGTTTTTATACCGCGGTGGCCCCCTCTTGAGTTGAGTTGTGTTGTGTTGTAGCCGGCAGCGGCACAAAAAAAAAAGAGTCATCTAGAGTCGGCGCGTCTCCGCGGGAAGCGGGACGGGGCGCAGCGGGAGGCCGAGCAGAGGTGTGAGAGAGGATCTGAAGTGAGAGACGGAGGCAGATGCAAGCGGACAGTCGGGTTCCGTCGTGCGGGCTTGGTGTCGAGGCAAAGCCACTCAATGCAAAAAAAAGATGTAGGACCTTAATCGCAAATCGCCATGTGCTGTGTGCGAGTTTTTGACTTCACTTTAACACAAGATATGAAACAAAAGCTCCAGCCGTCGAGTGCATAGTACATACGAGCAGCTACAGTGTGGTTAGAAAATGGGACAAGCGCTCCACCACCAGACTGCAGGTTATTGATTGTTTACCCGTGAGGTGTTTCTCTTGTGCAGGGCTGCTCAGAGCAGACATAATAGTTCCAACAGGTCATAGAACCCAAAAGCACAACTGGGAAACAGAAATGCAATCAAAGTTCTGTAGTTGTGTTCAAGCAGGGTCAAAATCGGGATATCAGTTCAACAGGCAAGCAAATCCAAAAAGGGGGCACGCAAACATCCTTGGTCCAGTAGTCAGGCAAACAGGGTCGGAACAGGCAGATCAGGTACGAAATCAAGATAAGGAGATCTTCATGCATTTTGTCTCTTTTATGGCAATTGAGAACACCCACTACAGAGGTGGAGAGAGTCTGTAACAAAATATGCTCGATTGATTACACAATATTGTCATGAATATGAATTCTAAATAATATATATCTTTCCTTTTTAAATATCACAGTCATCGTCAACCGGTACCCCCAATGCAAACGGACAAAAGCTCATTCTACACAGTCGTAACTTTTCATAATGAGAGAAATGTTTGTAATATTAGTTTTGCTGTATATTACCTTTCCTATTCCTTTATATTTTTATAGCTGTCAAATTGGGATTTAAATAAACTGGAATTCCACTGCGGTGGATCATTCAATTTTATTGTTTTATTCTCTCAAAGTTGAATCCTTTATTTGTCCCATAGCAGGGAAATCGACGCAATGACAGTAGCAGAGGTTAGTTGGTGCTGCAACAGGACTCCGACATAAATGGCAGCACAGCAGTTGCAGATGTTATGTAGTAATAGATTTGAATAAAACAACGTGAAGAAACAAAAACAACAGATAATCAAGCTAATTTCCACAGCTCTACGGGTGCACACTGCTCCCCTCCCAACATGTCTCCTCCCTGAGGTCTTCCCTGCCTGTCTTTTTGTACCCACTCCTTGTGGAAGAGACGAGGTGCAGGTGTGTCTTCTGGCACACTGGATCTCACTTCCCCTGATGGAGTGGGTGGAAGCCGGAGTGTCCTGCATGGGGAGGGAGGCGGGGGGAGTTTTATCCATCACGGGAGGATAGCTTCGCCATCACCCCCCCACCACTTCCCCCGTATCCAGAGGACGCCCCAGCACACTGCTGTCCTTCTTGACGAGTTTATTTAGTCTCTTCTTGTCAGCTGTCGGGATGCTGCTGCTCCAGAAGACCACTCAATAATAAAAGGCTGATGAAAGTGAAGGGAGGTCCTCTGGAGTGCTCCCCGCACTCCAACAGACCTCAGTCTGCTCGGCCGATATAGTCTCTTTTTTGAAAAGGGACAGAGCCGAGTTTATGGCTTCAAGTCATTAACATTATATACAATACTATTTTTGTTACATATCATTCATATGATAAAAAGTAATACATGTATTTAGAGATGTTAACTGCATTTAAAGAATCGTAATGAGAACACAACTTCACTTTATGATCACATTCATTCGTAACCGTTCGGTTAAACCGCCATTATGACATCAGTCGTGGTTGCTGGGAGACTTGAGCTGCAGAGTCTCTTTAAACTCTGATTACACACGTCACAGCGTTTCTATCGATTGGCATGTTTGTGCGCAGCATAACATGAAAGGACACCGTGAAATGTCTCCTGCGACGGCGCCGCCTTTTTAGAGATACTCAGGTCAAATAATCAATGGAGGACAATGTGTTTCAGAAATATTCAAGGGATTCAGCTGCACCTTTCATCCTTTCACCTTTGTTGTTCACTCTCTCTTCCTAAAACGTACACCGTGTGTCTCTAGCTGTTTATGAAGAGGACAGCCACTGGATGATCCAGGTCAACAGACTGCAGAGGCTCATCGACCGTCTGGAAAAAAAAGTGATTTTCTTTTCTTCAATCTCTTCCATCCACTTTGCGCCTTCCTGTTTCCATCTTCTTCTTTGCTCGTGTTACTTGTGTCTTCACCTTCCTCCTCTCACCATCACGGCCATCTTGTCTTTACATCGCTCTCCAGAATGAACAAGAAATGATGACAATTTTAAATAAATGATCTCAACCCAACAGCACCCTCCCACGTAGTAACGCATAGGCATATATCCTCATCAGTATAGATGAAACAGCTTCTATCTGCATATGTTGAAAGTAGCATGATATCTGATCGGAAATTATTGATTTTTGGATTTTATTTCCTATCAATTTTTGATCTTTTTTGTATTTTACGCTCATTAGTGGTTCCCAAACTGGTGATGCGTCTTCCTCATGGGACTCGCATATATATCTGAAGGGCCGTGAAAGGTAGTTTGTACTGTTAGCGCCATTAGCTCCGTGAACCAGTCGAGAGGCAATCAAAATGCTCCCAATCTGGTATTTTGGCACCTTCAAGGGCTCACCAGACAAGCCAGTGACCAGTTATTACAGGGACCTGTTCAAGATGTGCAAATTCCACAAGTATGTGGGTCACTATCTCCCATAGCACATCATTGCATGTTTGTTCTGCAGGAGATCCGTCTGGAGCCCGTTGAAGAGGAGGTTTTGGAAAGCAAACCGGTGAGTTTTTCTCTGGTAAATCTACTTTTCTACGGTTTGTGACCACTCTGCATCTCTCTGTTCTCCCATGGGGGAATTTTACTGAAAGGGAGGTCACACGGAAAATACCGCTAAGCGGTTGTCATAGCAACAGCAGGGCTGAAACTTGATTGAATCATATTCTGTTCTTCCTCTGCACTGCCTTTTATTTTTGAGGTTGTAGGCTCAGTATTTTATTGGACCAGGAGGTGTGGAGACGTGTGAGGAAGAGAGTGCATATAGTCTAGACTCTAATGTGTGTATTAAAACAGTAACAGTATAGTAACATTTGTTTAAGCTTCTCAGGTGTGTGAACCTTCAGGAATGAAACGTCACCTTGTGCTTTTTTAGCTATGCTCACACAGGGCGCAGGTGTTTGTGTGCATCGCGTCATTCCCTGTGTGACCTCAACATCAACATGCCAAAGCAAATGGAGGCTGGACGTTACTGCCCCAGCTTCAAATCACTCATTTCACAGCTGAAAGACTCGAGTCGACGACACAGACACAAACAGAAGAACATGTTTAGAAGAGGGGAGCTTCCCTTTTTTTTAAATATCCATGGTTACTAAAATAGGGAATGCTAATTCAATTATTAATTAATCAATTTTGGAAAATGACCCATGTCTATGTGATGATGTTTGAGTTACATACAATTTTTTTTAACAATGTAGGCTACTGTTTTAGGGTTAGAGCCCATTTGACGTTGCCATTTTCAACAAGGCACACGTGTTTTTTGGTGAATGACAGAAAAAAGCAACTATGAAGAGATTACGACTTCAAATGTTTTGTTTTCCCCATTCACCAGTCCAAACACCAGCGACATCAGGTCTGACATGTTATTGGAGAGAGAGTTAGAGAGAGAATGTGAAATCAGGAATTTCACATGCACCCCATTTTTTCACTATTCACTATTTTCTGTCACAATGTGTATACCACAAGTATCACAGCACATCTGCACAAATAAAGCCATTCATGTTAATGTTGCATGTAACTTGTCATGTCTCATTGTCGACATGTCTCAGCAATGTGTGAATTAATAAATACGTAATTGGTGTGTGTCACTGGGAATAAATGTGCTGCCGAGAGAAGCACTATGCGACTCTGTTGGTGTGCGTGGTGCATGTGCCCTCTGTGTGTGTGTGTGTGTGTGTGTGTGTGTGTGTGTGTGTGTGTGTGTGTGTGTGTGTGTGTGTGTGTGTGTGTGTGTGAGAGAGAGAGACAGCGAGAGGGAGAGAGAAAGTTTCTCCCAAATTAGCCACTGAAAGAAAACCTTGAGGCGTTTTATCAGTCACACAGAAACACGTAACGAACACACACACTCACACCTTAGGCCAGACCACTCACTTCCTGTCCTCATCAGCCACTCGGCCTCCGTCAACATCGTTTCATCGGCCGAAGGAAATGATCAGCAAGATTTTATTCTCTGATACTGGTTGTTGTTTCTTACCTTTGGTGCCGTTGCTTTTATTTGTATTTATTTTTTTGTGTAAGAAGAGTGTAAATGAGCAAGGGGTTGTATGACCTTGTCAGAAGACTCCTGAACCTCCACCAGAAGCCAATCACGACTTCCTGACTTGATTTAGATATTGTGTGTGCGTTCGCAGCACATCCTGATAGTGCAGAGGCAGCTGTCGGTGCTGGAGGAGGAGCTGGAGGAGTTTCGTTTGGCTCTCAGACAGTACATGGAGTGTGCCTGCGCCCAGACGGGATGCCTACAGTGAGTTTAGTCTCTTTGTATCAGGGATTTATGGCACATATTTATGTGTTTACATTTTGGCAAGGGGCTATGAAAGAAAGAAAACACCAGAAAACTGTCCACACGGGGCAGGAAATGTAACATTTTACTTTTAGTTGATATATTATCTGCACATATCTACCGCGTGCTTAGCTGGCCGTTGCTCTCCTGCAGGTTACTTTTTTAATTGGTGGTAAAAGGTTTTCTTTTTTTCCTTTTTCTAATCTGGTTCGATGACAGATGTTTTATAGATTGTAGTGTCTTTGTAGGCCCAATAATGAATTTTAAATACATGTTATTTAATGTAAACTTGACACAATACTAGTTTAAAAGATAATTCCAATAAAATAGTAAAAGTTTATGCGAAAAGTATGTTCTCAACATGTTCATTAGAGATATTTCAATGCATTATACAGATACATGGATATGAAACAAGATGCATCTATTCAGTGGAGCTTTGATATAGATCCAAGGTCAGGAGCAAAGTTATTCAGACGTATTCAACATCTTGAATGTTCTGTCCATACATACAATTTGTGGATGTTTCATTAATTCAAACTATCAAACTCAACTATCAAATGTATGTGAAAATTATTTTTGACCAAAGCATTATATTCCTTTATTTCCTTTCTGGAAACAAAGATTGAAGGTTTGTCCCTTAGATACCAAGATGAAAACAACAACACATACTGTGCCTTTGAGTGTTTGATTCCTTTTTTACAGGATTATGGCATTTTAATCCTTTGATTTAAATCTGTTTTGCATTACATCATCTACTCTGTAGTTGAGATTTTTACATGAATTACATCGATGAAGGCTGTAGGCTCTCTACATGGTTTATCTATATAAAATATCACTGAGGGGTCTTCATGAGGTCATAATCAACAATGAATTAATGATGAAGCTTTGAAATAGAATCATCCGGGTAATGACTGGAATGTTTTTGGCCTAGAGACTCGCTGGGGTTTCAGTGTAATCAGACCACAACACGTTCTGTCAGTGGATAAAAGACTGTTTGTCTTCTCTTTCCTCATTTCAAACATTAGAAAAAAACTGCAACTTTGTCACTGTAACTCTAACACTATATAATTATAATTTGAGGATGGACACGGGAAACATTATTTGATAGATTCACATTGCTTCCTGTCAGAGAGTGAAAAACAATGCAGACGCACAGGCTGTGCTGAGGGACATGATGTAGCACACTAATTAGTCATTGCATGACTTGTGCTCTCTCCTCTTTTGCATTTGGCAGCATTGCAGTTCAGCGGCTGGTAAATGAATCACGCTTCATTCTCTATGAATTCTGGGAGCACAACAATGTGTGGAAGAAGTAAGTATTTGCCCGCAATATGTGCATGATGACTAATGAACCATCATCAAATAATTTATGTTTTTTGCTCAGCTTGAACTCACAACGCGAAGGTCTGGTTCAGAATTTTTATGCAACTTGGTTGACTTGCATCATTTCTCATCATGTGGCTTTTGGCATGTGGTTGTCTAGTTAGTTGTGTCTGTTTCTTAAAAATTCAAAACGAATCTCAATGATACCAACATGCATGTACAGGGCTGGGACATTTAGGATTAATTATCATACAAAGTCCCACCCCTTTTTTTATCCTGTATGAATTGTGGCATTAATTACACGTTTAATTTTTCAATCTAAATAATAATTTAGCAAGTCAAGAGGGTTGTACACAGCGTGGCTTCATTGAGTGTCAACTTTTGGGTGTTTACTCAAAACGCTGACTTTGGGTAGACAAAATATGACTCTCTTAAAATAAAGGGTTAGGGACAAACATCATCTGTTATTTACGGTGCAATTTTACCAGGATTTAGAAAAATAAAAGGATCTCCCATATTTGACTGCAGTATATATTTGTATCCAATACAAGGTCCCATGTTGGTCCACCAAAAAGTGTGGGTCTTTGCTTCTTTATAGGTGTCTCTATTGAAGTTATCCCAAAACACAAGGAAATGCAGAATACTGTACAGATTACCCACACACACCCCTATATGTGAAATGTAAATTAGCATACCATAGAAAATACACAAGCGAAACAGGACCATACACAAGGAAATAGCATGTTGATACAGTTCATTGAGAAGTCACAAAATAGGATGCTGGAGGCTCGTGGTGCAAGTGAAGACATCTCTATGCATCATCAGTAAATGAATCTTTCTCTGCACAGTCACCTGCAGACCAACTACAGTAAGACCTTCCAGAGGGGGAACGTGGACTTCCTGGAAACTCCAGAGAGCGTAACCACCATGATGGTTCCTGGTAAGATCATTTATTCAAACTCAAAACACATCACACTCAAACCTCTCGCATCCAACGATATCCAGATAACTTTCACCTGAGTGATCTTACACCTCTAAAGAGAAAACGTATCAGTCTCAGGTGCCCTCTGGTTTGTCGATCATCAATCACAAAGATGACGCTTAAACCCTCAAAACTTAATTTTAAATTATAGTCACGATGGAAAAGTCTTCAAAGATAACAAGAAGTTGTGCTGCGAAAATTGTATCAACAATGTATGATGCTGACAGGCATTGAGCGTGATGATTCATTCTCAACCTTGGAAACCGTTGAACCGGAAGAAGAAAATCTCAGCATGTTTAAACTTACTTATCTAAGACCTTGTGATGGATGGTAGTTAGATATATGTTTGGATCTTTGTGTTAGTATTGCACCTAGCTTTAAAATCCTGTAAAATCACATTTCACATTCACATAATCAGCTCACATTAGACTGTCACTCATTTGCATTAATTGTGAGTCTGTTTTTCTTCTTCTGCATCTCCTCCACAGCCTCGTGGTGGGTCCTCAACAACAACTGAAAGCGGATGAGAAGCCTTCACAGATTGATGGGTACCAGAAGCTACCTGGGAACATATCAGGACGTCCACACAACCGTACACGCACGCACACTAACTCAACACAACTCGTAAAGTTGTGGTGATTAGTACTTTAGACCTACATGTCCCTTCATAGTAATAGGTGGTAGTCTGAAATAGCCCACGCGTGTGTGTTTGTTTACACTCCTTAATGACGCTCTGACGTCCTGAAACCAAGCACATCACCAGACGGAGACCCATGTGTTCTTCTGACATCATCACTGTGTTTGAAGTGACAACATCTGCAGCCCTGGGTGGATCGTGACAGCTGGGTGTGTGTGTGTGTGTGTGTGTGTGTGTGTGTGTGTGTGTGTGTGTGTGTGTGTGTGTGTGTGTGAAAGAGACAAAGAGAGAGGGGGGGGGGGGGGGTATCAATTGTAGCAGCTCTAGTGGGCTCATTTAAACGTTATTCTGTTGTTTCTGTATTCAATGTGTTCATAGTCATAAATAAAGACTATATGTTGTGTATCATGTTTTGTTTGCATGTTAGTCTTTTTGCAGCATATCTAAAAAATAACATTGGGGAACAGTTGTTTTAGAAGATGAACACTTAATTCCTAATCTGACTATAGTATCTTTGCTGAGTGAAGATGGTGATCTCAATTGAATTTAGAGAGGCAAAAAGTTAACACCTGTCATTGTTGCTCTGATCCGTTGTGTGTTTCCTGATATCTATGGCGTGAGACCATATTACACTCACTTGAAGCCTTGAACACAGCCGACTAAAGAGCTTTTTCACGTGTTTTCCAATGGCTCCACCGTGTGGAGGCAGCAGTGAAAGAACAAGCCACTGAGAATTATACAGGCTTTTCAATTGGTGAGGAAACATGAGCCCAATGCGTGTCAGCTGCACATGTTCTATAACAGGTTTATCGTTATTTACAGACCAACATCAAATAGTAACATCTGACAACGAGACAACTAGATGAAAAATGTTTAGCCCAAACAGGTGTTATTGTTTCCTCTGGATAATTAGAGGTCAAAAGCTGTGCTCGGATTTACCTGATTCGCTACAAACAGCATCTACCAATCAGAGCGATGATGGAATACGATGCCGAACCTAATCAGATAGATTTTAAGGTAGTGGTGAGCCAGGCCAAAATGTTCCTCTCGTGCATCATTTTGTTATTAAGAGAACATTAGGATTTGGACTCATCGTCAGCAACCGCAATGTTTGGTTAGATTTTAATCTAATAATAAAGCTGTGCTTCTGATACTATAATTTCATCAGACAAACGCTCTTACAATATGTATGAGAGCCAACTCAAGTTTCTCATGTTCAAATACACACAGGAACACACACGTTTTACGATCTCTTGCTTGAATAAAGGTATAATTAACATCAATGTTAAAACACTTGGCATAGTCCTTAAGTACTCTCTGCAGGTGGAAGCACTCTTTGGAAAAATTGTCACCTTTTAAAGTATAATAAGATCTTTGCATTCTTGTCTTGTTTTCAAAGACATAATTCAATTGTGAATGCAGCATTTTAACAGCATTCCATGAACATTTTATAATCTGAAAAATCTCAACATAGTAAAAAGTATCGCATTTCCTTCTAAAATATTATGAAGTGCAAGCATTAAGTAGCCTTAAAAAAACCTCAAGAAACGGAACTTAAAGTTACCTAAATGCATCCCTTTCGTTTGAACCTTGCATTCTTTAAATGTGGTGACAATGTGGCAGCAGGCACAGTCAATGACCAAACTGTACAATACAGGCAGTTTTTTTGCATTTTATTGATAAATAATCATTTTGAAAAAAACCTACGAGCCATCTTCTGCTTTCCCCCCACACTACAGTTTTCCAAGAACAGAATTTGAACTATGCACAAAGAGTTTGTTTTTTAACATTATGTTCTGCTTATTCATCATCATCACCATCCTCATCATCATAATTCACATTCAAAACAAGGTTAGAAGTTTGAGCTGGTCAAGGTGAAGAGACAGGAAGCCAAGTCAGCCTACAGCAATGCCAGCTAGCACAGAGTGCCGATAATAAGCAGAGGGAGGAGGAGGAGGAGGAGGAGGAGGGTTTACATTCTAACTCACAGGCAGACGGAGCAAAGACAAGAGCATCATAAGCTTCAGCTACCTCTTTGAAAACGGACAAAAGCACCCTCAGGGACGGAGCATACGCAAATCAACATGCAAACATGAGTCACCGAGTACGGAGATCATATTCCAACATTGAGAAGGCAACAGAAGTGCTATAAAACCACAAAAAGGTAACTACAGTTAAAAATAACTCTCACAAAATGAAAGGGTTATTGCTCTAGTGAGTTAAAATCAGCATGGCACCAAAAACAAAAACTGTGATCATTTTTAAAAAAAAGACAAGCTCCTGTTGATCGTTTGCTCTTCTTGACCAATTCTGGGCAGCAAAGTTGGCACAAATGGGTATTAAAGAATTAAAAAGAAGTGTAGAGTTAAAATCATATAGCAATACTATGTTAGTGTACACAGGCAAGATAAATGGTTACAAGACAGTATGGGTATGCATCTTTCTATAGCGGGAGTTGAACTAGCAGCAAAACAACAGATACAATTGCATATAATCGCAGTGCAAAGGGCAAACTGTTCTTAGGGGGTTGTCACATGTTGGTCTGGTCAGTAAAAGAAATCAGGTGCTGAACAACAAAACAAAAAAGTTCCAGAAAAGACCAAATCCAAACAGTTTAATTGAGAATATATTTTTTAACAAATTATTTCCCATTTTTAGAGAAAAATCCCATTTTTTAAAAAGTTCATTCTGGATTTTGAAGGATTTCGGCAAAAACCTGGGCAGGATTTGAGTCCCTGCGGCCAGTGGGAGGAGGGGTCAACATACATTAGGCTTGTTCAGCGAGTCATAACTCTAAAACATTCCAAAAACAAAACTGCATTATTTTAGATACATCTCCAACATACATTCTCTTCAAACACACACGACTCCTCTTCAACACACCCCTGTCCAGACGCCCTGCAGGCATTCCCCTCAGCCGAACACGACCAGTGTGGAACCCGGATGAGTAAAAAGTAAAACTGGGCTTTGTTGATCCAGCCACGCCAAGTCCGTTCTAGGCAAAGCTATTCTCCGGGTAGCTGACTTTAATAGCGCCCCAGTAGCAGGCTCGTATCAGACAGATGAGACCCAGCAGGTAGGCGAACGCCCAGGACACGTAGGTGGCATTGTAACGATTGGCAAAGTCCCGAGTCCCAACCTGTCGATACAGAGTGGAAGACATGGTGGGTGAAATATCACCACGTTTGACATCAAATTCATTCTGATATTCATTCTGATTCTGATATACTGGGAAAAACTGAATGTTTCCGATTGTATATTACATTATATCAGATTTCATTTTTGGAACACTGAAGTGGCCTAATAGGCCACTAAGTGTATTTATTTGATGTAGGATGATGCAATAAAACCTCTAGAAAAGATCACTTTATATACCTCTATTTATTCCTTCATTTTCATATTATTATTATTGTGTTCACTAGAAAGCACATAGGCACATTTCTCAAGGGATCATTTTAATTGTCAAATGAGACATTTCAAAGGTAAAAACATCACAAAAGACAATTTTGTCACATTCACTCACATTCAACTCACAACTCACATTCATGTTTCTCTCAGGTTAATTGTGATATTGTGTTTTGTCTTATACATTTATATATATAATATTTGTACAGCAGTGAGCTGTAAAACAGGTGAGCATGGCGATTATTACACCCCTTAAACATCAGTCTGTTGACATCATCATCGGGAGAGGATCACCCCAAAATTTAATTTTCTTTAATTTAATTTCTCTTTGTCCATTCTATTGTGTTGTGCTTGAGTTTAACACTATCCTGGATGGTTGAAATGTCTCGCTGAATGCCTTTATTGGGAAGTCACTTACATCTTTTGTTTAGTAAGTGTTACAAATATAAAACAATTAAGACAAACAAAACAAAGACAGTGCTTACCGTTAAACCCACTCCGATGAAAATGCAAATCATTCCTATAGTTATATAAGCACAACAACGCCTCCTAGGGAGCGCACTGCCGACAGAGGATCTGCAGAAAGAGATTGATGAGAAAAATTTAAAATTTAGAAAGAAAAAAAAATTAAGATACTTGTTTTTTGTTTGTCTTATACACTGGTTCTGTGAAAAAGAAGTTTTTATTTGTCCAGACCTTTCTTAGACTTTTTATACTTGTATGTGGTTGGAAAAGATTTGCAAGAAACGTTTGCATTATGATAATGACTGATATGACTTCATCCCATGCCAGCCAAAAATCCTCCCTCCTCTTTTACATGTCACATGACAGCGCCGGGAGCCGGTCACATGTGCAACACACGTCCAGATTGCGAACACGCTGCAACACATGCACAAGTGGGAATGCCGCTCAGCACAAGTCTGGTATCATTGCCTTTGTTTCTTTTTTCCTTTCCTTTCCTCCCCCTCTCTGCTCTCACATGCCTCTCATGTGATGGGACTCAAGCATTCTTCAGGCATCGTTGGTATTCAGATGGCTTAAGGGGAGCCCGATCACCTGATTTCTCACCTTCTCACACTCCTCCTTTTCCTGCCTTCACGTACGGCTTGTTCACAATTGTGCCACCTGACCATCTCACTAATGTGACCTGTGAGCACAGCTGCAGCAGACTTATATTCAAAGGATGTTTTTAAAAAGGTTTTAGAGCTGAAGATCACCCATAAAGCAAGAAATCAAGAGTGCAACAGTCTAACAAACAAAAAACAGCTCTATTACAACACTTCACATGCAACGAAACACTTTTATCTGCTCCTTATAAGTATCAAGGTAAAACCCAGAAAGGCTCCGTTACTTCATGTGTCAGGGAGTTTTTAAGGAGATACTGTCTTAGAGCAAATAAGTACGGAAAGAAAGAGATGGAGAACAAGAAAGAAAAAAGCCGCACTGAGGTGAAAGACAGAAATGCGGAACCAAAGATTGTTACTATTTGCTTTAAACTGAATCATTTAGTTGGCTGGTCGAGTCCATTGTGTGTTTTATTACACGTTGCCTTCAAACCTCCAGCCTTGTAACAGTTGGATTGTCATAATAGACTTGTTGTTTGTTGACTTTGTTTTAGTCACATGTGTTATTTGTAAAACTTTGCTACTTCAACATATCAAAGATATATTTTAGACTCTGTATGCGCATGTCACAGGTAGAAAGGTAGACTCATATTTCATAACAGCCCTGCATGACTGAGTGTTGTAAGCCAATGCACATGTGAAAACTCAACGATTTTAGCCGTTTAAAAGTATTACCCTTCTTCCAATGTAGAATATATCGTGTTTTTTTGGTTTAAAGACCACGCCTATACATTTGGATTTCAAGGCCATTCTCTGCAAAGCAGTTGGACATTACATGTCAATTAAACGTTTCAAGGACTCCGAAGCTTCACTAATGTTTGTTGCAACTTTACATTAAAACTATGCAATTTGAATTGCACTACGTACAAGATTTGGAGCTAATGATGCAAAAAGCGCTCACAGTGCAAACGGGACAATAGAGACAACGCTAGAATTAACTAGAATTGCTATCATATATTGCACCTTTTAAGTAGTCTTTAATTGTAACACCAGGAAACAATAATGTAATTTTGAAAAAAATAATGCACTGGCGGCTTGCAACAGTAAGAATAAAGTCAGTTAAAACATGAAAACACACATGAACAGTTAGGGAGATGAGTTAAGATGATGAGTTAAATGGAAGTTTAATGGACTCACATTTTTTTGCAGTGGGGACACTTGGCTAGCGTGTTAAACCGAAGCTCCATCCACTGTGAGGAAACAGAGAATAAGCACCGTTTAGTCAGAGTACAAGAGCCTCCACACAATGCCGCGTGAACAACAACACAATACGATCCGACTGCACACAATCAACACAAGATCGAATGGGAATGATTTCAGATGATCAATCAAGATGGATTGCAGATTGTAAATCTATTCGTGGGCTGTATTGGAGAAAGTGTAAAAAGAAACTACTCTTATGATGTATTAGATTGGGTTGTAAATAAAGAATTGTTTTGTGAAGGGTTTTGATGTTAAAAGCAGTGTTACGATAATGTTTATCCAATACAAGTCAGCATAGTTTATGGTCAAAATTTAATATGTGACTTTCAACATCTGGCTTGAAAGAAGCAATATAAAACTTTCAGGGAAATTCAGGGATAACTGTCTTGTAAACCAGTTTTTCTTTTACTTCAAATATACAAATTGCTCTTCAACTGACTGGCTCTTCAAAGCCAGATGTCTACAAAGTCATATCATCACTAGTGCAAATAAGGCCGCAGATTGAACCGGGGCAGGTTAGGCTGTTGTTAATACGTCCACCAGTGTGACCAGCTTCCTCAACCTCTTGTCGTGCTGGGGGAGAGCCATCGCTGGGGAGGCCTGACATTGGCTGGGATGTTTTGGCGTCCTCGCTGCCCTACAGCCGGCGCAAGCAACAATTTGCACACGTTAAGAGGATACCACCACGTGTTGTTCATACGCGTGCCTCCTCCCCTTTGGGAGGCGCTACAGGGTGCTCCGTTCCCGGACCAGCAGGTTCAGGAACAGCTTCATCCCTGCGGCTGTCACTCTACTGAACTCTGCCCCCCCTGAACTCTGAACTCTGCCCCCCACCCCCACACACCTCCCTCAGTGACTGTACTTCCCCCTCCACCCTGGCTTGACTGCCACACCCTCCTCCAGCCACTGAACATTTGCACTGTTATTGTATATCCATTTTTTACTGTTCATATTGCAAAACTATTTCTTACTGTACATATCTATTTATTCACTTATTACACTTCACATATGCACATACTTTGCACTTTTTGCTATTTTGCACTCTGGTTGGATGTTAAACTGCATTTCGTTGCCTCAGTACTTGTACCCTGTGCAATGACAATAAAGTTGAATCTAATCTAATCTAATCTACTGACGCGACACCTCAGGTACTGCAGCCTCCCCGTTCAACGAGACACCTCACGGGTTGTTTTTTTAATATGTAACCGGAAAAGGTGTAAGGTACTTGAACCTTCATGTCAGTGAATGCAAACAAAAAGGTCATTGCGGATGAGAGTAATTTGCGACGGTATGCAACCACACGACTGGTGAGGAGAGGAGACACACAGCAGATGCATTCCAGCCACTTCCACGCTTCCTAATTCATTCAACAAGATAAAAGGAAAAAAAGAGATCTTTTTCGATCTTATGTGTGGTTTGGACTGACTCGCTAATACTCTTTACAACCCGGCAACTACTGTGTAAGTACCTTACAAAACTGAAAAAAATCCCCTGTTTCCATCAATGTGGTTTGACTATCAATGTTTTAAATATGCATGTACCAACAACAGCACAGCAATGCTTATGCATGAACAACTCCGCGATTTCTTTAGATTTTGAATGTCATGGGGGGATTACGTACAAGGAAGGTGTTGCCGCAGTGACCGCAGACCACTCTCATCCCCTCAGGTTGGATGGGCAGTGCCGGCTGAGCGGGTTGCTCCTCTGGGATAACCATCACTGGGCTCAGGTTGATTATCCGTCTGCTGTGGAAGGAACAAAGAGAGATGGACAACCTTATAAATCCAACCTGTCAAAGACGGGACTGGTGACATCAATGATGAGTCTTGATTGGTCTCATAAGACTGTTACTTGACTGCCGGTTACCTACCAGTTTGGTCGAGGACATCCTATCCTCCTCGACGTGTCTTTACAGATGAGCAGGCAGTTACAGGGACACCTCACATATTTCTTCCCTGTTGGGGGGGTTTTGATGGGCTGGAAGGCAACATTGACAGAATGAAATGCAGAAAACAAGAGAAAAGGGCATTAAAAAGAAGAGCAGTTGGTTTAAAATGTGGTTGAGGTGACACCGCAGGGCCTTTAGGGCAGAATGTAACAGGGTGTAAAATGTTCAAAATCAATTTAATTTATAAAATGTACTGGATATCAGGTCGCCCATCAGCTTTATTATTTATATATTATATTTTTGAAAGGTGACTTGATTGTTGAAAAGCAGAGGAGAGCAGCGATAACCACCCGGAATAAAACTGAAGGCTGCGTCTCTTTGCTCAACTTGACAGTTGAACTCTTACAACTCAACGCCGAGCGCCAACAATAACGGCGGCCTCTACTTACTGTAGCTTCATTGCACACTGTGCACTTCACCACGTGCTGATGCAGCTTTCCATCCAGATTTATGAGCGACTGACATACGCGGCAGTTGATGACGGGTACGCCGCCGGCATCGGGGCTGGCGATGGCTGTGTAGGGAGGAGGTAGTTCGGCTTTGAAAAGAGGAGGACGGCAAAGCAAACAACACGCGGCCAGCTGTTAACTGCATGCGTCAATAAAACTTCAGGCATTGAACAGACCGAATCCAATACCAGAAAGAAAAAAAAAACACATGCCAAACCATCAAGCATCATCACAGTTCCTCCCAATGTGTTAGTTATTCAGTTATGTGTGTCTCTTGGTAACCTAGCGGGTGATGGGCAGCCTAGAATCACAGCTGCACGTACTCATCACACAAACCCATGACAGCCTGCGTACGACTCTGATTGCTCAACATGTGACTCGTCTATCCTCGTCGGTACGTGTAGGGAAGAAACAATGAGCCCTTTTACATCCGTGATCGCAGGTAGCGTTAACATGTGAGTAATAGGCCCATGTGACACAATTTATTCATAAATACATGGATAGAAATGAATTATTTATGTCTGATAGAATACTATTGTTTGTGATTTCAAAAGCACATGAAACCAGAAGTATGAACATCGACCCATATGTTAAGGACGTGTTTTAAGAGTTGTTCAGATGGTGCATCAGCCATTGTCTAAACATTTTGGACAAAACATTTAACAGCCAGGACACTGATTAGTGTTTTTCTAAACATAATATTGGCCGGACTTTAAAAATAATTATCTTAATACGTGAAAGATCTGCTGTGAACTAACTACGGCTACCAGTCAAATGAACTCTGCACTGTTTAATCCCTCATAAACTTGTGTTATTAGTCTACATTCCTAGTGTCTTTCTGGGTTTTAATGCATTTTAGCCATAGATTTGCACCTTTACATTCCTACTGTGGACATACAACACGTGGTGATTCATTTCCACTTGTAATCCCAAATCCATGAAATAAAATCCTAGTAAGTAAGTAAATCAGCACTTCTTTCTGTTTTCTTTCTGGCCCCCGTTGGTTACGGACGTGGTTTGTTTTGAGGCTGACCGAGAAACTATTGTTGGACACGGATGTTTTCTGATTTCTTTATTCTGCTTCCTATTGCTCATTTGACAAGAAACAAAATTATCTTAAAAAAGCTGATAGATAAGGCTTTATAGTCTTGTTATTGTCAACAAAACCCATGAAAAAAAAGAATGCATTAGCCCGGCCCATCCGCTCCAGCTAATGACGTGATTCATTCAGAGCAGGAGGAAACTCAACCAAGGAGCAGAGCTGGCAGCGAATCGTTAGCTTTCTGTGTATCAACGAAGCATTGCTTCTGAGGAGGAATATGAACAATTAATTCAAGCACCTTCAAGGTCTGCACAGCCTTTTGCTGCAGTCCATTTATTCTGCTATTCAAGTGCAAAAACATTCAGCAGGTGATGACAAAATCAAGCACAGTGCCGTTCAGCGGCAGCCAAGGTCATTGGTCACCATCTCACTGTGAATACCGGCGAGGAACAGGGAACGTCTAGCTGAATAAAACTCTGATTATCCGGCAAAGAAGTCTTCTCGGATTTTAAAGATAATTGGGTAATCAATACAGCAAAGATTTCCATCGTTTTGACATAGTAACATGTTTTACTCAGTCCTAATCCCAGTTCACACTCACTCAGTTTTGTAGATGAGGCGGATTATTAGTCAAAGTATCTCTGTGACTGTGTTTCGGGACAAAAGCTCAGTTTTGGCTTCTTTGATTTTGATTAATTCGTTTTGTAAATTGGTCGATAGCGGATTCAATAACCCCAGAGAAACTAAAGAAGTAGCTAATATCCAGACTGCAGAGGGAGGGAGGAGAAACTGGGCCATGAAATATGCTGACATTCATTGAGGATTTTACTAAGTCAGAGCTGTGACATGAAAACAGGCCGTTCCCAGGTTATTACAGTCCAGCATTAAAGTCTTTATGAATAATCCGGATTGTGAAATATGAACTCTGCGAGATTAGCATAAATCAGAACAACAAAACATATTATTTTTCTCTCTGAAAGAGCATTAAGCTGTCAATGAATCCATTCATTTGCGCCAGAATAACCCGTGCTGTGACGCGTCGAAGAAAGCCCTTCACCCAAAGCTTCAACAAGATCTTTAGTGCACAGTGTCTGGAGCTAAATGTGCTAATGATTCTATGTTACACATAATCTGTTGATCAGAGGGGCTGATCTGGATGTTTCTGGAAAGCACCAAGAGGGAAATTTAGTTTGTTATATTCAGTAACGCCTCCAGCCAAAAGAAATAGCATAGTCTTTGTGTATGGCTCCAACTTTCAACATGGGATTTGATCTTCTGCTGCATCCTTTTCAGAACCAGGCCACATTCAGTGCAAAGGGCAGTCCCGACAGCAGCTTACCAAGTGAGTGGACTGTGGATTTATGAGCAGTAAATGCCTCGGCCATTCAGCCCTGCATGCATCACGGTGCTTTAACCTACATTCAGCTGATGATTACTAAGCAAAACGTGGACACTGTGTCAGCTGCACGTCTCGTTCTGTATCAAAGATGCTACAGTGAATTAAATGTGTCCTTGCAAGATCATTGCACGATTGGTATTGTTTACAGTGTACATTTCACGCGAATGAGTTCTATGTAAAACACCATGAAATCGTCTTTCACGCTTCGGGTTCGACACATCTGGCCCTTCACGTGGGACAAAAGGCTGCTCGGCTCCCTTCGTCCGCAGCGGGGTCATCCCTCCCGCACGTCGCACAACAACATCGGATCCCACGTCCACCCGAGGCCTCGCGGCGCGCATCATCACGACCCATAAAAACGACATGAGCTTTTCTGCGGTAAAGAGAAAAAACAACAACAACCCAGAGCGCGCTGCTCCAGCAGGGCCCGCTTCTCCGGGCCACTGCTCCGCTTCTCCCCCCCGCTGCAGACCGTGGCGCTCGCCTCACATCGCTGCAGTTTTATTTTACGCACAAACTCAATACGCCACAAAAACAAATGATTCAGCACGCCGGCAGCAGCGGTGGGGGCGGTTGGCTGTGTGGGGGTTGCCGCTTGTTTACCTCGGGGACTTGACTCCTGCAGGTACGGGGGAGCAGCCGGGGTGACGCTCTCGGAGTTGGGGCCGGAGAGCAGCGGCGATCGCTCGTCCAAGCCGTCGGAGGCCATGTCGCTGTGCGCGCACCGCGGGACTTCTGTCTCCTGCGCCGGCTCTGCACTCGGGAGGGAGGTCCGTCCTGGGGGTGGAGGGTGGTGGGCGGGGGGCGCGCAGGAGCAGCAGCCGGCGCTGGTTGTTGGTGCCGAGTCGCTCGGGTCCGACAGCCCCAGTGACGGCAGCCTGGTGAGGGGAGGAGCTCCGCGGTGCCCCCCCCCCCCCCTTATTCTCCTCCTCCTTCCCAGGAATGTCCACCAGATGCCACTGTAGGAGTAGTTATGTGCAATCGATCCGTATTTCAGACTAACATTGGTGTGTCGTGATGTGTCTGTACACTTACAGACATGATGCTGTTTGGTCTGCGGCTGAGTTGTGAAAATGCATCCGATGTTTAATTAGCCGGCCTTCGTGGTTAAATAAAATGAATAAAATATTAGTTTCTAAATCAGATGATTTTGTATTGGAAAAATGCAAGACTCTATATTTTTGCATCACAAATTTTCCTTTTTATTGGTTACTGCAGCAAACTGGATGTCAGTTGAACTCTTTCTACCTCTTCCACCTCATTAGATTTCGTCATTGAGCAGAAACATCATCATCAGACACTCTCTTTGTTCCCTAAGTGGTTTGATTGTCATCAGCAAGACCAGCAAGTGTGAACTCTTCATGATACAAAAAATGGTTTATAATGGTAAATCCTGAGAATATCATCCATCCCCCTGACTACAACACACTCGATAGTTTGTTCCAACACTCGTCCCTCCCATTCCTTGTTGCTTATGACAGGGTGTAAACCTCAGACTACATAAATGAATCTCCTGACCATTCAAAAGAATCACTAAACAAACACAGATGTTGTCTATCAGCATTTGGGACTAAACAAGTCTGCATTAATTTTAAAACCTTTGTGTTGGTTCTTAAAACCGCAAGATGAAAATATGTGTATCATAACCATTAAGATCTCCTCTGTCATTGAACTGTTTGTTCCCTGGGCTGTCGTCCCTTTCCTCCCTCTAGAGAAGCTCAGCCCAGCCGTGCTGCACTGTAAGCAAGTTGCAGCTGGATTGGACTGAAGCCCCTTAAAGCTCCTCCGGCCGCCGAAGGAAGAGGTCTCACTTCACTAGTAGTGTAAATCATATTGATTTGCTTTAAAGTTGTGTGGTTGATATGATTTAGTTTTGTTTTGCCAAGAAGGTTGTATCAATAGATTATGACAAACAAGATTATCCAGCATTCCGTGCTTGTGGTTGATGTCTTGGTACTCCACAAGTACAAATATTTCTACTCTGTCTAATAAAAAAATTTCAACAGTGTGCAATCTTTGATTGGGGGATCTATCTTTTTCTATTGACTTCTTCTAAAACTGCTTGAAACAAAAGTAACTCAGGCAGGATAAAATAATGAGTGAACATCAGGGTTTATCAGTTTAAGAGATCAATTTTATTTGCAGGAGATTTTCTCAGATTTACAATTATTGTCTCATGTTGCAGGAGAGCAAGTTACCTGGAGGCAAAAGCTCTCTCAAATTCTCAACTGAAGACATTGTTGCTTAATTACCGATTAAATGAATTACCTGCACCGCTACTAGACGAAGCAACGGCTGGGTGTCACACTTTAATGTTCCGACTGCAGACCTCAGTCACATTAATGTTCCGCATTTCCTAATGGGTCTTCTTCTTCTTCTTCTTCTACTTATTGGCGGGTTGCAGCGATAGTAGCGTATACCGCCACCTACTATTCAGGAGTGTGCAAACGGATTTATGGCAAGGCTAGACTATTGTTCAAGAAAAAAAAGGATATGAAAAAGAAATAACTTTTCATTAGGCCTGATTCATTCAGAAACATAACTAAAGCTTTGATTCTGTCTCTTTGTATCCCTTGTTCCTTTAAAATATAATTCATAAGCCTATCATTTCCAGCTTTGACCTCTGGCCATTTCATTCTGAACTTTTTTTTTTTTTTTTTAAACATGTTCAACATGTTCTTTAACTTAACATTCAGTAGATAATCCATTACGTTTTCCTATCATTTTTAGTGTGGAATTTGGACCTGTATGACTTAGTCTTAATCCATTATATACCACTTCCTCTCGTCTGTCAAGACCCAGTACGGAGACTCTTTCCCCTCCAACCTGGCTTTGTATTTTATGGTATTGTCTAACTTTAGGGTCAGATTCATTCATCCATTCTTCTTGCCACCTTTGCATGGTCTCAATCTTTATTCAACTTTTTGCTTCCCCTTTTCCTATTGGAACCTTAATGCCTATATGTTCTTTTCAAAGCCTTTTTTCATCCGCATTTCATTTCCCTTTAATCCAACATGTGCTGGGACCCAGCAAACTGACTATGATCCTTAGTTTCTAATATTTTCCACCAGTATTTTATTTCTAATATAAGGTATCTTCGTGAGATGTCCCTCAAACTTGCATACCGACATGGAGTCTGTAGGATATTAGAAACAAATTTACGACCCGGTTCATCAAATTAATAAAAATGCATATAGTGTACACCACAATACAGCCATGATTCTGAAACTGTAATCAATAAAGTAATGACAATATTGTAAAACCACTTTAATTTTGCAACTGTAATAGAATCACATCAATGTACAGTTATGATTGTATTTGATGTAATGTAATCAACTGGAATGCATGCATGTAATACTACAACAACTGATATTGATAAAGGGCCATTCGAAATCCGAGTTACATTGAACTCACCAGAAGACCACTCCCAGAGGTGTGGACACTAACTTTCACACCTTTAAGCATTGTTATAAATACCTGTAAGAACCATTGTTCTCGAGTTCACTGGTGGAGACGAAAAACAGGCACTAGGGATGGTCCGGAACCTGGTTTACCATACCATCACAAATGTCTCTATATTTCTCCCAGTTAGCTTTTTTGAAGGTCCATTACTTATGACTGTACTTTTGTTCAGTCTTAAATTCCATATCTACTAAGATTGGGAAATGCTCACTTCCAACGCTTGTGTTATGATCTATTTCCCATTCACATCTACTGGCTATTTTCCTGTCAACTAAAGTTAAATCAATACAGGAAGTTTCATTCTTATAGACATTAATTCTAGTACCAGCCCCATTATTCAAACATACCAGCATTCTATCAGTCATCATTTCTTAAACAGCCTCACCATTTAGATCTGTATGTTTGCTGCCCTACGAACTATTGTGTGCATTAAAGTCTCCACAGCGTATTTCTCTATGATTTGTCCTAACTATACTTTATAACATCTCATTAGTTAGCCTTTTACATGGATTATAGAAGTTAACAATGTACATATTTCCACTGAACCCATCAGAACCCGTTGTTTTTTTTCCAGTGAGAACCTGAATCCCCGGTCATAACCCCACTACACCACCTCATCCATTGCTTCTTGCACTTTCCTGACCGCGTGTTCCAGGTTCCTTCCGTTTTTCCATATTGCACCATGGTCAGCAAACAGAGACCTCCCTATACTAGTGCTTTTGTGAATATATATCATTAATCATTAGGGTAAAGATGAGTGTACCAATCACACTACCCTGAGGCGTGCCTTTCTCGACTATCTATTGTTCTGACCTTTCTGAGACAATCTGAGCTTGAAATTTCCTTCCAAACAAAAAGTATTTTACCCAGTTGTACATTCTTCCACCAATTCCCAGAATATGGCTTTTCCCCACTATGGACCGTTGAATGACAATTCAAATGTGATGTCGTAGTGAATGTTTTCCGACAGGTGATGAAAGAATATGGCCTTTCCCCAGTGTGGAGGACTTTTCAGATTGACAATTAATTTGTCAGTTAGACAAATACATTGAGATATATATATATATATATATATCAAACAGATTTGCAAGATATGTTCCCTCAATCTGCATCTTCTCACCCGGAGAGGATTGTGAGAGAGAAGCTGGTGGTCATTGTTTAGTTCAACTACAGCGGTGCTTTCAACTGAAATGTATTCTAGAGATGTTTCCTGTACCACACTCTCAGCTTCATCAGTACACGAGTCCAGAAGTTGATCTTCACCGTGGCCTCTTTCCTCACAAGTAGGAGTCAACGTAAAGGCCTCCTGCTTCGGTTCAAGCTGCTCTCCCTCTGGACTGGTGCAGAGTTCCTCCTGTTCCTCTTTAATCTCTGGAGGATCTGGGTCCTCTTGGTCCAGACTGGGCTTCCTCTCCTGGAGACAGAGCTGCTGCTCAGAGAGAAGCTCCTCCTCCTTACAGACACGTGACTGTGGGAGCTCTGGAGGGACAAAAGGAATAGAAGACAAACGTTTCTTCAGCAGCAGCAGATAGTCACTCGTTGACAAACGCTCTCAAATTCTCAACTGAAGACATTGTTGCTTAGTTACCGATTAAATTAATTACCTGCACTTAGTGATGTGACGTTCGCGTCGAGGCTTCGAAGCTTGGGTCGAGTAATCCAGGAAGATTTTTATGAAGCGCGTATCGAGGCTTGTGTTGATGACGTATGTGATGACGTTCAAAGCCTCGCAAACCAGCCGTACCACGTGACTGATTCAGGAAATGGTTCATGGGTCTTGTTGAGTATTAAAATATAATCATGCACGGTCACGCTAGAATGAAATTACACTTGAATTATAAATGCATAGTAATAATGGGTGAAGGCCGCTTAAAAAGCCTGGATTGCACGAACAGCTTATATCACAATCACAACCACAGCACACAACATGTTGCTAAAAAGCTGCACGCACTATCTGGGTCAAATAAAGAAAAACAGGAAACACCAGTTCCCCATATTGAGAAAAGCACTATCTGGTTCAAATGTAGAAAAACAGGAAACACCAGTTCCCCATAGTGAGAATAACATGTCCATACATGGAGCTGCACCCCAGCTCTCACACGCAAACACATACAGCGCAAAACATCCTAATATGCAGTGGCGTGAACCATTGAAAGCGTGATGACCCGCAAGCCTGGAGGGATGGACATCCCTGTGCTCTAATGAGGCTCTCCGAAGGTTCCTAAACAGGAGCCGCCTCCATCATAGTAAACCAATCCAAAATGCTCTTAAAGGATATATAATGCGAGCACACTCTGTATTAAGGGATTTTTTTTTAATGGGTCCGTGCACGTTAAACTGCCTTTTCTTTGCAAGTTAAACGTTTTTTTCTTTGCTTTTGCTAAATAGCTTGCCCTGTTCTTTGCTAAATAGCTTGAAATAGGTCCGTGCACGTTTAACTACAGGACAGAATACTCTTGTCACAAATAAACATTGTCACATTGCTTTGATTAAAGTCTCCAGTAGTCCTTGTTTCGCTCAGACACGACAGTCTGGAGCGCGATTCGAAATAAAAGGGGCAGCGAAACACAAGTCCTACATTTTGTGTATTTCATACTTTATTGCGCGTTTATTTACAAACTATTCAAGCTTCTTTTTTCTGTGATGGAACCAGCAGGAAAGAGATTTTCCCCTGTCCAGGAACATTTTGACCTTGGATTGGTCTCCCTGTTCTCACGCAGGGCTCAGCATAGACGAGGTGTTACTGTTGTATCCAAGCTCCCTTGAACACAACAGACACTTCACCTTTTAAATTACCAGAAATAAGAAACATAGATATTAGAACAAGCGATACTGTGTCAGATTTATTTACAGTATATTATGCTACTTATTAATAATATATTACTATGTGCATATCTTATTATGAGGTGTGGATCTTTTTCTTTTTTTCTAAATCTGCTTTATACAAAAAAACTCAGGCAAGATGAAATCACGAGTGAACATCATTTGAGGGTTTATCAGTTTAAGAGATCCATCATTTTTATTGCAGGAATTTTCGTAGATTGGCAATTAATTTGGCAGATAAATATATATTTCAAACAGGTTAAACATTTGCATGATATGTTCCCTTAATCTGCAACAAAGATTTGGGGGATGACAGTAAAATATATACATTTAATGACTGGGTATTACATTACATATCATTTAGCTGACGCTTTTATCCAAAGCAACTGGCATTGCATTTTTTTTTAACCAGGCGCCGGGGGAGCAGTTAGAGGTTGCAGCATTTGTGTTTGATCTTATAGAAAGCTTCAACGCCTTTTTAATCTTAAAAATTGCTCTGAATATTTACTCTATGACACCTAACCCTTGTGGGTTCTTCTCATGTGGACAATTAAGTTACTAGAAGTCCTGAAACCACGTTCGCATATTTTACAGGAATATGGCTTCTCCCCAGTATGAATTCTTATATGACGCTTCAATACTGATGTCCGAGTGAATGTTTTCCCACAGGTGATGCAAGAATATGGCCTTTCCCCAGTGTGTCTTCTTATATGATACTTCAATTGTAATTTCCGAAAGAATGTTTTCCCACAGGTGATGCAGGAATATGGCTTCTCCTCACTATGAATTCTTACATGAGATTTCAATAGTGATTTCTGAGAGAATGTTTTCCCGCAGGTAATGCACGAATATGGCTTCTCCCCACTATGAATTATTATATGAGACCTCAAATTTGATGGCTGAGCGAATGCTTTCCCGCAGGTGATGCAGGAAAATGGCTTCTCCCCACTGTGAATTCTTATATGAGACTTCAAATTTGATGGCCGAGAGAATGTTTTCCCACAGGTGAGGCAGGAATACGGCCTTTCCCCAGTGTGAACACTCATGTGGGCTTTTAAATCACTATTATATTTGAATTCTTTTCCACATGGTTCACAAGAAAAGGGTTTCTCATCACTATGGACTCTTTTATGGGCCTTGAATATTGATTCATGAGGGAATCTTTTCCCACAGGTGTTGCATACATATGGTTGATCAACTCTGTGGGTTCTTCTCACGTGGGCAAACAAGCTATTTTTAAGTTGAAAGGATTTCCCACAATCTCTGCACAAAAACGGCTTCTCACCCGGAGAAGCTGGTTCCTTGTTTGATGTTAAACTAAGTTTTACTCCTTTCTGATCTTGGCCATCAGATTCATGAGGATTGTGAGAGAGAAGCTGGTGGTCATTGTTTAGTTCAACTACAGCGGTGCTTTCAACTGAAATGTATTCTAGAGATGTTTCCTGTACCACACTCTCAGCTTCATCAGTACACGAGTCCAGAAGTTGATCTTCACCGTGGCCTCTTTCCTCACAAGTAGGAGTCAACGTAAAGGCCTCCTGCTTCGGTTCAAGCTGCTCTCCCTCTGGACTGGTGCAGAGTTCCTCCTGTTCCTCTTTAATCGCTGGAGGATCTGGGTCCTCTTGGTCCAGACTGGGCTTCCTCTCCTGGAGACAGAGCTGCTGGTCAGAGAGAAGCTCCTCCTCCTTACAGACACGTGACTGTGGGAGCTCTGGAGGGACAAAAGGAATAGAAGACAAACGTTGGAGCGTATAAATACAACGAGTGTTTATAAAACATAAACATTACATTACATGTCATTTAGCAGACGCTTTTATCCAAAGCGACTTACATTACACTTTAAACCCATGGCTTTTTTCACATTTTTGCTCGGGGAGCAATTAGGGGTTAGGTGTCTTGCTCAGGGACACTTCGACATGGAACAAACAAGGGGCAGCCTGGAATCGAACCACCAACCTTGTGCTTCCCAGCACACCTTCTCTAACCCCTGCAACACGACGACATCACGTGTCCTACTGTTCTATTAGTAAGTTAAAGAACACGTTGGTTTGAAAAACCTCGTCTTTATTGCTTTAGACAACAGAGTTTTCTTTAACAAAGTTGTTCTCACCTATCCTGTGTAACCTCACTTCGGGTTTCCAAAAAACATCCAACAGTCTGCGCTGCCGGTCGATCTCTTCCTGGTACTCGACGACGGTTCTTTTAAAAACTCCGAATATTTCTTCAGCAGCAGCAGATAGTCGCTCGTTGACAAACTCTCTCAAATTCTCAACTGAAGCCATTTTTTACCGACTAAATTAATTATCTGCACCGCCACAAGACGAAGCAACGGCTGGGTGTCAAAGTTCCGACTGCAGACCTCAGTCACATTAAGGTTCCGCTTCTTACTATGATCGCCGGCCTTTTTCTTCTTCTTCTATCAATTTATTTGACGGGTCGCAACCAACATGAAATTATGAATACCGCCACCTACTATACAGGAGTGTGCAGTTTCAGGGTAGCTGTTTTGTCACACATAGTGCACTTACCTGACTCATTTTCCCCATTAAATACAGCTTTAAAACACCATCGTTGTATTGTATTACCCTTCAGAGTAAAGATACCGCAGTTTAATGGGAACGTGATAACTCCCTATATCAGGAATCAGGAAACATTTATTGCCAAAAGATGTCAGACATATGTGGCAGTATGCAGTGATTGGTCCTAATAACTTTCAGCTGGGTCTGGATCACAGCCAATCGCTGCATGACAATGCTGTACAAAGGCGGCTTCAGAGCACCTGTCTGCATTTCACTTGCCAGAGGCTGGGGTTACGACACCTGTTGTGAAATATTTCAATAAAAACTTGGTAGAAGAGAATGACTTGTCTGATAAAACAGAGTATTGATGAATGATCAAAGTTGCAAAAAGTCCATTTATTGCTTGCAAGCAGGAGGTCAAATACACAGGCACGTATCATGGTGCTCTTTGGAAATGGCGTCCCCGAGCAGTAAAAACGCTGAGTTTTTATACACATGTGAAGAATGTTCTCCGTGCCAGTTACGAGAAGCTGCAAAGCAGGTTGAGATAAGAACCCAGGTGAAGCTGAGGGTAGCACACACACACACACACACACAAGATCCTCCTCAGCCATGAACAGAAGTCCTTTGTTTTGAAGCTTCTATGAGATCGAGTCGACCGTCCTCCCTTCTCAGGGCACAGCTGCAAACTAACATTTTGTATCATGCTGCTCTTTGCACATCAGGGTCAAATACAGGACACTTGAGACACGGGTTAAGCACAAAACAATGTTAGAATATATTTTTACCATTACACACCTCCTGGCGTCTTTCGCGCTGCTCCGTGTGGTGACAGGTAGGCTGTCGGCAGCAATTGTATTCGCTCCCACGTTGTCCGTCCAGTGCTCATTTAAGGGCCTTTTGTGTCCCAGAAGTTCACTGGTATGGCTGCGTAGTAATCTCCACCTGATGCACTCAATGTCCACGCTGGTAATTCTCGTGGTAGCGTCAATCCCTCCGACCCACGTTGATTGTCTGAAGCGTCCTGACCGGTATGTAGCGCAGTGGCTTTAGCTCCCTCCGCCAGCCATAGTAAGGCTCTAATGTCTGTTTTCCTCTGCAGGGCAAGGATCATTGAGCATCAGCTCTACAACCGCTAACCTGCCAGAGACCACTGCTGCTTTGTCTTTTGGCCACACTGCTTTGCTTTACCTTGGTTAAACTAACCGTGTTTGGGTCTGCCTTGCTTTTAGCTGCATTTACCCGGTTTGGGTTGCTTTGTTTTGGCCTCCTAACTGGATCAAGACACATTTTAAACTGTACGAGAGACAGGCCTTATTTGTTTGGATCCTTTGTTATTTGTTTGTCAATTTGTTATTTTCTTTATTTTGTGATTCGGTTGAGCTTTGGTTAAGCCGTTTGTCGGTGTTTTATTAGTATAGTTTTTGATTAAATGTAATAATTTTCTTTACTTTCTTTCTGTTTTGGTTTAGTTTCTTTTATTTTAAACCTGTTTGTTACGCCCTCCTCTAAAGAGAGGATACCGTAACTCGCCGTCACACGTGAGCTGGCCAAAAGGTGGGTGAGGTGAAACAAATTGCGTGGGCGCACAAGTAGGACCAACAAAACAAAGCACCGTTTAAACAAGGTTTATTTCACCTATAATACGGTAGTGGGGGAAAAGGGGCTGAGCGGAACCAAAGCAAAGAAATTAACCAATGAAAAGGACCCCTAACCTATCTAGTCTAAACACACCCTGCTAAACTCTGATAAATACAGGGGGTGGTCCGCCCAGGTCTTACCTAGTGTATATAGACAGAGGTTTATCTACGGGTAGTATGTAAACCCCAGGGTCTCTTACCTACACACTCCCATTGTGCGGTCCCCTTTTCCCTGGGACAACGGAAGAAGCAAAAAATAAAAAGTACAAACAACGTGATAACCACAGACAGAATAACAACAATAACTTAACCTTCACCAGTTCACATGACCCAAATACATATGTAACCAAAAACACAAGAACTGTCACTTGAACCCAGCTCAAAACGAAAGTTCCTGCCAGAAAGTTATTTTGTTGCAACAGTCCTTCGGCTCTCTCCAACAGCTCTCCTCTTGGTCTCTCCCTCCCGACCTCCTTTTAAGCCACGGCATCCTGCAGTTGATTGGCTGTGGGTGAGGGTGATTAGTGGCTGCAGGTGAGAGCGGGCAGCGGAGATGACTGCATGGTGGGTGTGTCAGAACACCTGTGGGGACACAAGTCAAAACACACACACACCCCCAAGCACGCCGAGGCACGTAACACTGTTGCTCTCGTCTTCCCCCCCCCTTCAGGTGCTGAGTCTGCGGTGGTGCATTGGTGTCCCAGGTGGTGGTGTCCCTCTTATGTTATGTTTTTGCATGTTGTTTGAGTTTGCTTCACTTTTAGTTGTTTCACGTGTGGTGCTCTTTGGGTCCCCTTTTATTTGGACAGTCCATCATCGTAAGTCTCAGCCCTGATTGGTACCCCCCTGGCTTGTCCAAGAGTCCATCACGCCTCGTGTCGCTACACATACAAGGAATTTGACTTGGGTAGGACAGGACAACAGTGCACAAGTAATAAAATGTAATGCTATGGGTTAGTAGTATAAGGCTATAAGTTAGTTTAAAAATAAAGGAATAAAAGTTAAAGTTAAAGCGTTAAATATGTTTAAAAAATAAAAATAAAGTGCACCAGCGAACAGAAAGTGACAAATGAAAGTCACAAGTGTAAGTGACGTGTGCAGTGAGAAAGAAAGTGACTGGTGGAATGTCAGTCAGTCAGTCAGTGGAGGACCGGGATCTGTTAATGAGCGTCATCAAGTGCTTGCTGGTGTAAAACTGACAGAACTTTTCTCACCATTCTAATTAGTCTTTCCCGCACTCCACCATGGTGTGATGCTGCTGGAGGGTTGAAAGACCATTTGACACAGTCTTCCAGCATGAAATTTCGGAGTTTGTCCTGGTTTAGACTCCTGAGGGCTTTCTGAGAGTTCTCTTTCTGCGCCAACCAGATTAGTGCCATTGTCAGAGTGGATATGCGATACTTGACCTCTTCGGCTTATGAACCTCCTAATGGCATGAATGCAAGAGTCTGTATCTAAGGAATATGCCACCTCTAGATGTACTGCTCTGCTGGCCATACAAGTAAAGAATACACCATACCGCTTGACAAGGCTTTTGGCTCTGTTTCGATCGGTCAAAATGAATCTATCAGATTGGGCAAATCTGCCATCTTTTGTACTCTTGTCTTTCCTGCTAAACGTCTGCACACAACACACTTGGTGATCCCCTTTCTTGCTGCTGAGTTTACACTTGATATCCAGTAATTCTTACGAAGCTCAGAGAGAATGTGATTTCTTCCACTGTGGCCTGTGAGCTTGTGTACAGTATATGACGTAGTAGCAGGAGAGTGGGTGACTTGGGATGTTTGACCTGCTCAGGTATGGCTGCATGGTCGAGTCCTCCACCAACTCTTAGTACGCCATCTTCCAACACTGGATCCAACTAGAATATGCAGCTTTTTCTTTGTATACTTCTTCTTGATTCCAATGATGACCTTCTCAGCCTTTTCCATGTCGTCTACAGTGATGTTCTGACCAGTCATTGTGGATTTAAATACTTGCATTTTGCCAGCAACTTTTTTGTTTTGAGAATGTGTGTTCACACCAATTTCATGGAGTTCCATTTCTTTTCTTTTTCTTGCAAGCATCTCCGAACTTCAAGTACCATGCCACTGCCTTCTTGAGTCTCAGCCAGTCTGATAAGTGTGACAGCAGCTGGTCTGTGGGGTTTTGTTTGTCTAGAGCAGCGGTTCCCAAACTCAAGAATGCAGCGGCCCAATTTGAAATCTGAAAATCTTTTGCGGCCCATCCAAACCTTTAATCACAACTCTGATCAAAACATAGGGATGATTAAATGACCATAACAATTTAACCGATTAAAAATGTATTAACTGACAATGTATGTTTTGTATACCATTTTCTCCGGAGCTCATATATATTTACTTTAATACTACAAGAGGCCCCACATTTGACACTTTTTTGTTTAGCGACGCCTTTTGTTGAATAACGACAGGCGGACAAGAGCAGCCGTTTCGAGCGAGAGCCTTATTGTTTTATTAATCTGTTCGTTTAAATTGTTTGTGCTTCATTAATTAATGTTTCACATAACTAATGTGTCGCTCGAATTGTCTTCTGGTCCTAAACTGGTAAATCCCAGTGATAGGTACTCCGTTGAGTACTTTCTACGAACCTTTTTTTTTTAGTTTTCAGGGATTCATTATCTGAGGACTTAATTCATCAGCTTTCCTTGTCCCACCTACTAGTGATGGCAAAGTGAAGATTTCTGAACCAGTGAAGCTTTCCAGCCAATTGTATCGGAAACAGGTTCATTCATTCAATGCATCGCAAACTCTATGATGACCTCTGCTGTTGAAAACCTATAGTGCAAATGTATCGAATAGCCTACCAGTATATTTTGGCCCAGTCGCTGTGGGTTGAACATGATTATGAAAAGTTGAACCAATAAATCATCTAATAAATACATGGATTCCTATATGAATAAAACTATTGTTTTTCAGGTTTGAATTGTGTCCTTGTTTGTGTATTTCAATTCTCTGTACATTGGCAAGAAGTGGAACAAACACTTATCTATGTCTTTCTGCACCTTTGTGCATGTTATGTTTGTGATCATAATAGCAGAAGAATTAATAGAAGATATATATGAGTTATATTTAAGCAATATAATTTTTATTGAGAGACACAATTTTCTTTTTGTAGATACTATTTCCCCTGCCTTAGAAAAAACATGCTCACGCGGCACGATGAGGCAGTAATGGTCAAAATATTACGTGCTAATACAAATAGATGTGGGTACACATGTTTGTGTTTGACCCAATATTTTAGCGGGTCTTTACTCCGTGGAATGTTTGGCTCAGCCAAATATCGGGTGGTCTCCACAATAAAAATAAACATCCACAATTACACAGTATAAATGACAGACTTTGCCTGCCTATTGCTAACCGTGTCAGAGGAAATCAAATTGAAGTGCTCCCACATCTCGGAGCGACCTCTCTTTGCCACAGGTTCCATTGTAAATTTGCTCTTTGCTACGACTACTACAACAACACTGACTGTATCAAACCGACAAGCCCGAACCCTGTTTCCAGCCCATTGAATCAAATCGAAGCGGTCACGTGACTGTGCGCCGGACCGAAGCTTCGGACGTCACTGATCACGTGATCAGAAGCGAACGAACCGAGCACCGATACGTTCGCCTTGCACTGGTTCATATTTCGACACAAGCGTCGAAGCAGGAGGGTCGGAGGTAACAACACTACCACCTACTAGCCACCGCTCCATTGTACAATTTTCCCCACCAATATTTTAGGTAGCTTATTGTGTCAACTAAGATTTCCCGCCATTGACGAGATACAGGACACGTCACGGATCAAAAATAGGTCAGATAAAAGAATAACACGTAATTTAAATCATAAATATTTTTATATCAATTTCAAACTTTTCATAATTGTAAATTAAAACCATTTTATTTAATTTATTGTAAATGACCTCTCGCGGCCCACCTGCAGTACCTTCGCGGCCCACACTTTGGGAATCGCTGGTCTAGGACATTCCCCGAGGCACAGGCCGAGGGGGGGGAGTGGCAGCTATTTATGACTCCTGCCTTTTAATAAACCTTAAACCTAAGGTATCTTGTATCGGTCGATCAAGCCAGAAGAGACGGACCAGCTAGTTAGACTTCAAGAATGTCTTGGAGACATCAAAACTTGGATGACCGGCAACTTCCTGATGCTAAACTCAGAAAAGACAGAAGTTATCTCGATAGGCCCAAAGCGCCTTTGAAGCCAGCGGTCTCGTGATACAGTTTTTATGGATGGAATTGCTCTGGTACCCAGCAGCACCGTTAGGAATCTGGGAGTTCTCTTCGACCGGGATATGACCTTCAACTCATATATAAAGAAGACTTCAAGGACTGCCTATTTTCATCTACGTAACATATCAAAAATCAGGAACTTCCTGTCTCAAAGTGATGCAGAAAAATTAGTTCATGCGTTTGTCACTTCCAGACTCGACTACTGTAATTCTTTGTTATCAGGCTGCTCTTGTAAATCTCTTAAGCCTCTCCAGTTGATTCAGAAGGCTGCAGCACGTGTATTAACAAGAACTAAAAAAAGGGATCATATCACTCCTGTATTAACTTCTCTGCACTGGCTCCGTTAAATCAATAATAGATTTTAAGGTACTTTGCCTCTCCTACAAGGCACTTGCTGGTGAGGCACCGTCGTATCTTAAAGAGCTTGTAACACTTTATTGCCCTACAAGGCAGCTGCGCTCCATAGATGCTGGGTTACTTGTTGTTCCTAGGGTTTTAAAAAGTAGGCTGGGGGCCAGAGCCTTCAGTTATCAAGCTCCTCTTTTGTGGAACCAGGTTCCACTTTCAGTCAAGGGGGCAGATTCGGTCAGCTCTTTTAAAGTAAAACTTAAAACTTTCCTCTTTGATTCTGCCTATAGTTAGGGCTGTCTCAGGTTAGCCCGGACCAGCCCTTAGTTAAGCTGCTACAGGCTTAGACTGCCGGGGGACTTCTTAGGACACACCGAGCTCCTCTCTCACGCTGTCGTTCTACAATAATTATACTATAATAATTCACGTTTTATTAATGCACATGACTAATTCAGCTTCTTTCCGGGAGTTTTTTGTGCTTTCTCCCCTAGCAGGTCTCCGTAGATCGTAGTTCCTTCTGGACCCTGGTCCTGACACCTGCCGTGGCCCTGCTGACGCCTGCTGCTGCCATCATCATCATTATTATTTTAGATATTAATCATATTACTGTACTCATAAACCAACATTACCCTCTCCTAAAGTCTCTGTGCTCTCCCTCCCCACGGGCTTCTGTAGATGGTGGTTCTATCTGATGGTGGTTCGATCTGATGGTGGTTGCCCCTGCAGTGGTCCTGCTGTGCGCCTGGTTTGCTACTCACAATTACTTGAATCATTTCTGTCATAGGAATTGCATGTATTATACATTGTTAATTCTGTACACATGGCATCCATCGTAGTCTGTCCATCCCGGGAGTGGGATCCCTCCTCTGACGTTCTCCCTAAGGTTTCTTCCCTTTTTTCCCTCTTGGAAGGGTTTTTTCATTTTATGGGGAGTTTTTCCTGTGCCGATGGTGGGTTTCGGGACAGAGGAGGTCGCATGTGTACAGACTGTAAAGCCCTCTGAGGCAAATTTGTAATTTGCAAATTTGGGCTAAACAAAATAAAATGAATTGAATTGACATTGGTTCCATATGTGACTACTTTTCCTTTGACCTCTTGGTCATCCACCGGATTCTGCTGGAAATCAATCCGAGCCGAAGGGGGCCCCGAGCTGACGTCAATAACAAAATGATTGAACTGCTTTAGACGCTAACGATAACGCATCGGAAATGCCCCGCGCAGGGCCCTTTTTGTCACTGGCTAGTTGCTAGTATGGGCCCCCGACAGACTGCTTATATCGCTCCATATCAGCGACACAACTTGAAACCCCCGTAGACACTGCAATGACACGTCGTAAATCTCCCTAATGGGGCCCCTTACTAGCCGGCAGAAACACAGTCCAGGAGAGTCCTTCAAAACAGAGTTATTTTCCCTTTAGTAGACACAGCCCTTAGAAGCCTGAATGACAGATTCTCAAAACTGGAAGATGTCTATGTTCTCTACAGTTTCCTGTTTTCAAAGAAAATCATGCAACAGGTGCTAAAGAGTGGCAAGCTTCGTGCAAGAACTTGGAGCAAACAATGAATGACATTGAGGCAGATGATTTAGAATTGGAGATCAATTCTGCTGTCTACACTTTCCACACCACGCCTCCACCTGCCCAAATGACATGTAAAATTACATTTACAGTGAAAACCTGGATCTGTACAGTAGTCTAAGCATTGCATTGCGTCTCCTCTTGACTCTTCTTGTCTCTGTTGCCTCTGGTGAGAGGAGCTTTTCTGCTTTGATAAAAACCTATTTGAGGTCAACCGTGTGCCAGGAGAGGCTCACAGGAGCTGCACTGATTTCAACAGAAAGGGCTGTTCAGAGGTCCTTAGATATGGAACACACAGTGGTTGCATTTTCAGAAGCCAAGGCCCGCGAGCAGCAGTTTAAAGTAAAAAAAAAGGCACTTCTATAGTACTGTGGATATAGGACCAAGGTGTCTCAGCAAGTCTTAAGTTCTTCCTTTCCACTTTTTTCATTCTGAAAATTGTGCACATTTCAGTTATCTTGTTTTTCTGTTATTTAAATGTTGGGGGGTAGGCCTAATACATCTGTATTGTTGTGGATTCATTATTCAGAGTTTTAACTATTTTGCATTCATGCACTTTTATGTCTGAATGTAATTCCGTTTGCCTCAGATTTACCAGAGGGGGAAGGTCCACAGGTGGTTGTCTAATTCCAGATTTACTTCTATCCTTTCTGTGGATTTCCCTGGACGTGACTTCATCATTTTCCTTCCACTTACATTGTCCTGCAGTGAGTTCCGTTCTTTGACACCTGAAGCTCTTTAAATTGAGCTAAAATCAACTATTTTTTTCAACATAACTTTTATATCACATTCTTATTTTATTTGACAAGATATTTTCAAATGGAGCAGCACTGATGGTACTGCATTGTAAATGACTTGCACCTGGATTGGACTGGAGGCCCTTAAAGCTCCTTCAGCAGTCGAAGAAAGAGGTTGATATGATTTAGTGATGGATTGTTGTTTGACCAAATGTTGTATAAATAGAGGATATCAGTATTTTATATAATACATTTTACACATGTATCTTGTTTAACTGCAAGTGGGGTTTCCAAATATTATCCCACAATCAACAAGTGTTTGGTTGATGTCTTCCACTTACTACACAATAGTTTTATTTTAGTCCAAATAGTTTTACTCTGTATATGAATATACCTCTGAACTTTTACATAAGTGGAAAATGTTTGATTGGGAGGTTGATCTTTTTCTTTTGAGTTTTATCTAAAACTGCTTTATACAAAAAAACTCAAGCAGGATGAAATCATGAGCGAACATCATTTGAGGAAGAGATCCATCATTTTTATTGCAGGACTTTTCGGAGATTGAGATATATATATATATATATATATTTGTCTATCTGACAAATTAATTGTTAAACAGGTTAAACATTTGCAAGATATGATCCCTTAATCTGCATAAAAGATTTGGGGGATGACAGTAAAATATATACATTTAATGACTGGTTATTACATTACATATCATTTAGCTGAAACTTTTATCCAAAGCAACCTGCAGTGCATATTTAACCCACGGTTTACATTTTTAACCCATCCCACACAGTGGGAGTGGTGTGCTGCCGTAAAGGCGCCCGGGGAGCAGTTAGAGGTTGGGTGTCTTGCTCAAGGACACTTCGACATGGAGCAGCCAGGATTTAAACGGACAACCCTGCGGTTCCCGGCGCACCCTCTCTACTCCACACGCCGAGGTCACCGCGGTCTGTCTGTCTGTCAGAAACTTACTGAAAAGACTTTTCTCTTAAATGAAGCATTTGTGTTCTGTTCTTATAGAAAGCTTCAACGCCTTTTCAATCTTAAAAATTGCTCCAAATATTTACTCTATGACGTCTCACCCTCGTGGGTTCTTCTCATGTGGACAATTAGGTTACTAGAACTCCTGAAACCACTTTTACATATTTTACAGGAATATGGCTTCTCCCCAGTATGAATTATTATATGACGCTTCAATACTGATGCCTGAGTGAATGCTTTCCCGCAGGTGATGCAGGAATATGGCTTCTCCCCACTATGAGTTCTTTTATGACGCTTCAATACTGATGCCTGAATGAATGCTTTCCCGCAGGTGATGCAGGAATATGGCCTTTCCCCATTGTGGCTTCTTATATGAGACGTCAAATTTGATGGCTGAGCAAATTTTTTCCCGCAGGTGACGCAGGAATATGGCTTCTCCCCACTATGAATTAATATATGAGACTTCAAATGTGATTTCCGTGTAAATGTTTTCCCACAGGTGCTACAAAGATGTGGCCTTTCCCCTGTGTGTACTTTCATGTGGAACTTTAGGTCACTACTACATTTGAAATATTTTCCACATGTTTTGCAAGAAAATGGTTTCTCTTCACTATGGACTGTTTTATGAGTCTCAAATGTTGATTTATAAATGAATCTTTTCCCACATGTGTTGCATACAAATGGTTCATCAACTCTGTGGGTTCTTCTCACGTGGCCCAACAAGCTATTTTTAAGTTGAAAGTATTTCCCACAATCTCTGCACAAAATTGGCTTCTCACCCGGAGGAACTGGTTCCTTGTTTGATGTTAAACTAAGTTTTACTCCTTTCTGATCTCGGCCATCAGATTCATGAGGATTGTGAGAGAGAAGCTGGTGGTCATTGTTTAGTTCAACTACAGCGGTGCTTTCAACTGAAATGTATTCTAGAGATGTTTCCTGTACCACACTCTCAGCTTCATCAGTACACGAGTCCAGAAGTTGATCTTCACCGTGGCCTCTTTCCTCACAAGTAGGAGTCAACGTAAAGGCCTCCTGCTTCGGTTCAAGCTGCTCTCCCTCTGGACTGGTGCAGAGTTCCTCCTGTTCCTCTTTAATCTCTGGAGGATCTGGGTCCTCTTGGTCCAGACTGGGCTTCCTCTCCTGGAGACAGAGCTGCTGCTCAGAGAGAAGCTCCTCCTCCTTACAGACACGTGACTGTGGGAGCTCTGGAGGGACAAAAGGAATAGAAGACAAACGTTTGAGCGTATAAATACAACGAGGGTTTATAATACATAAACATTACATTACATGTCATTTAGCAGACGCTTTTATCCAAAGCGACTTACATTACACTTTAAACCCATGGCTTTTTTCACATTTTTGCTCGGGGAGCAATTAGGGGTTAGGTGTCTTGCTCAGGGACACTTCGACATGGAACAAACAAGGGGCAGCCTGGAATCGAACCACCAACCATGTGCTTCCCAGCACACCTTCTCTAACCCCTGCAACACGACGACATCACGTGTCCTACTGTTCTATTAGTAAGTTAAAGAACACGTTGGGTTGAAAAACCTGGTCTTTATTGCTTTAGACAACAGAGTTTTCTTTAACAAAGTTGTTCTCACCTATCCTGTGTAACCTCACTTCGGGTTTCCAAAAAACATCCAACAGTCTGCGCTGTCGGTCGATCTCTTCCTGGTACTCGACGACGGTTTTTTTAAAAACTCCGAATATTTCTTCAGCAACAGCAGATAGTCGCTCGTTGACAAACTCTCTCAAATTCTCAACTGAAGACATCGTTGCTTAATTACCGATGAAATGAATTACCTGCACTGCCACTAGAAGAAGCAACGGCTGGGTGTCACACTTTAATGTTCCGACTGCAGACCTCAGTCACATTAAGGTTCCGCTCCTTATTATCGTTGCAGGTCAGCCGCCTTCTTCTTCCTCTATCAATTTTATTAGCGGGTCGCAACTAACATGAAATCATGCATACCGCCACCTACTGGACAGGAGTGTGCAGTTTTGAAGTGGCCGTTTCATTACACATAATGCACTTAGCTGAGTTTTTGCCATTAAATACAGCTTTAGGACACCATCTTTCTATTGTATTACCCTTCTGAGTAGAGATACTACAATTTAATGGAAAAGTAATCACTCCCTATTTTAGATTTGTTCATTCTATTTCATTCACGCAAACTACTCATATTTCCTGAGACTACGGTAAGATTGCAGCAGGATGCTGAATTTCGAGCAGCATCAACCCTGCTACGTCTTCTACCATTAAGACAAATTAATGAGAGCCCACAACATCATCAAGGGCAGAACACTCCCCCAGCACACTCTTCTTGCTGCTGCTATTAGGCAGACGCTGCAGGAGTCTGAAATCAAGGACAAAAAGACTAGCAAGCAGTTTCTATCTGCTGGTGAACAGCTCCCTCACAAGACACCCTCCTCCTACACACACCACTGATAACACTAATATGCACTTTTATGCATGAATGTTATTCTGTTTGCCTCAGATTTACCAGAGGGGGAAGGTCCACAGGTGGTTGTCTAATCCCAGATTAATTTATATCCTTTCTGTGGGTTTCCCTGGACGTGACTTCACCATTTTCCTTCACTTTTTTAGCTGCTTCTGCATAAGACACTTGGTTAGATATTTTGTATTTCTGCCCTTCCTATGCTTGCATTTGAACCGGACATCCTCCAAAAGCAGCACTGTGTTCACTGCCGTAGTTACAACATTTAGTTATTTTCTTGATGTTTTACGTTTTACACAAGTATCTTGTTTAACTGCAAGTGAGGTTTCCAAATATTATACCACAATCAACCAAGTGTTTGGTTGATGTCTTCCACGTACTACACAAGTTTTATTTTAGTCCAAATAGTTTTACTCTGTATGTGAATATACCTCTGAATTTTTTCATAAGTGCAAAATGTTTGATTGGGCGGTCAATCTTTTTTTTTTACTTTTTTCTAAAACTGTTTTATACAAAAAAACTCAGGCAGGATGAAATCATGAGTGAACATCATTTGAGGGTTTAGCAATTTAAGAGATCCATCATTTTTATTGCAGGACTTTTCGTAGATTATATATATTTGTCTATCTGACAAACTATTTATCAAACAGGTTAAACATTTGCAAGATATGATCCCTTAATCTGTAACAAAGATTTGGGGGATGACAGTAAACTATATACATTTAATGACTGGTTATTACATTACATATCATTTAGCTGAAACTTTTATCCAAAGCAACCTGCAGTGCATATTTAACCCACGGTTTACATTTTTAACCCATCCCACACAGTGGGAGTGGTGTGCTGCCGTAAAGGCGCCCGGGGAGCAGTTAGAGGTTGGGTGTCTTGCTCAACGACACTTCGACATGGAGCAGCCAGGATTTAAACGGACAACCCTGCGGTTCCCGGCGCACCCTCTCTACTCCACACGCCGAGGTCACCGCGGTCTGTCTGTCTGTCAGAAACTTACTGAAGAGACTTTTCTCTCAAATGAAGCATTTGTGTTCTGTTCTTATAGAAAGCTTCAACGCCTGTTCAATCTTAAAAATTGCTCCAAATATTTACTCTATGACGTCTCACCCTTGTGGGTTCTTCTCATGTGGACAACTAGGTTACTAGAACTCCTGAAACCACTTTTACATATTTTACAGGAATATGGCTTCTCCCCAGTATGAATTCTTTTATGAGACGTCAAAGATGAAGGCCGAGAGAATGTTTTTCCACATGTGATGCAGGAATATGGCTTCTCCCCAGTATGAATTCTTTTATGAGACGTCAAAGATGAAGGCCGAGAGAATGTTTTTCCACATGTGATGCAGGAATATGGCTTCTCCCCACTATGAGTTCTTTTATGACGCTTTAATACTGATAGCCAAGAGAATGTTTTTCCACATGCACTGCAGGAATATGGCTTCTCCCCACTATGAGTTATTTTATGAGACGTCAAAGATGATAGCCGACAGAATGTTTTCCCGCAAATTATGCAGGAATATGGCTTCTCCCCAGTATGAATTCTTATATGACTCTTCACTGCTGATAGTTTAGTGAATCTTTTTCCACAGGTGTTGCATAAATATGGTTGATAAACTCTATGGGTTATTCTCATGTGTGCAAACAAGCGATTTCTATTTTGAAAGTATTTCCCACAATCTCTGCACAAAAACGGCTTCTCACCCAAAGGACCTGGTTCCTTGTTTAATGTTAAACTAAGTTTTACTCCTTTCTGATCTCGGCCATCAGATTCATGAGGATTGTGAGAGAGAAGCTGGTGGTCATTGTTTAGTTCAACTACAGCGGTGCTTTCAACTGAAATGTATTCTAGAGATGTTTCCTGTACCACACTCTCAGCTTCATCAGTACACGAGTCCAGAAGTTGATCTTCACCGTGGCCTCTTTCCTCACAAGTAGGAGTCAACGTAAAGGCCTCCTGCTTCGGTTCAAGCTGCTCTCCCTCTGGACTGGTGCAGAGTTCCTCCTGTTCCTCTTTAATCTCTGGAGGATCTGGGTCCTCTTGGTCCAGACTTGGCTTCCTCTCCTGGAGACAGAGCTGCTGGTCAGAGAGAAGCTCCTCCTCCTTACAGACACGTGACTGTGGGAGCTCTGGAGGGACAAAAGGAATAGAAGACAAACGTTTGAGCGTATAAATACAACGAGTGTTTATAAACCATAAACATCACGTGTCCTACTGTTCTATTAGTAAGTTAAAGAACACGTATGTTCGAAAAAAATTAAATAATGTATCGTCTTTATTGCTTTAGACAAGAGAGTTTTCTTTAACAAAGTTGTTCTCACCTATCCTGTGTAACCTCACTTCGGGTTTCCATAAAACATCCAACAGTCTGCGCTGCCGGTCGATCTCTTCCTGGTACTCGACGACGATTCTTTTAAAAACTCCGAATATTTCTTCAGCAGCAGCAGATAGTCGCTCGTTGACAAACTCTCTCAAATTCTCAACTGAAGACATTTTTGCTTAATTACCGGTCAAATTAATTATCTGCACTGCCACAAGACGAAGCAACGGCTGGGTGTCACAACTTTAAAGTTCCGACTGCAGACCTCAGCCACATTAAGGTTCCGCTCTTTATTATGGTTACAGGTTATCGGCCTTCTTCTTCCTCTATCAATTTTATTGGGGGGTCGCAACCAACATGAAATAATGCATACCGCCACCTACTGGACAGGAGTATGCTGTTTTGAAGTGGCCGTTTTATTACACATAGTGCACTTACCTAGTTTTTTGCCGTTAAATACAGTGTACATGACCACTAGCAGTCTTTTTTATTTTGATGATCCTGTTTCCTACTTGATTTTATGTGACTTCTATTTTGACATCATACTATCTGCACACGTGATTAACAGTGTTGGGCAAGTTACTGAAAATCGAGTATTTAGTTGCAGTTATTAGTTACTTCTTTCTAAGGTAATTGAATTACTTACCAGTTACTGTGTATCAAAATTAATTAGTTACTCTGAAAAGTAACTTTTAAGTAACTTTTATGTCTGCTTTTTAAATGTATTAAATATAAATAGTACTGAATAGTCAAACACAATAAACATATTTTTTAGACCTATTCATGGTAATCAACAGGGCAACAGCCCTTCAAATCAAGCAATAGTACAAAAGTCCTTTTTAATACTTAACTTAATACAAAATAAGTTTCAGGCATTTGCCTGAAGGCAACTGACTCGACAGTTGACAGGATGCATCTCATCTTCAACATAGCGAGCAATCAATCTATTCAGCTCTGGCCGGTTTATCGGCTGCACTGCAGTCCGTGTAAAGTGGAGCCTTGGTTGTTTGCGTGGAGCGGCGCCTGCAGCATTCGCGGGGCTGCGCTCTTTCGTCATGAGCAACGCGATGCTGTTTACATGCACGTACGGCGACTATTCTGTGACACACAACGTTTGGTGGCCACAACTATTTTGTGCTGACAGGCAGCTACTTACTATTTGCCGGCCCTCCGCTTCGCGTCATAAAAGAGAGTAACGCAAGTAACAAACTCATTTCAGTAATTGTAACTGCGTTGATCTATTTAAAAAAATACTTCGTTACATGCTCGTTAAAGCTAAAAGTAGTGGAATTACACACATGTGAAGGACATTCTCTGTGCCGGGTACGAGAAGCTGAAAATCAGGTTGATATAAGAACCCGGGTGAAGCTGAGGGTAGCACACACACACAGCAAGATCCTCCTCAGTGGCCGGTGCAAATCATAATTACTTGACATGAAGTAAAGACGTGGATCTGGAACTTTCGTACCTAATAAGATATGAGCCAAGGCCATGAACAGCAGTCCTTTGTTTTGCAGCATCTATGAGATCGAGTTGACCGCCCTCCCTTCTCTGGGCACAGCTGCAAACTATCATTTTGTATCATGTTGCTCCTTGCATGTCAGGGTCAAATACAGGACACTTGAGACACGGCTTTAGCACAAAACAATGTTATAATTTATTTTACCATTACATGCATCTCACAGCAGATAAAGACAAGTATGTGTCACAAGACCACGTTCGCTTCATTCAGCTCCTGAGTGACAACATAACTCAAAGGAAAGATGGACACTATGAAATGCCCCTTCCTTTCAAGAGCACAGAGCCACCTCTGCTACCAGACAACAAGAAGCTTCCAACCGTTCAACTGCAGCACCTAAAGAAAAGATTGAAAAATAACGAGCGGTATAAAGAACAGTACAAAGCCTTCATGAAGGATATAATAAAGAAAGGCGACGCAGAGCCAGCCTTTCCTGCGACAGAACAGAAGACTCGTGGTACATACCACACCATGGGGTGTTCCACCCCAAGAAGCCAGAGAAGCTAAGGGTCGTCTTTGACTGTTCAGCGAAGTTCTGTGGTGTCTCACTAAATGATACATTGCTAACAGGTCCTGACCTGATCAACTCTCTCCTTGTAGTGCTCTGTCGTTTCAGGAAAGAGGCTGTAGCCATCATATGCGACATCGAGAAAATGTTCCATCAGTTTTACGTTTCTCCTGAATTACGGAACTACTTACGGTTTCTCTGGTGGGAGGATGGAGACCTCGAAGCAGAGCCTCAAGAGTATCAAATGGCTGTCCACCTATTCGGTGCCGCTTCGTCACCCGGATGTGCCTACTTTGGCCTGAAGTACTTGGGACATCAACACAAGGAAGAGTATCCATCGGGATCAGCCTTTGTTGAAAAGAACTTCTACGTCGATGATGGGCTTATCAGCGTCTCCTCCGTAGAAGAAGCAAAGGAGTTAATTGCTGAAGTTGTGCAAGAGCGGAGGTTTGCATCTACACAAGTTCAACTCAAACAAAAGATCAGTTCTGGACTCCATGGACCCAACTGAGAGGGCAGTCACATCCAAACCCCTTAAATCTGGACCTAAATGCAGCTCCAGCAGAACGTGCTCTTAGTTTCCAGTGGTCCCTTGAACACGACACCTTCAGCTTTAATGTAAACCCACAACCCAGGCCATCCACACGTCGCAGAATCCTATCCGTCATTGCTTCTTTGTACGATCCAGTCGGATTCATGGCTCCGTTTATCTTAACTGGATAGTGCATCCTCCAGGAGCTGTGTCGTCGAGGCATTAACTGGGATGACTCACTTCCCGAAGACTTAAGTCCACGGTCTGAGAGATGAAAGAGCGACCTACAAAAGGCTGAAGGAAGTCTCAATACCGAGATGCTACCAACCACAAGGCTTCTGCAAAACTGTCACAAGGGAACTAGACCACTTCTCCGATGCCAGCAATATAGGATATGGCTCGTGTTCCTATCTGAGAAGCAAAAATGAAGATGGTGAAGTTCACTGCAGCCTTGTGAGGGCAAAGGCTAGAGTTGCGCCTACAAAACTCACAAGCATTCCAAGATTGGAACTTTCAGCAGCAGTGGTCGCTGCAAGATCAAGTGTCATGCTGAGAAACAAGCTTGAAATGCCGATCCATGCAGAATTTTTCTGGACTGACTCCCAAGTTGTCCTGGCTTATATCAGTAATGAAGCAAAAAGGTTCCACGTCTTCGTTGCCAATCGTGTGCAAATGATCAGAGAGCACACCAGCCCCAGCCAATGGCACTACATAGACACAACAGAAAACCCTGCTGACCATGTGTCGAGAGGTCTAAACGCAGTGGACATCTCAACAAACTGGCTATCAGGACCCAAGTTCCTGTGGGAACAAGAAATATATCCAGAGTCTCGCCTCAGTCCTGAGTTGCTTGTCAGTGATCCTGAGGTCAGATCAATGCAGGCGTTCACAACTAAGGTTGAACCTTCCAAGTCAGACTTTCCCACCCATCTAAATCGATTCTCCTCCTGGTCAAAACTCCTGAAAGTCATTGAAAGAATCAAGAGGCTGAACTCAAAGCAAAATCATCCCGGCAAACATGTGAGTGTAGAAGAACGCGAGAGAGCTGCCAAATCAGTAGTAAAGCTTGTACAAGAAGAAGCATTCTCCCAAGAGATGGAGATACAAAAGGGAAAAAGTCTTGAAAACTCCAGCCCTGTTTCGCTTGAATCCCATCTTAGAAGGAGGAGCACTTTGTGTTGGTGGAAGACTGGATCAGTCTTCCTTAAGCCTAGAAGTCAAACACCCTTTGATTCTACCCAAAGGAGGACATATTACCAAGTTGATTTTGACCCACTGCCACGAGAGGATCTGTCACCAAGGATGTAATCAAACTAGTAAGTAATTCAGTTGCTAAGCTGATACACAGATGTGTGAAGTGCAGAAGACTCAGACTCGGAGGGCCAGATTCGGACTGTCCGTAATGTCTTAAATGCCACACTCTGTCAATACTTAGGCAGACTCGACGACTCTTCCCTTCAAACTCTGTTCTATGAGGCGATGGCCATTGTGAACAGCCGCCCGTTAACTGTAAACGGAGTAAATGATCCTACCTCACTCGAACCATTAACTCCAAACCATCTCATACTGATGAAGTCCAAGATTGCACTGCCACCGCCTGGCAAATTTGAGAAGGAGGATGTCTATGCAACTAAAAGGTGGCGAAGAGTCCAGTGCCTCGTTGAACAGTTCTGGAGCCGGTGGAAGAGAGAATATGTCATGAACATCTCCACACGCCAAAAGTGGCATACGACTTGACGCAGCCTTAAGGTAGATGACTTAGTCATTATAAGGGAAGACACCCCTAGAAATCAGTGGCACCTGGGACGAGTGATTGAAACCACAAAGGGGAGCGATGGTCTAGTGCGTCGCGTCAAGGTGTTAGTAGGAGAAAGAACATCAGCAAAACAAGATCGCCCTACCAAACCTTTGATCATGGAAAGGCCCATCCAGAAACTAGTTCTCCTCCTCGAGAGTGAGTAATCAGTCTAATTGTCTACACCTTTATTCCCTTATGACATAGTCTATTCTCTCTTAGATATTAAGTAGTACTCACTTGCACACATCTAGACACACTGATACAGACAGGACTCAAGTATGATCCATTCAGGCAGGTTGACTCTTGTCTTCACTCTTCATAACATGAGTGGTGGGAGTGTAAATGACCACTAGCAGTGTTTTATTTTGATGATCCTGTTTCCTACTTTGATTTTATGTGACTTTTATTTTGACATCATACTATCTGCACACGTGATTAATCGCTTGCGCTCATGCTTAAGCTCACATTTGTTCAATAGAAGACACGTTACAAGACAATGCAGGTTTAGAGCCAGAGATTTAAAAATATCACTGTAACCTTAACTAAAGTGTTCTTTGAAGTGTTATATCATTCAGTTTTTGATTAGCTTTGGCAGTAAACGTTTGAGAAAGACTTATTAATTGCTAGCTAGCTCTCTAACGTCTAAATTAAGCCAATGGCAGCGGACTTCCCTGGATTACCACTTTATAGCACCCTTTGATATGCACCTCTATGACGTCTCACCCTTGTGGGTTCTTCTCATGTGGACAATTAGGTTACTAGAACTCCTGAAACCTCTTTTACATATTTTACAGGAATATGGCTTCTCCCCAGTATGAATTCTTCTATGAGACGTCAAAGATGAAGGCCGAGAGAATGTTTTTCCACATGTGATGCAGGAATGTGGCTTCTCCCCGGTATGAATTCTTTTATGAGACGTCAAAGATGAAGGCCGAGAGAATGTTTTTCCACATGTGATGCAGGAATATGGCCTCTCCCCAGTGTGGATTATTATATGACGCTTCAAACGTGATGACTGAGTGAATGTTTTCCCGCAGGTGATGCAGGAATATGGCCTCTCCCCACTATGAATTAATAAATGAGACTTCAAATGTGAGGTCTTAGTGAATGTTTTCCCACAGGTGCTACAAGAATGTGGCCTTTTCCCTGTGTGTACTTGTGTCATGTGGAACTTTAAGTAACTACTACATTTAAAATGTTTTCCACATGTTTTGCAAGAAAATGGTTTCTCTTCACTGTGGACTGTTTTATGAGTCTCAAATGTTGATTTATAAATGAATCTTTTCCCACAGGTGTTGCATACATATGGTTCATCAACTCTGTGGGTTCTTCTCACGTGGCCCAACAAGCTATTTTTAAGTTGAAAGTATTTCCCACAATCTCGCAAAAACGGCTTCTCATCCAAAGGAGCTGGTTCCTTGTTTGATGTTAAACTAAGTTTTACTCCTTTCTGATCTTGGCCATCAGATTCATGAGGATTGTGAGAGAGAAGCTGGTGGTCATTGTTTAGTTCAACTACAGCGGTGCTTTCAACTGAAATGTATTCTAGAGATGTTTCCTGTACCACACTCTCAGTTTCATCAGTACACGAGTCCAGAAGTTGATCTTCACCGTGGCCTCTTTCCTCACAAGTAGGAGTCAACGTAAAGGCCTCCTGCTTCGGTTCAAGCTGCTCTCCCTCTGGACTGGTGCAGAGTTCCTCCTGTTCCTCTTTAATCTCTGGAGGATCTGGGTCCTCTTGGTCCAGACTGGGCTTCCTCTCCTGGAGACAGAGCTGCTGGTCAGAGAGAAGCTCCTCCTCCTTACAGACACGTGACTGTGGGAGCTCTGGAGGGACAAAAGGAATAGAAGACAAACGTTTGAGCGTATAAATACAACGAGTGTTTATAAACCATAAACATCACGTGTCCTACTGTTCTATTAGTAAGTTAAAGAACACGTTGGTTTGAAAAACCTCGTCTTTATTGCTTTAGACAACAGAGTTTTCTTTAACAAAGTTGTTCTCACCTATCCTGTGTAACCTCACTTCGGGTTTCCAAAAAACATCCAACAGTCTGCGCTGCCGGTCGATCTCTTCCTGGTACTCGACGACGGTTCTTTTAAAAACTCCGAATATTTCTTCAGCAGCAGCAGATAGTCGCTCGTTGACAAACTCTCTCAAATTCTCAACTGAAGACATTTTTGCTTAATTACCGATGAAATGAATTACCTGCACTGCCACTAGACGAAGCAACGGCTGGGTGTCACACTTTAATGTTCCGACTGCAGACCTCAGTCACATTAAGGTTCCGCTCCTTATTATCGTTGCAGGTCAGCCGCCTTCTTCTTCCTCTATCAATTTTATTAGCGGGTCGCAACTAACATGAAATGATGCATACCGCCACCTACTGGACAGGAGTGTGCAGTTTTGAAGTGGCCGTTTTATTACACATAATGCACTTAGCTGAGTTTTTGCCATTAAATACAGCTTTAGGACACCATCTTTCTATTGTATTACCCTTCTGAGTAGAGATACTACAATTTAATGGAAAAGTAATCACTCCCTATTTTAGATTTGTTCATTCTATTTCATTCACGCAAACTACTCATATTTCCTGAGACTACGGTAAGATTGCAGCAGGATGCTGAATTTCGAGCAGCATCAACCCTGCTACGTCTTCTACCATTAAGACAAATTAATGAGAGCCCACAACATCATCAAGGGCAGAACACTCCCCCAGCACACTCTTCTCGCTGCTGCCATTAGGCACACGCTGCAGGAGTCTGAAATCAAGGACAAAAAGACTAGCAAGCAGTTTCTATCTGCTGGTGAACAGCTCCCTCACAAGACACCCTCCTCCTACACACACCACTGATAACACTAATATGCACTTTTATGCATGAATGTAATTCTGTTTGCCTCAGATTTACCAGAGGGGGAAGGTCCACAGGTGGTTGTCTAATCCCAGATTAATTTATATCCTTTCTGTGGGTTTCCCTGGACGTGACTTCACCATTTTCCTTCACTTTTTTAGCTGCTTCTGCATAAGACACTTGGTTAGATATTTTGTATTTCTGCCCTTCCTATGCTTGCATTTGAACCGGACATCCTCCAAAAGCAGCGCTGTGTTCACTGCCGTAGTTACAACATTTAGTTATTTTCTTGATGTTTTACGTTTTACACAAGTATCTTGTTTAACTGCAAGTGAGGTTTCCAAATATTATACCACAATCAACCAAGTGTTTGGTTGATGTCTTCCACGTACTACACAAGTTTTATTTTAGTCCAAATAGTTTTACTCTGTATGTGAATAAACCTCTGAATTTTTTCATAAGTGCAAAATGTTTGATTGGGCGGTCGATCGTTTTCTTTTGACTTTCTTCTAAAACTGCTTTATACAAAAAAACTCAGGCAGGATGAAATCATGAGCGAACATCATTTGAGGAAGAGATCCATCATTTTTATTGCAGGACTTTTCGTAGATTATATATATTTGTCTATCTGACAAACTATTTATCAAACAGGTTAAACATTTGCAAGATATGATCCCTTAATCTGTAACAAAGATTTGGGGGATGAAAGTAAACTATATACATTTAATGACTGGTTATTACATTACATATCATTTAGCTGAAACTTTTATCCAAAGCAACCTGCAGTGCATATTTAACCCACGGTTTACATTTTTAACCCATCCCACACAGTGGGAGTGGTGTGCTGCCGTAAAGGCGCCCGGGGAGCAGTTAGAGGTTGGGTGTCTTGCTCAAGGACACTCCGACATGGAGCAGCCAGGATTTAAACGGACAACCCTGCGGTTCCCGGCGCACCCTCTCTACCCCACACGCCAAGGTCACCGCGGTCTGTCTGTCTGTCAGAAACTTACTGAAGAGACTTTTCTCTCAAATGAAGCATTTGTGTTCTGTTCTTATAGAAAGCTTCAACGCCTGTTCAATCTTAAAAATTGCTCCAAATATTTACTCTATGACGTCTCACCCTCGTGGGTTCTTCTCATGTGGACAACTAGGTTACTAGAACTCCTGAAACCACTTTTACATATTTTACAGGAATATGGCTTCTCCCCAGTATGAATTCTTTTATGAGACGTCAAAGATGAAGGCCGAGAGAATGTTTTTCCACATGTGATGCAGGAATATGGCTTCTCCCCAGTATGAATTCTTTTATGAGACGTCAAAGATGAAGGCCGAGAGAATGTTTTTCCACATGTGATGCAGGAATATGGCTTCTCCCCACTATGAGTTATTTCATGAGACGTCAAAGATGATAGCCGAGAGAATGTTTTCCCGCAAATTATGCAGGAATATGGCTTCTCCCCAGTATGAATTCTTATATGACTCTTCACTGCTGATAGTTTAGTGAATCTTTTTCCACAGGTGTTGCATAAATATGGTTGATAAACTCTATGGGTTATTCTCATGTGTGCAAACAAGCGATTTCTATTTTGAAAGTATTTCCCACAATCTCTGCACAAAAACGGCTTCTCACCCAAAGGACCTGGTTCCTTGTTTAATGTTAAACTAAGTTTTACTCCTTTCTGATCTCGGCCATCAGATTCATGAGGATTGTGAGAGAGAAGCTGGTGGTCATTGTTTAGTTCAACTACAGCGGTGCTTTCAACTGAAATGTATTCTAGAGATGTTTCCTGTACCACACTCTCAGTTTCATCAGTACACGAGTCCAGAAGTTGATCTTCACCGTGGCCTCTTTCCTCACAAGTAGGAGTCAACGTAAAGGCCTCCTGCTTCGGTTCAAGCTGCTCTCCCTCTGGACTGGTGCAGAGTTCCTCCTGTTCCTCTTTAATCTCTGGAGGATCTGGGTCCTCTTGGTCCAGACTGGGCTTCCTCTCCTGGAGACAGAGCTGCTGGTCAGAGAGAAGCTCCTCCTCCTTACAGACACGTGACTGTGGGAGCTCTGGAGGGACAAAAGGAATAGAAGACAAACGTTTGAGCGTATAAATACAACGAGTGTTTATAAACCATAAACATCACGTGTCCTACTGTTCTATTAGTAAGTTAAAGAACACGTTGGTTTGAAAAACCTCGTCTTTATTGCTTTAGACAACAGAGTTTTCTTTAACAAAGTTGTTCTCACCTATCCTGTGTAACCTCACTTCGGGTTTCCATAAAACATCCAACAGTCTGCGCTGCCGGTCGATCTCTTCCTGGTACTCGACGACGATTCTTTTAAAAACTCCGAATATTTCTTCAGCAGCAGCAGATAGTCGCTCGTTGACAAACTCTCTCAAATTCTCAACTGAAGACATTTTTGCTTAATTACCGGTCAAATTAATTATCTGCACTGCCACAAGACGAAGCAACGGCTGGGTGTCACAACTTTAAAGTTCCGACTGCAGACCTCAGCCACATTAAGGTTCCGCTCTTTATTATGGTTACAGGTTATCGGCCTTCTTCTTCCTCTATCAATTTTATTGGGGGGGTCGCAACCAACATGAAATAATGCATACCGCCACCTACTGGACAGGAGTATGCTGTTTTGAAGTGGCCGTTTTATTACACATAGTGCACTTACCTAGTTTTTTGCCGTTAAATACAGTGTACATGACCACTAGCAGACTTTTTTATTTTGATGATCCTGTTTCCTACTTTGATTTTATGTGACTTCTATTTTGACATCATACTATCTGCACACGTGATTAACAGTGTTGGGCAAGTTACTGAAAATCGAGTATTTAGTTGCAGTTATTAGTTACTTCTTTCTAAGGTAATTGAATTACTTACCAGTTACTGTGTATCAAAATGAATTAGTTACTCTGAAAAGTAACTTTTAAGTTACTTTTATGTCTGCTTTTTAAATGTATTGAATATAAATAGTACTGAATAGTCAAACACAATAAACATATTTTTTAGACCTATTCATGGTAATCAACAGGGCAACAGCCCTTCAAATCAAGCAATAGTACAAAAGTCCTTTTTAATACTTAACTTAATACAAAATAAGTTTCAGGCATTTGCCTGAAGGCAACTGACTCGACAGTTGACAGGATGCATCTCATCTTCAACATAGCGAGCAATCAATCTATTCAGCTCTGGCCGGTTTATCGGCTGCACTGCAGTCCGTGTAAAGTGGAGCCTTGGTTGTTTGCGTGGAGCGGCGCCTGCAGCATTCGCGGGGCTGCGCTCTTTCGTCATGAGCAACGCGATGCTGTTTACATGCACGTACGGCGACTATTCTGTGACACACAACGTTTGGTGGCCACAACTATTTTGTGCTGACAGGCAGCTACTTACTATTTGCCGGCCCTCCGCTTCGCGTCATAAAAGAGAGTAACGCAAGTAACAAACTCATTTCAGTAATTGTAACTGCGTTGATCTATTTAAAAAAATACTTCGTTACATGCTCGTTAAAGCTAAAAGTAGTGGAATTACACACATGTGAAGGACATTCTCTGTGCCGGGTACGAGAAGCTGAAAATCAGGTTGATATAAGAACCCGGGTGAAGCTGAGGGTAGCACACACACACAGCAAGATCCTCCTCAGTGGCCGGTGCAAATCATAATTACTTGACATGAAGTAAAGACGTGGATCTGGAACTTTCGTACCTAATAAGATATGAGCCAAGGCCATGAACAGCAGTCCTTTGTTTTGCAGCATCTATGAGATCGAGTTGACCGCCCTCCCTTCTCTGGGCACAGCTGCAAACTATCATTTTGTATCATGTTGCTCCTTGCATGTCAGGGTCAAATACAGGACACTTGAGACACGGCTTTAGCACAAAAGAATGTTATAATTTATTTTACCATTACATGCATCTCACAGCAGATAAAGACAAGTATGTGTCACGAGACCACGTTCGCTTCATTCAGCTCCTGAGTGACAACATAACTCAAAGGAAAGATGGACACTATGAAATGCCCCTTCCTTTCAAGAGCACAGAGCCACCTCTGCTACCAGACAACAAGAAGCTTCCAACCGTTCAACTGCAGCACCTAAAGAAAAGATTGAAAAATAACGAGCGGTATAAAGAACAGTACAAAGCCTTCATGAAGGATATAATAAAGAAAGGCGACGCAGAGCCAGCCTTTCCTGCGACAGAACAGAAGACTCGTGGTACATACCACACCATGGGGTGTTCCACCCCAAGAAGCCAGAGAAGCTAAGGGTCGTCTTTGACTGTTCAGCGAAGTTCTGTGGTGTCTCACTAAATGATACATTGCTAACAGGTCCTGACCTGATCAACTCTCTCCCTGTAGAGCTCTGTCGTTTCAGGAAAGAGGCTGTAGCCATCATATGCGACATCGAGAAAATGTTCCATCAGTTTTACGTTTCTCCTGAATTACGGAACTACTTACGGTTTCTCTGGTGGGAGGATGGAGACCTCGAAGCAGAGCCTCAAGAGTATCAAATGGCTGTCCACCTATTCGGTGCCGCTTCGTCACCCGGATGTGCCTACTTTGGCCTGAAGTACTTGGGACATCAACACAAGGAAGAGTATCCATCGGGATCAGCCTTTGTTGAAAAGAACTTCTACGTCGATGATGGGCTTATCAGCGTCTCCTCCGTAGAAGAAGCAAAGGAGTTAATTGCTGAAGCACAAGAGTTGTGCAAGAGAGGAGGTTTGCATCTACACAAGTTCAACTCAAACAAAAGATCAGTTCTGGACTCCATGGACCCAACTGAGAGGGCAGTCACATCCAAACCCCTTAAATCTGGACCTAAATGCAGCTCCAGCAGAACGTGCTCTTAGTTTCCAGTGGTCCCTTGAACACGACACCTTCAGCTTTAATGTAAACCCACAACCCAGGCCATCCACACGTCGCAGAATCCTATCCGTCATTGCTTCTTTGTACGATCCAGTCGGATTCATGGCTCCGTTTATCTTAACCGGAAAGTGCATCCTCCAGGAGCTGTGTCGTCGAGGCATTAACTGGGATGACTCACTTCCCGAAGACTTAAGTCCACGGTCTGAGAGATGAAAGAGCGACCTACAAAAGGCTGAAGGAAGTCTCAATACCGAGATGCTACCAACCACAAGGCTTCTGCAAAACTGTCACAAGGGAACTAGACCACTTCTCCGATGCCAGCAATATAGGATATGGCTCGTGTTCCTATCTGAGAAGCAAAAATGAAGATGGTGAAGTTCACTGCAGCCTTGTGAGGGCAAAGGCTAGAGTCGCGCCTACAAAACTCACAAGCATTCCAAGATTGGAACTTTCAGCAGCAGTGGTCGCTGCAAGATCAAGTGTCATGCTGAGAAACGAGCTTGAAATGCCGATCCATGCAGAATTTTTCTGGACTGACTCCCAAGTTGTCCTGGCTTATATCAGTAATGAAGCAAAAAGGTTCCACGTCTTCCTTGCCAATCGTGTGCAAATGATCAGAGAGCACACCAGCCCCAGCCAATGGCACTACATAGACACAACAGAAAACCTTGCTGACCATGTGTCGAGAGGTCTAAACGCAGTGGACATCTCCTCAACAAACTGGCTATCAGGACCCAAGTTCCTGTGGGAACAAGAAATACATCCAGAGTCTCGCCTCAGTCCTGAGTTGCTTGTCAGTGATCCTGAGGTCAGATCAATGCAGGCGTTCACAACTAAGGTTGAACCTTCCAAGTCAGACTTTCCCACCCATCTAAATCGATTCTCCTCCTGGTCAAAACTCCTGAAAGTCATTGAAAGAATCAAGAGGCTGAACTCAAAGCAAAATCATCCTGGCAAACATGTGAGTGTAGAAGAACGCGAGAGAGCTGCCAAATCAGAAGTAAAGCTTGTACAAGAAGAAGCATTCTCCCAAGAGATGGAGATACAAAAGGGAAAAAGTCTTGAAAACTCCAGCCCTGTTTCGCTTGAATCCCATCTTAGAAGGAGGAGCACTTTGTGTTGGTGGAAGACTGGATCAGTCATCCTTAAGCCTAGAAGTCAAACACCCTTTGATTCTACCCAAAGGAGGACATATTACCAAGTTGATTTTGACCCACTGCCACGAGAGGATCTGTCACCAAGGATGTAATCAAACTAGTAAGTAATTCAGTTGCTAAGCTGATACACAGATGTGTGAAGTGCAGAAGACTCAGACTCGGAGGGCCAGATTCGGACTGTCCGTAATGTCTTAAATGCCACACTCTGTCAATACTTAGGCAGACTCGACGACTCTTCCCTTCAAACTCTGTTCTATGAGGCGATGGCCATTGTGAACAGCCGCCCGTTAACTGTAAACGGAGTAAATGATCCTACCTCACTCGAACCATTAACTCCAAACCATCTCATACTGATGAAGTCCAAGATTGCACTGCCACCGCCTGGCAAATTTGAGAAGGAGGATGTCTATGCAACTAAAAGGTGGCGAAGAGTCCAGTGCCTCGTTGAACAGTTCTGGAGCCGGTGGAAGAGAGAATATGTCATGAACATCTCCACACGCCAAAAGTGGCATACGACTTGACGCAGCCTTAAGGTAGATGACTTAGTCATTATAAGGGAAGACACCCCTAGAAATCAGTGGCACCTGGGACGAGTGATTGAAACCACAAAGGGGAGCGATGGTCTAGTGCGTCGCGTCAAGGTGTTAGTAGGAGAAAGAACATCAGCAAAACAAGATCGCCCTACCAAACCTTTGATCATGGAAAGGCCCATCCAGAAACTAGTTCTCCTCCTCGAGAGTGAGTAATCAGTCTAATTGTCTACACCTTTATTCACTTATGACATAGTCTATTCTCTCTTAGATATTAAGTAGTACTCACTTGCCACACATCTAGACACACTGATACAGACAGGACTCAAGTATGATCCATTCAGGCAGGTTGACTCTTGTCTTCACTCTTCATAACATGAGTGGTGTGTAAGAATACGTGTTCAAGATTTGGAGCCTGGTCGGGGTTATCAAAAATTCAGCCGAATAACTTCTCTCGTTCTGGAAAATTTATTAGTCAGATCACAGGTCAAGTATCAGCGCTGCGTTTGCAAAGGCAGGAGCAGTTCAGGCAGCACACAGGCCGGAAGAACAACTAACTAACATCAGCAAGAACATCATGTTTTATAACCCTTGAAAGACAGAGAAGGAAATATTTCTATTGGCCCTAAACTGGCGTAGAGGAGGACCTTCCACCTCCCGCATCTAAGATCCGGTCACATCCAATGTCCAGACTCCTGACTTAACGTAAACATTGTAAACAGAGTGTGTATGTTGAATAGTGTTGGTGTGTCTCTAACCCCCCTTTGGCTGGTAAATCTTCTAGTTGACCCGCAGACCTTACATTCCTCAGCCAGGACAGAAACTGACTCCCCATCCTGTCGGACTCGTGTCTGCCTGCTTGGCAGATCCTGCTTACCCCCTTACCTAACTCTTAAATCAAGACAAGACAGCAAACCCCCCAACTAAGCCCA